ATGTTAGCTATAACAAAATAACAACGCTGATCCTCGCACGAAACTGGGATTCAATTCGCTCTTCGTCATTCAACATCACGAAACTAACATCATCTTTATAGCAAAACGCTATCTACATCTCTGCAGCAAGACGAAATTAAAATCGTCTTCGTCAGTGCGGTAACAGCGCTAGCCTAGTCAAGGATCCTTGCATATTAAATAGTTAAACCGCGATTGTAGCCTTATTCCGGCTGTTTAAATCAAATTTCTGATGCATCGCCTAAAACGAAAGTCACTACATCGGCCTACCGATATATGCGTTAAATCGATATTTCGCGATACATCGATTTATCGCCCAGTCCTATCTATGCTCCAATTCTAAATGTATACCTTTTTATATTTTTACAAAAAAGTTTTGTACAAATATAAAAAGGTATACATCTTAGAAAATGGGTACCTAAATAAGAGTCGAATTCCAATAAAATATGAATGTTAATAGAAGGAAAAAAAACAATTAAAAATAACAAAACTGCTCCTCGGAGAAAAGAGAATAACAAGTATACTTTATTAAATCTAATGGAAATATAAATTTTTGGACATAAATAATTGTATAAAAGTTCGCTTTCCTTTATTAACGTTCTGAAAAGTAACGTTCATTTATGCGAAAAAACTTAGCTAAGAGTAAAAAAGTCTCCTAATAGTCGCCTATTCCTGAAAGTAGTTGCTTTTCTAGCCTTTTCAGGCAAAAAAAGTCGCCATAATCGCTTAAGGCTGAAAATAGTAGCAAATAGTCGCATTTTAGTCGCCTGTGGCAACCCTGATTTAACCACTGTTCACATACTTAAAGAGGGACAGCTTTAGCTTCTCCATGAAGAGTGCGAAAGACATTGTGTGTGTGTTGCAAAGGAAGGGACAAGATATCAGCTCCTAGGTTCTTTTTCCTGCTTCTAAAGATCTAAAAAAATCGAGTTAAAGGGAGTAAAATTCGAGTAATCAAGAATAATTAACATGAAATTGAAGATAAAAGGGTCGGGACCTCATAAAAAAATCGAGTTATAGTAATATTCGAGTTATCGTACTTCGAGTTATAGCGAATTGACTGTAATTACTGAATAAATAAAATCATAGTTAATTTTGTTCAAATTCTACATTCTAATGACTTTTAAAGACAGGGAAGGCAATTTGACAATTAGATAACCAATTGATAGAACTCATAATCAGAAAACATAACTGAAAAAAAAAAATTATTTTGTTACTCTAGGTGGAAAAAGTTTTTCTTAATTATCAACAAGTGCTAACTGTAATATAAAAAAAACTTGTATTTCAATAAACATATAAATAAATGGATATAATTGAAATCTGTGTGTTGCCCGCAAATTATTTTTAATGCAAAGTTCTAATTTAAGTTATTAATGCAAAGTTCTAATTTAAAATATTTTATCACACTCTTATCTATTGTCAGTCTTTTTTTTTAAAAAAAAAAAAGAAGAAAAAGGTCTATTTTGATGTATAATAACTTACATAGATCCCTTTTTTATCATATCTATCTAAAAAACTTTCATGATCAATGAAACTGTTAGACAGTTTAAATATATTTATTAATTATATTGCATAAAGAAATACTAATGCGTAATAATTTTCTTAATACTAATACTTAATAATTTTCAAATAAAACATTTAGTTGGTTTTAATTAATAGTTTTTAAATCAATAATTTAAAAAAAAAGGATTTAAATCACAATTTTAACCAAGAGATTTAATCACAATTTTAATCAAGAGATCTAATTCATGCCAATCTTATTGTCAATAGATGCTCTTTTAAATTTTTTAACATTAAAAAAGAATACTTTAAAAGCTTCAAATCTTTAAATTTCAGGAGCCTGTTAAGATTTTTATTCAGAAAAAAAGATAGAAATCTAAAATCTCAACACTTTATTTCTTGAAAATAAAAAGGATTCAGCACACCCTTTTCTTGATAAATACACATTATGAATTTAATATCACGAATTTTAAACAATTATTTGTAAAGCTCTGCAACAATACATAACTTGTGTCAACTTATGTTTACAAATCAGTGATTAAGAAATCTATGATATAATAAAGTGTTGCTTGGTTTAAAAATATATATAATCAATTAAATGGGTATATGAAAACAACTTGATCTTACTAATATTTTTATCTGCAGTACAAACATCCTGCTTGAAGTTTAAATTTGATGTAAAATCAGTACTTTCACTTTCAAAATTATCAGAAGATTCAGAAGCCTTTTCACAAAAAACAGAATCTTCATCCAAAGGTCCAACTAAGCCTTGCTTTGCAGAAACTTTCATTCTTTCCAAAATAACAGCTTCTTCATATGAACTGTGTAAAAAAATTTTTTAAATGCATATTACAAGAAAAATACTTAATTCTTTGTGGGGCAGAAAATATTATTTCAAAAATTTAGTCAAGAAAAACCTAAGGAATTATATGTATATCTAAAATGCAACAAGCTTCATATTTACATTTAAAAAGAAAGAAAAGAGTGGTTGATAAAAAACTGCATTGTTTAAGAAAGAAAAATTATTACAGTTTAATTGGTTATATTATTGCCGTCCCTGAAAACACTTCACATGTTATTGAAGCCTTTTGACATGGCTCTGAACTGTCTTTAATACTAATAAATATATGATGTACATTTCTATTTTTGTTTTTTACGCAAGTAAATTAAAGTATTTTATTTCGTTATTTTTAGATGCTTAAAGAAATTGCTGTCACCTAAAAAATGAAAACAAAAAATAAATAAAATTGGATTTATGGACGCTTAGTGACATTGGTGACTTCATCGCCTGCGCCAGCAAAATGGATAATTATCAAATTTCAAAACATAGCAACAACAAAAAAAAAAAAAATCCCCCTCCAGCCATACTTTCAAACAATAAGTTACATGACTAACACCAGTCTGCCTTAGTGTATCAAATTCTGGTTGCAATCAATTCCATCTTATTAATATATGTTATAGTTATATGATATGGCAGTAACAGAGCTTGTTTATTGAAAAAAAGTTAAATAATAGTTGAATTTTGGGGTAAACAAAACTGTTCATTCTGCATAACTTATAAAATTTTTCTAATTTTGTTATTTAATTGTAAGAATAATTCTATAACTACATCTCTATGCCTGGCTAGATTTATTTACATTTAATATTTTTATTTATACATTTTAATTGTTTATGATTAAATAAAAAAATAATAAATTAAACATTTCTTACCATAAATTTTCAACAGAAACTAAATGTATTTGTAAATTTCTACTTTACAGTTTAATGTTAATGTTGGCATGAACATGGTATTTTCTAATTTTTGTGGTTCACTATACAAATATGGTTATGCATCTTTTCTTAATAAGTTCACACAAATTGAGAGAAAAATATGCAAATAATAGAAGAGAAATGTGAAACAATATGTGACAAAAGCGTAATAAAGATGAAAGGGCAGAAAAGGCTAATTTTGAAGTTAAGTAATGTTCCACACATATTTATAATTCTCTATTACTTAGTATAAGGATTTTGTCATTACTTTTTGAAATATTCTTGCATACTTTGGTCAGTTTCAATTAAACAAATCACATTCAGGCTGAGAAAGCTTTTGCATGAATTGTTTTTTAGGAAAAAATTGTCCAGATGGAGATAGATCTCATAGAAAATAGACTCAAAAACATGTGATTAATAAATTTTTATACTTTCAAAAGATTTTAAAATGTTAACGGAATGTTAAAAGTGAAAAATTGCATAAAAAAAGGCAATATTTGAAATTTTAAATAGTATTTTGCACAAGGTTGTACTTTTCTATACTTGTATACGGAAATTTAGTTATTGGTTTATGAAATATTCTTACCTTCATCAAAATAGGTTATTTATTTTATTCCCATCATGATAACTATATAGTATTCATTGCTAACAAAATTTACTTTTTAGCAATAAAATTTGTTCAGATAGAGAAAGAATAGATAAAAAAAAATTTCTCACTGAACACTTTTAAATAAATTTACGAACGCTTGAAAGTTTTCTAAAAGTTAACAGTAAACTTAAATTCTGCGCTAAATTTAAGAGCAAGAAAATTTTTTTTTGTCTAAATTATTCAAAAATTCTTATAGAGAACACACAATTGTCATTGTAATAGGAATTTGAGCACTTAAAAACACATCTGTGTATCGTGCATTATAGAAATTTTACGAATATACACATAATTTCAAATTTTAATTGTTTAGTCTTAGCAAAAAATGAGCAATATACATTAAAGCAGTTGTATTAAACTAAGTTTAACATACACATTCATACGTTCTATAAGCCTCTGTCTTCGTCGTTCTGTCCTTTTTTCCATTTTAGATGGGGGTCTCAGTTCAATTTTATGATTATGATCAAGACATATTTTCTTCACTCGTAAATATTGACCACAATGTGATAAATTTAAAGAGACAAAAGCATTACAGCCTACTTTCAAGCTCCTAAAAAATAAAAGACAATTTTAAGTACATTACAATGATTTTATATTATTTTATTCATAATGGCCTTTCTAAAGAAAAAAAAGAACTACAGTCGCTCGATTTAATAGCTGAGCACCGGGCCCCTTTTAAAATCTTCCACAAAACTGAAATTGACCCCATCAAAAATCATGCGTTGTGATGGTTAGCTTAAAACAAAGGTGAGTTTTAGAAGAATAGGGGAATTTTGTGGATTTTCAAAGAATAAGGGTGGACATGAGCTATCCAAGGTGGGCTAAAATAAAAGACTTGAGTTTTAAGTAGCATCGGGGATTTCTGTGGACATGAGCTGTTCAAAGTTAGCTAAAACGAAGCAAAAGACTTGTGCTTTTGAAGAAAAAGTGCATTCTGTGGGCTTTTGAAGAACAAGAGTCCCCAGCATGAGCAGCCCAAGCTTGACTATACAATACGACTAAAGAAATGAGACGAAGCCCCATAAAAGGGCCTCGCCAGATTTTTTTTTACGGAGAACAATTTCAAAGTTAGGAATTGTTTTCCTCACACCATCTGTTGATACACTGTTCATGGAACAAATGTCCACATTTAAATTGTACGGGGCTGAGCATCAAGTCCAAACAAATAGAGCAATTGTCCGGCTCTTTAAAAAAGTATTCTGACATGTCCAATGATTATATTTGTTTCATAATTTCCTGTCCCATTCTAATTCAGTAGTATTGGATTAAAGTTTGAAAGCCTTCTCGCTTCCATTTTTAAGAGTCAACACTTGCCAGAAAATACCCATACTCACCAGGCTATGGAACCTTCATATTCGCTCAACACTACGGCAGAAGATGGTACATCCAACTTGCGCACAATTTAGGCAAAGTCATACAAACGGTTTAAAAAGTTAAAGATGTAAGTTCCACAATACCGTTTAGTCCACATTTAAATTGTACGGGGCTGAACATCAAGTCCAAACAAATAGAGCAATTGTCCGGCTCTTTAAAAAAGTATTCTGGCATGTCCAATGATAATATTTGTTCCATAATATCCTGTCCCATTCTAATCCAGTAGTATTGGATTAAAGTTTGGGGCATCGGAGGAGATGGCCCCACGACATTGGGCGGTTAGACTCTATCCAACACATTGGATACTTTGTCCAAAAGAACAGCAAACTCCTCAGCATGAGGGTGACCCTCACGATCATACATGAAACTGCACAGTTTAGAGATCATGGTGAATATGAAATGGAGTGATGGGTATGAATGGAGTGAGAAATGGATCCAAAATCTTCACAATAACCAGGTTGTGTTTCTAAAACTAGAAAGGGTAACTTTGGCTTTACAAATAAAAAGTATACTAACTTTCTATTTCTAAAGCCTTTTCCTCGAGGGATGAAATTCGGACCACCACGAATACATACCAATTTAACATAGTGGAAACACAAAGCTTTATTAAATGGTTTTTTACTTCTTGCATTAAAACTAGATTTTCTGATGACAAATTCTTCTTGTTTCATTCGTTGAAGAACTGCTTTTAGTTCATCATAAGAAGAAAATTTTCTTCCAAGGTAAAAGTAGTACATTCTTTTTACGAACGGTAACAAGCAAACAATAAAAAATATAACATTTAGCTTCGCAGAAAACTAAATTCGATCATCATTATTTACAAAATAGAAAAAGAATCATTGCGTGTTCTGAACATTTCCAGCTGCTTATTTCTGTAACATACATCTTGTGCTCAGGAAAAGGAGGCTTCGTCATATTTATGTCACTGACAGATCGCGAAGTAGACGCTATGCAGTGGTGCAAAAGCGAAAAAAAATTTTTTTTTTTTTTGCAAGATTAGACCTACAGATAATTTTGCTTTAAAAAAGGTTAGACCTACTTAAATAATCTATCCAAGTTACTACTTAAATAATCATATTGAATTACTAATAAGTTAATAAATATTATATTTAGTTTTAAACAATTTGAAAAAATTATTTTTTTTTTGAATTTCTTTAAAGTGGAAAAAAAATCATCTACAACTTAAACTATAATGTGATGAAATTTAGCGTTGCTCGATATATTTAAGAAAATACAAAATTCTACAAGTTAGGTATTACCTCTTTCAATAATAGATATCATAAACCAACTTCCATGACAAAACCAGCTGCATATATTGCAAATTATTTCAGTTACAACAGAACCTCATTTTTTTAGTTTTTCTTCTCTTTATGAGTTTCAGTAAAAAGTTTCATTTGCTTGCATTTCCTTTGATAATTTTTCAGCTTAAGATATTTATCTTACAATAAAGAACTTTTTTCTCGCTTATTTGAGACAGACCATATTTTCGTTCAAAAGTATATTTAAAGATTTATGAGGGGAATTTTTGAATCCTAAATAATTGTTAGGATGATTTTTAAAAGATAAGTATTAATCTCTTAGTGATGAAGAAATTATCTGGCTGCGGAGAAAATCAGTGTCGATTATTAACCTTAAGCTTTCCGACATCACCTCTATGTACAGATCGAATGTCACCACATTTAAATTTTAAAATCTTAATCATTAATACCCACATTATGTTAAGAATTTTAGAAATTATAAAAAAATATTCTACTATGTAGTTCAAATTATTTAGATTTTACATTAGTTCAAACAGCATTACAGGTGCTGTGATCAATAAATTAAAATCAAATTTTTTTTGTTTTTTTTTTTTTTGTCCAACATGCAGTTAACACTTTCATGTTAAATGTAATAATATCTAAATCTATTTATAATTTATATAAAATCAGTATCTACAATTTCACACATTTTTTGGGGGGAAAGTAGAGTATTTTCAAATTTCCTGTGTTTAGCAGCAAATGAAAATTATCCTCTCCATGTATTCCATTTCAGAAGTCATCAAAACTTTTTTTTTCATTGTTATTATCATACAAATACCACAATTACACTTTACATTATAAAAAAGGAAAGAAAAGCGTAATTTTTTTCCCTCCAGCAGACAAGGCGTTTTTTTCCCCTCAGAAACCAGCAGGGTGGGGGGACATTTCACCATTTCTAAGAAAAGGGAACTGACTCGTATAGAGAAAGTGTAGTTTGCCTAGTTTGAAAGTAAGTATATATCGTTTTATCTATCGTTCTTTCAAGTATTTATTGATAACAAATAATTAAATTTATCAATTAAGTCATTTTTTAATGTCACTCATTTATTTTACTATTACATATAAACAACTAATTAAAAATATTTTTTTTCAATCGATGATTTTGCTTAGAATTTAAAAGTAGTGAAAGTATTCTTTTAAGAAATAGATATATATTTCTTTAATAATAAAACTTTCAGGGATGAGATTAGCCAAAAGGCAAAAAAGCTGAATTTCCACGATAGTAAATTTTACGCAAGCGCAGCCCTTTAATAATAAATTCCAGACAGTTTAAGGTAATAAATAATGTGTTGACATACAATTGCGTACTAATCTATTATTATAAAAACGACTACATTGATACTTAACATTTAGTGAAAATAAAAATTACCAATTGAAAAAATAAAGCTGGAAATTATATTTTTCCTCAGTTCACATAAGAGACAATTATTACTTGAAAAACTACTTGGTTTAGCAAATTAAAACTACTGAGAATATACATTAATATTTCATTTCTTTTAATAAATACTGTTATGTGATTTATAGCAAATATATCAGTAATATTACTTTTTAAATTATATTGGGGAAAAAAAACTTTAACAATGGACCAAATCATTATGTTCATGTTATAGTCTAATCTAACTACAGCCCTTTGAAACATATCAATAACAGTGAAGTAGAAATATATAGTAACTCCTTAACATACAAAAATTGGTATTTTAGTTTGAAAAATTACATGACAATCAGCAACTGTTTAGATAATTGTTTTTTATTTGATAAGAATTTTGCATTTTATAGCATAAATAACAGCAATTACAAATAAAATTTTGATGATGAGTTAACTCTTTTAACTATTAACTCTTTTTCCAACAAAAAAAAATTAAATTGAATCCCTTTTTAAGTTATTGCTTTTGTTTCCTATATCTTTTATGTTTGCTATATTTAGTCGTTAGTCCATTTTCAAACATCTTGTGACAAATCCTATTTTTTCTTCTTTGCAAGCACAGAATGTAAGTTTTGAATATATTCCCTTCCAGTTTCTCTGATGTTGTAACACTTACATATACATACTAATAATCGTCGTTAGAAAAACAGTCACTTTTATAGTAACTAATTTTTAAAAAAAATTTACTTCTTACAAGAATCGCGAGAGTTGATCTTAAAATTGTGTGAATATGAATAACAATTATGGATTTTGAAATCACATGAATATGAAACTAGATATACGATTTTGAAAATGAGAAAATACAAACTGGGATATAGAATTTTTAAAACGCGTAAATACAAATCCCGATTCATAATTTTTAGATCGCGTAAATACGAATCATGATGCGTAATTTTTAGATTGCATAAATAAGAATTATGATGCATAATTTTTAGAATGCGTGAATGCGAATCCCAATGCCTTATTTTAAAATCACGTATAAATGAAAATCAATGTTTGATATTATAAACAGCATGAGCAAATCAAGACATTGAATTTTAAACTTGCGGGAATACGAATCGCTTCATAGGTTTTTAAAAAGGCGTAAATACGAAGCACGACGTACAATATTCAAATCGCGTGAATAAGAATCTCAACACGCAAATATGAAAAGCTATGTTTGATATTAAAATCGTGTGAATAAGAATCGAGATATTGGCAGACTCCAGGCTTGGGACCTCTAAATGGCTTGTCAGAAACAGCGTCGTTTGAACTACAAAAATCGGATCTATCTGGAGGGCGGGTAAAAAATTCGGAAAATCTTATCTGCTGCGAGTAAAAGGGGAGAAAATAGCTAAAATAAGTAAAAATGAGAAAGGATTGGTAGCTATGTAGTTTGAATTTTGTGTTTCTCTTTGAAAATGGGTGAGTTTTCTGAAAAAGCGGAATACTTATAAAAAAAAGTGAAATTTTTAGAAAAATCTGAATTTTTGATAAAAAAGCTGAAATTCAAGAGATAAAAGTGAAAAAAGCAGAAATCAGCTAAAAAGCGGAAAAATCTCATCCCTGAACTTTTTAATAATTTTCGAAATCTATTGGTTAGTAAAATCATTGCTCTCATCGTTATTATATGTTTCTTAACTAAGCATTTTTCAAATTTTATTTTTTTTTAAAACTTTAGTAATATTATTTTATTTTAGACTTACAAAAGGGGAGAAAAAGAATTGAAAAGTTACTCTGATAATTTTCAACGTTTAAATGTATACTTAAATGTGATAACAATTAAAACAATTATATATTAAAAACACTTTTTACAGTCCCACTTTGATTCTTTTCCCTATAGAATATATTCTTTTTGCATTATATGAACGTTTACTTCCTCAAAAAAAATTTCGGTCACTTAGCAGATTAAAAGGAAAATAAATAGAGGAGTTAGATTGTATAAATATATGTATATATATATATATAAGTTGTACATGACGAAAAAAATCCTAGCTACAGCCCTCAACATCAGTAAGCAAATGAGGTACCTCTATACAAATGTGATAACTGCGCCACTGCCTTACTACCTCACAGGCCACTGCATGGCAGAGGCGTCTGCAGAGAGCTTAAAAAAATATTACTTTGCCTTAAAAAAAGCTATTCCTAAGAAATTGTTTTTATCAGTGTCACACTAGTTCAAATTAGACTTATTATTATTGTAAATTTTGTGATTGAAGCTCTTAAATTACTCAAAGTATCACACATGTGACAATATACATTATCACTAACACCTACCGATTCTAGAAAAGCTTACAAAAATTGACAGATTTTATTATTATAATTATAAATGGTTTTTCTTATATCACTGTCAGATTCTACTTAGACTCAGACCATTGCCAATAGCCCAGTGTTGGAGCCGTGGTGGCTTTGGGGATATAAAGTTTGCCTCCCTATTTAGTGACCCAGGTTCAAATCCCACCTGTTGCTGGTAGATACAAATTCTGCTCGAAGCTCACACAGACCTCAATGCTGACATAAAACATCCTCAGTGATAACAAGGTTCTGTCTAGGTTTTTCTGAAAGGTACCTATATTGTGAAAATTTAGATATAATTTGTGAAAATTAAAAATTATATTACAGGGTGCGTAGCCAAATCTTTGAATCAAAAATAAGCACTTTTTAAAAACTTTTCAAGCACTATTATCACTAAGTTACAAAAGTTAAATTAAAAATAATGTAACTCTAGTGAAAAATATCAGAAAGTCTTTTTTTGAAATGATAATAATATTTGTTTTCTTGGAAAGGTGTGTNCGTAAATCGAAACAATCAGTACTTTCCCACATCACCAAGTGAATTCAACTTGACCCTGAACTCAGAACAAAAGTACCCTTACCCCCTACATCATAAAAAGTATTAGAAGTAAAATAAAATAAACAAGAACAAAACTAAAATAAAGAAAAAAATTTCATAAGGATCTGATATTCTCTATCTGAATTGGAGCACTCGGGTTTCGGTTTCAAGTGTGCGCGCATGCGCAAGTCATAACGTGGGTACGAAATGAAGTCCGCGTGAATTATTACGTAGCAAACTCCCCATTTTGCGTGAAATGCATGGGATCCACCAGATATCACTGAAGGGAAGAAAAAAATATTCGGAAAAAAAGCACTTTTTAAAAACACCAGCTGAAAAAAGCACCTTTAAAAGCTTTTAAAAACGAAATCCCCAAAAAAGCACCTTTAAGCACTTTTTACAAACGCTATGCACCCTGTATTAAAAATTCAACACAAAATATGCTAAAAATATGGATTCGTCATTTCTTACGGGATACAAAAATAAAATTTTAATGGAAAGTATTTTGTGAAAAAAGTTTAATTTGTGAAGGTACTGTTAAAAGGTAGTAAATTTGGCTTGGACAGACACCTGGATAAGTAGATCATGAGTTGAAATCCCCTAGCTGTCGGACTAAGAATGGGAGGCTCTTGTGGTTTTTCTCCTCTGGGTCATTCCATGTCAGTTCATCCAGCCATGGCACCCACCGNACAATGGGAGGCTCTTGTGGTTTTTCTCCTCTAAGTAACATAAATGTGGGTAGTTTCTATTAACAATCCGCAGTGAAGGGTAGTTTGGCCAAATGCTTGATTCAGGAATTGCTTTGTCTTCTCAGTTTACTTCCAAATTACAAGGCTACACAGTTGAACTCTAATAGTTCAGAATTGGGTCATAAATTGTAGATTAGCTCATAGGCAATGGGGAAAAATTATAAAATAGCCTATTGTGCAGTTATAGTGCAACGTAAGTAAAGTAGTATAGCCTATAATATTATAACTAGTCAAATATACATTATTCAAAGGAGTAAAATATAAAATAAATATATACTTACACTCTATTTCTAAAACCTCTTCCACGAGATACGAATGTCCGACCACCACGAATACAGCATAATTTTAAGCTTTTATAACTCAAAGCACGATTAGCTGTGGCTTCTCGCTTTGTACTATTATGCAAATATTTACAATCTCGGATCACAAGTTCTACTTTTGTTTCATCTTTATATTGTCGCATAACTGCTTTTAACTCATCAACAGAAGAAAATAGTCTCCCAAGATAGAAGTGATCCATTTTCTTTACCTGCAAGTAAATGTAAAAAGTATGACACGTAGTTTCATAAATCTCACGTTCAATAAATCTGGTTAAGGATGTTAATTTTGTCAAAGAAAACAGTGATATTTACGTTGCTACGGTTCGAATTTATTTATTTGTTTGAAAATGATTTTGTCGTTGCAGAACGCTATTAGCTGCTTACGTTTGTTTCATTTTAGCTTCTTCAGAAGCTAATTCTGAAACAAATCTCACTGCATGCAAAATGGTGTTTCTTGGCTTGGTTGACGGATTTTTTGATCACCAATTTGATATGCTTCTTCGTTTTCATCGTTATTGCCAGGGCCGTAAAAACCATTAAGCATACTAAGCACCTGCTTAGGGGGGCACCACACAGAGCCAATGAAGAAAAATATATTTCTAGAAATCTTCTTCGCAAATTTTTTTTGATTCTAAGCTCTAACATAAGATCATGGTTTAAACTAAATTGTTATTGTAGTCTATTTATTTCAATCTCAGGGGGAAAAAAGAAAAGTTATGTATTGCCGTTATCCACAAAATGACCAATGCTGTTTTCCTAAAGGACCACTTGCATTGTCGATAGCATATATGAAACGACGGTGGATCAGAGAAGAAACTTTGTGTAAACAAGTGTTACAAATTGATTTACTACACTGACGTGTTAAAACATCCTTTTCTTCGCTAAAACATTTTGGGGACCTCTAATTGCCACCCTATACTTTTGTCGTTTTTCAGCGAAAAATACTATTCAATAAGATATAAACTTGACCCTTTTAAATTGCCCTTCTTGGTGACCACTTCTGTTCCAAAAAAGTGGAAGGGCTAATAAAAGAAAGATTCATTAATTGATTTATTCTTTTAAACCGATTGCAGGATTAGGAGATACATCAGTCACTAATTTTCCGCATACACCAGAAAATTTAGCATTTAAAACCAAAACAGATTGAACATTGCCACTCTATCTTGAATCAGTATTTTTTTCGTTTATTTCATGTTCAAGGAGATTTGATTTGATTTCAAAAGTATTCATTTTTTTTAAGTTTTAATAATGCAACAAGAGTAGAAAAAGAAGCAAGAACCCGCTGAGATTCTTCGAAGTCTTTACGACTGGCGTAAAAAAACAAATATAAATAAATAAAACAATTTTTTTTTCTTTTCGTTAAGCTCTTTCCCTGACTATTTGAGAATTTACAGTAAAATTAGTATTTAATACAAGCATATTTGTGCGTTATAAAGCAATCGTTCTATCAGTCTATGACTTAAATACAAAACTCACTTTCTGTTGTTAATTTTCAAAAAAGAGAAATCAAAATGAAATAACTTATAACGATTTAATTATAAAGTTAACTTATTATTATTTACGAACTTTAATTATATATTCAACATATTAAAGGTGTAGAATATTTCTGATTGATTGTAATAAATGAATAGAGTGTAATTAATAATTGATTGTAATAAATATTTTATTTTGCATTATAATGTATTAAACGCTACGTTTTTCACGTTAGCGGGGAAAAAATAATTCGATTTTAACACTCCTGAAACAAAAATCGTAGAACGCATCACCTTCTAAAGACGGAGAGGGGGGAAAGCTTATTCGTTTCATATTTTTCGTTTCAGGAGTGACAAAAATAAAATTATTATTTTCTTTTTTGTCCACCTAAAAACATAGTTCTTACAATTTTTATTTTATATTTTATTTTTTCTGGTTTTGAACCTGTTAATGTTTGAAAATGGTCATAATTTTGATTGTCAATAAAATGGAGATAAATTTTGTTTTTGAAATTTTTAGGAAACAAATGTGAATTGAATTGTCATCAGACACAGTAGAAATTTGTTGATTTGTAGACTACTCATAAAACGAAAAAAATTCGAAGTTTTGTTTAACGTAAAAAATTCTCTTTAGTGATAAAATGGCGATAAACTTAGCTTTCGGTGGTCCGGAAGCAATCGTAACTTGTTTTGTCAATAGAATGCTGGTAGAACTTGGAGCACTTTGCCTACTATGATACGTCCTATGTGCCGATAAAATGTTTATAAACTCTGTTTGTTGTGGTCAGGAAACGACTTGAATTCTCAGTAAGTACCGAGCTTAAGTACAGATTTGAGTATTCTAGCTAATCGAAAAGTAGTAGAAATTTCAATTGCATATTACCATCTTTATAAATACGAAAGCGAGTTAATTCAGTTAATAATAATAAATGCTGTAGGTAATAAGGAAACTTTTTTAAATTCACAGAGAATTATTACAGGCTTCCCAACACTGTCAGAGATAAAAGAAAAGTTGTTTAGTAATTTTATTGATTATTATTTCCATTTTTATGCAGTATTAACCTTTTGTAAGTTTTTTTATTTTCTAGAAAAATTCGTTAAAGGTCAATATTTTTTTTTTTTTTACATAAATATTAACTTAAGATCCACAATAAAGAAAAAAAAATTTTTTTTCACTTATTTTTTCGAAAAGATTAATAAAGCATATTAAACGATATTACGGAACACCCGGAAAATTTGTATAAAAAATTATGTTATATTTCATAGAATTGAAATGAAAAAAGAAATAGCTTGTGAGACAGGGAACTTTTTTAAAAATAAAATATCAGAATTGCCAAAATAATTTTAGTTCGGCTCTAAGATCACAAAATATGTGGTTAGCGTTGATAATTCTTTAAAGGAGTTCACTGTTCAATTTTGCAGTTATATAAATTTACTTTTGTAAAATTACTTTAATTTTATTTAAGAAAAATATTTTTCTCTATCTATGTTGATATTTTTAATTACATTTAAGGAACATCAAAATCCTTTGAGCGCTTAGGCTCTTAATCCGACCCTGATCTTGAGACTTCTTGACTAAATTTATGACGCCCACAACGGATTCTCCCAACTCTGTTGCTACTCTCTTAAATCGTTCGCGTGTGCTCGATTATGATATTCATCACCTACTCTTATCTTGAGGTTTAATAGAATATTTCTGAATCTAAAACGAATCCCAACGATACTACCATTAAAATATATTTAAGCTATGACGAACTGATGAGTCAGTTTTTTACAAATAAAAATAAGTATTATCTTTTCTTGCATTATATCTAGAAGACTTTGAAACATCAATTCAAAACACCATTTCTATTCCATTTCATCCGTCAAATGATATTCCATACTAGAAAATTCTTTAGTTTATATTTTTCATTACTTTTCTCTCCTTTTTTTTAAAAAAAAAACCGTAACAGGTATTTCAGCATTTGTACCAATAAAATTTTATGTTTTGCCGTAACAGGTTTACTAAACTTCTTCACTCCAAAAATCGTCGTTTGAGGGAAAAATAAATTAATCAACTTCTAGACATTTAAAAATTATCATTTGTTGGTTGTGCAGCAATTATCTTCTGCTGGTTGTGTTGCTTTTATTATTGTTGATAACATTCACAGTTTTTAGGACTATTAGTGAGAAGCAATGTGTACATAATAAGTGGTAAAGAACACCAAGTTATAAGAAAAACTATAAAATGTTTAATTAATTCAATGAAGTACAAAAGTCAATCTCTTCCGATTAGTTAAAGGATGATCATAGCACTTCTAACGGTAAACTCAAAAATTAGAAAACGAAGACGAAGCACCTTTAAGGAGATAAGCTATTTTAATGGTTACCAACTGGCGGCCCGCGAATCCTTTTTTTGCGGCCCGCGAACTAAAATATACTAGTAGTCCTTTTTTGGGGGACAATTTTAGTAAAAAATTTATATGGGTTTAAAATACTTTTCTTCCGCTAAAAAAAACCCTAATTTCTTCGTTTCTGTGAAATTTCACATATCAACGGTGCAAAAAAATTAATTTCTCAGTTTTGCGTTGCATCCAAGAAAATATTTATTCCAATACAAAAATAATCGTGCATGTTCCTCTTTTTTTCTGTATTTTGTGAACATAATTTAGCATGTACGTATCAGAAATTTTCTCGAAGAAATTCTCCGATTTAACTTTTTAAGACCACTCATTTGGGACGAAATTATTTACATTTGTAAATTTTAAAACGCATACAGAAGGTAATGGATATCGTGTTTTATTTAAATTTTTTGAATTCAATATTGCATGAGCGGAAAATAAAAATTAAATTAGTTTCGGATGCTCTAGAATTTTTTGTTGTTGTTGCTATAATGAATAATAAGTCGAAAAAAATATTTTTTTGAAAAAATTGCTGCCCGCCATTTGATTGATGTTTTTAATTGCGGTCCCCGGCCTCATGTAAGCTGGAAACCGCTGAGTTATTTTAACGCAATACAGGATATAACAGGATAGATTTAACTTGATTTATGTCGTAAGCAAGGATGAGTCATAATCTGTGAGTTAATAACCATGAGTATACACTTAAATTATATTAGCTGATAATAAACATGCCGTATCGTGATTTATCTTTTAAGCTAGACCTTTTAAGACAGATAACATATATAATGTTTAATACAATTAAAATAAATATTTAGCTATTCTTCTTAAAGAACAAAACTGAAGATTTGTCGATGATCAAAATTTTCAAGGAGCAGCTTTACTGAAATTTAATATTTCTAAAAAGTTGCACTGTGACTAAATATATAATATAAATTTTGTCTAATTTGTGATAGATAGAGACAGCTCCCGAGCCTTTTTACGCCTTGATACGATGGGAGTAAATATATTCTTAACAAATAGAAAAGTTTACAATAAATGTATGCGTATTTAATTCATGAAGCGATAGATTTAAGCAGAGATGAAAACTCGTTCCAGCTTTAATTACATTTGTATGAAAAAAGAATGAGATTTGCGGTAGCTGAAGAGGAAGGTTCGGTTCAATCGATGTCATGTCCAAGGTCTTATAAGCGTAGTGTCGGGAGGGTGGGCACGGAGGGGAACATGCCCCTTCAATATTTTGCCAAAATGCAAATGTTTCCTGATTTGATTGCATAATTTTAAAAAAAATAATAGCTCAACAAAAATTAAGATTATTACTTCCACTATCCCATGTTTTCCATTCAAATCTTCTCCCGCTTATTATTATCATTATTTTACTTAGTTCGGCTTCAATACTTAGTCATCAAAAATCACTTGTAAAAAGAGAAAGAGATTTTAAATTATAGACTTAATAATTGTCTGCTTCAAGAAGCTTTTTGGTTACATTTTTGTTACATGTACTAACTCGTGGGTGCTGGTAAAAGCAGCTGTTTAAAAAAGCAGGTGAAGTAAATATCGGTCTATATTATTAATTAAGACTTCGGTAATGCATCCATTTTCTGGAATATACTCGTCTATAAATTTGGTTTCTTAAAACAATATTGTTTGTTTAATTTAAAATTTGTATTTTAATACTCTAGTAAGAAAAAAAAGTCATTTTAAAAATTTACTCTTTTTCCATTTTAAAGAAAAATGCATTTCTCTTAAGGTAAGAGAAATATTTTTATTTTAAGAAGAGAGAAAAATTAGTTATTTAAATTTTATTAACTATATTGATACCTAGTAATAAAACATAATTTTATTTTACAAATTTATGGTTACTTTTCTTAACTAGTCATTTTTACCGATATACATTTACTAATTTTATCTGGATAAAACATTAGTTAATAGATGTTTTGAACTCAGTTGAATAAAAACAAAACAGAGCATAAATAATAATTATAATTGCAGAAGGAATAACCCAGAAGATGTTAGGGAAGAATTAAAATCCTTCCTTTAAAATATAATAAATATGATCATAAATTTTTTTTATTTATATTAAACTCTTTAAAAGTTAAAGCTGTTATGAGAGAAATTCATTACCAGGTAATCATTGATACTTAAGGGAGAAATAAAAGGGTATAATAAAATAAGAATATTCATAATTCAATCTAAACTGTCACCAATCTAGCCAAATGTTTGAATTAAAATCAGGAATGAAGTGAAAAAGGTCTTAATGTTCCTCGTAATTTCAATATTGACTTTTTCTTTCTTTTTATTGATAAGGGTTTTGTTTATTTGAAATTTTTTTTCACCTTTCGTTTTTAATTTTTCGTCTTTTAAAGATTAGATTATTTATCTAGTGCACACAGTAAATATGAACGCGTAAAATTAAAATTGTGTTTGGGAAATACTGTTATGAGCACGCCTCGAAAATTAAATTGCCCGTACTTTCACTATATGATTCAGCAATTCGAAACAAAAGATAAAATATTTAGCTTAATGTAAGATTAGACGAAATTATGTTTCTTTATTCCTTCGTCAAACAATTTTTTGTGATTTTTTTTTCAATGTTTCTAAATACACAAAGCTTAAGAATTAGGAATGTTGGATAGCTGTAAAAACTAACATAATAACTTCAACAGAAATGAAAATATTTAAACAGAATTATATGATGAAGATTTTTTGTTGTTGTTTTGTTTCGAAGACCACAAATCTTCTGGATTAGGGTTAGGCCATGACCAACTAGAATGAGGTTCTAGTTGGCCATGGTTTGGCAATGTGAAATCCAAAGACCAAAATTTTTCCAGGTTCCTCAAATGGCTAGTCTGCTAGTCGAGGTCGGAAGAAATAAGTCTTCTAAAGTTATGGGACCAGTTTTCTAAGAGTCTTTAGTCTCAGGTAAACCTGAAAATTTAAATTTTCAGTTGGCAGCCAGTGCAGACTCTAACAGCATAGTAGCCATTTTTTCTTCAAACCTAATGAGTTGGTGGCCTATACCAGTAAGTCCTATTTATTTAATAGACCTTTTTTTTCTTTTCTTTTTTATAAGTTTTCAAAAATATTCCTAAAAGAAATAATCTACGGCTTTATAAAAAGTTAATTAAACAATAAGAATAATATAAAGATATGACAAAATTTAGTTAAACATACTGACTTGAAAATTCGAGGAAAATTCTGCAAGCAATTAAAAAAAAAAAAAATCAGAAAAAGGGGCCGGTGGTTTAATTAATTTAAGTCGCCACTTTTTCTGCTGACTGACTCGCCACGTGGTCTGGACGCAGGTCTAGTTCGAGGAAAGGACAAATACAAAGCAAAGTAAGTACAATAAAAAAAAAAAAATTTCTTCGAAATAAGTAATCAAAGTTTCAAAAAAATAAGTGGACGAAAAAAGTCAATAAAAAACCCTGTTACATGTAATTTAAAAAAAAAAGAAAAAAAAAAGATCATAGCCGAAGATAATAATAATGGAATATTCAGTAATAGTACCCAACTTTTAAAGTGCCATTTTTATAATGCCTTTTCTTTCTTTTGTTATAGGGCTTAATTTTTTTAAGCAATTAATTTTACACAATTTTGAGATTTTTTTTTATTTAATGAAATTGTCTTTTTTTTTATTGTTTCATGTTATTACTTATTATATTTTGACAATTTCTCTGCCATTGTTAATTATAATAATAATAATAATAAATTATGAGATGGGAGGAACATTTAATGTTTCAGGTCCAAATAGATTATCATTCTATTTGATCGTGATTCTACTTATGGTTTTAAAAAAAAATAATTAAGGAAATAAAAGTTGTCTTTGCATTATTACGGAATAGGGGAAATTTTTTTAAAATTTATTTAATTAATATAATTGCAATTTTTTTATTGTGATAAAATACTCCACGTTTCACAATAATTCAGGGTAATCAGCAAATCCTTTTAGCTGGGGGGGGGGGGNCCACCCTTGAAGTTTAAGACGGAAAGCACTTGTTCGTGAGGGGGAGGAGTTACTATTTAGCCACAACAACCGCACACCTTATGAAAAAAAGTTAGCAGCAGGACCATTGCCCTACATTTCTCACGGCGTTTTGCCTAGGTGAAGTCTTTCAACTTCGCAACCTTGAAGACCAGAGAAAGACAAAAAAGTGTTTTAACCGGGGGAGAGGGGGAGTTTTCTACTTTGACAGAATGATAACTGAAAGTAGGAGGGGTGGGTCTGTCAAAAAAAAGATGAAGATAAAGTCAAAAAGAAAAAAAAGAGAATTCTCCCTCGTCCAGTGAAAGTTGGAATGTGAAGATTTTCTTCCAAAGGGCATTTGTGTGCATAAAGAGACGGAATGGCCATAACTTTATCGCGTTTAATTATTTCTATTGTTTTGGTTTTGCGGATAGATTTCGGGGCAGAAGGATATGGTTCTTGCAGAGAGGCCAATTTGTGCTGCACTGGGAGAGATGGCAGTTGTATGGTGCAGTCTTTTGCAGAAGAAAGTGTTAATTCGGTGAATTCCAATGTACAGAGTGATCATCCACAGGATAAACCTTGTTATTGCGACCATGCTTGCCTGCGACTAGGTGACTGCTGCTACGATTTTCAAGAAGTATGTGGAGGTAATTAATGGGTGAATATTTTAACTGCATTAACTGTTAACAAATATTTATTACTTTAAAAAGAGTAAAGAGCACTGCATCAAAATGTACGCAATTTTTTTAACAAAACTTTCGTTCTTCTTAGATAAAATAATATGAAGGTCTTGGATCCGTCCAAATATTACGTAGGCATATTTTTGACAATTTTGGATTACTTGTCAGCAAAAATAAGGAAATTATAAACTCTATCGCACTTTACGTAAAAAAATTTACTATCTCTCCCCCTGTTTTTTGTTTTAACTTTTATTGAAGTAATCCAATTATATGAGAATTTTAAGATTAAATTCAAATAAAATATGTTGCGATCAGCATATGATAAAATTTACATTTTAAATCCTTCTGTAAGATTTTGAAACTCCTTTAAATTTTTTTACATTCTTACCGTTTCACACACTCAACTGTTATTTTAATAACTGTTAAGTTTTATAGGTGTTTTATAAATTTTCCTGAACTTTTTCCAAATCTTTAAGTTATTATTATTATTATCATTTTCTTGCATTAAAAAAAAAAAATTGAAAATGTGTGGATTTAGGATCTTACATGAACATGAGCAATGCTGTGAACATTTCCAAGTCTTGGCAACTTCCAGGTAGTTGTCAGCGATAAACTTAAAAAAAATAATGATAAAAATTAAATCAGTGGGGATCAACTCAAAGATTATAACTTATTTCCACCCCCGAGCAAATCTCCACATGCTTTTTATAATTTTTATTTTTTATTTTTAATTGCAAGTGCAAAATCTATTGGGGGATTGTAGTTGACGTGACAGCTTACAATACGGAAATATCCCTGCATTGCTCATATACCTTCTAAGTACCCTCTCTCTGTAGGAGCTCTTATAATATTTGAACGGCCTCCTTTTATTGATTAGCTGCTCAATATTTTTTCTAAAGGGAATATTTTGAAATCACACTGTTCCTCAGTACTATTCTCAGGTAGATATTTAACGATTTTCAAGATTACAGACAGTACGATACGAAAAAAAAACTTATTGCCTACATGGATGTTCAGATGCTTTCAACCAATATGTGATTTATCACTATCTTTAAGCCATTTATATGTGAAAAAATCGAGAAAATTTTAGCATTTCAAATTAAAGGTTTTTTACGTGTAGCCTTAAAATCTTTGTTTCCCCTATAAAGAAATAAAGATGTGTTTTTTTTTCTTCAAAAATTATAATCTTCTTAAAATAACTTTTTTTCAAAAAAAAATATCTGTGATTGATAAATAACTGAATTTGTACATTAAAAGCAATTTAACTAATGAGGAAACTTCAGAATGCTGCACAGGTTTTCTGAAACATGCTGTTTTTAAACAGTGAATTTTTCTTTCATGAAAAAGGCAATAAAAAAATTATCACGCTTCATGAATCCTGGTCAGCAAGTCAATTAAAAATCAATAATAATAAAATAGCTTTTAACACAAAGCAGTAAAAGTTTCATAAATAGAAATTAAATTTTCCCGAAGTGTGATTTATCAGTTTTACAAGGCAAGTGGCATACCCTAATGCTCTTTCCAAAATTTTAAAATCAAAAATAAGACCTGAAATTAAGCTAATATTATGTAATTTCAAATGTTTAATTTAAGTTAAACATTATTGACTATGAATATTTATAGATAATTATTTTAACTTTTAAGTTGCTTTATTAAATTACTTTATTAATTAACTTTTTAAATTATTTTATTATTTAAAAACTTTATTAAAATAATTATTGAGGAGGAATAATTATTTGAGTATTCTAAATGTGTAAAATTCAAATGAAATTATTCCTCATAATTAATATGAGGAGTAATTTTAATGTTTTATTTTTCATTTTAATGTTTTATTTTTCATTATAAACATTATTAAAACTTAATCTATTTCTTTATTTTGTTGCAATTACAATATGTTACACAATTGAAAAATACTGGCGTTTGGCCCAAAGAAAGGCCCAAAAGAAATAACAAATTGAAAGCAGAAAGGTCGTGATTGGTATTTTGGTTGTAATATGCTTTTTTATTATTAAAAAGCAACGCATTCCGGCACCGGCAAGTTTAAAATAACATTTAAGTTTGGTAATTAACGTTCTAAAATAGCAGATGAAATCTTTACTACTTTTTAGATTTTTGCAACAACCTATAAAAAAGTAACGATTAGGAATGAAAATTTAAAAAAATTTGTTAAATTTTTTTATTTATGTGAATTAGATAGGATTGGATATTAAATTTAATAGCTAGAAAGCAAAGAATATAGAGGGGAAGAATATAGAATATATCTATATTCTTTGCTAAAAAGGCGACTGTCAAGAGGTGGTGGGAGTAAGTAAACTTTCAGTAATATGCACATAAGTAAAAAAAAACGGAAAAAGGGAGCTTGTAACAATGTTTGACGCAAAAGGAAAGAACAAGGGGAAAAAAAAAAAAAAACTAATAAGGAAAAAATAGGTGAGGTTACTGGGAACGTTGATCATGGAGGCCGTGCTTAAATAAACCCTTTGTAGGGCCATTTTCTTCCTAGTTATGAGATATTAAAACATTTTAAGGATTGAGATTGATTTATATATATAAAAAATTATTTTGATTACCTAAAATTAGTTTTTTTCTTTCCTATTATTTTCTTTTCTTTTTCCGGTGGATGAAATTTTGCTTTCTACTGTAAAGAGTTAACCATATACTTGAGCTCCTATTCTTACAAGCAACCAAATTATTAATTTTGAGTTTTATGAAATAAACTCGATGAGAAATGATCAAATGAGCGAATGTTTAACCCGCAAGATAAAAAAAAAGCTCCCCAGTGTTGGCTTCCCGTCTCCACGACGACCTTTACTGTTACCCATATTAATGCTAACAAAGTTCTTCGCCTGTATTCTTTATGATTATTTTAATTTATATTTTATTACCGTCGTTAAACTGTTGACCCAATTTCGGGCTTACGGCTACTAATGTTACAGTCCGTAGCCTTATAATTTTGAACCCAATCTAGAAGACAAGGGAACTTTTTTTTTATATCAATTATTGGGAGAAATTTGCCTTCATGAAAGATTTTTTTGATAGAACTAACCCGCATTTGCGTCACATGGAGAGGATAACCACGAAAACCACCCACGGCAAGGGGACTTTAACCCATGATCCGTCTATTACTGAGGATATTTTGCGTTAGCACGGTGGTCGGGTGCGGAATTCGTCTCGTCCAGCTATCTCTGGGATTCGAACTCGGTTCACCTCATTGGAAGGCGAATGCTCTATCCCCTGAGCCATCACCACGGTTTATCATTATTTATTTATCCATTTTCTTGTTTATTTTATTTTATTTATTGCTATCTACTTTTTCATTTCGTATTTTCTGAAGTTACCAACTGCATACGTCATAGTAGTTTTCCATCAATACTTAAAAAGGAAGAAATTTGGTGGGAAGTATATTTTCCACAGCCATTTAAATGGCTAAGTTACTCTCTCCTGACTTTCGAGGTGAAATTTTTGATGTCTGGTGTCTTATGTGTGACAATAAGATTTGCAACGTCTTGTGTGCGTGAAATATCATTTATATTGTTAGAAATCTAAGCTTAGATTTTGTTAACATTGAAAATCAAAGTTGCATAATAAACAATGAAGAAATCAGTACGAATAATTTCATTCGTCTTTAGGAATGAGCAATCCTTATTGGACCGCTGTCCTATTTATAGGACAATTGCATTAAAGGTGAATAAAATAAAGGGAATATTAAAAGTTTCAACGCAGCAATGACGCACACTTTGTCCCACCCTTTGTGCTTAGAGGCCCAATTGATATACTTTTCCTAAGACGTCATGAAATTCTTTTCTATCTTTAGTATACTCATATTTATATTAAAATCGCCACAACAGTTATGAATAAGTGAATCTTAAAAAGAACTTTAAAAAAAATTATCAAACTGTAGCGGTCGCCATAGCAACGCATGAAATGACGACGCATGCGCACTGTTTATTATTACTCTTGAACACAGTTGAAAAGTGAGATGACGTCCAAAGGTGCGTACGCCATCAAACCCAAAACAACACCCATTTTGCAAAAGGGTAATAAAAAAATTATAAATAAAAAATAAAAAATCTTTAATCATAATATAAAATCAAAAAAGCTTATGTTCGCATCGATAACATTTTCATTTCAGAATGTTCTTTAAATATTTCGATCATTTTCCTACCTTAACTGTGTTGATTATATTTTCCAGTTTGTGGCTAACCTTAATAATTTGAAGGTTCAAAATCTGAATCCGCCTGGGGGGGGGGTGAGTTTGATTATTTAGAGAAAATAAATTTTTTGGGTGATTTTGTAACTAAAAATAAAATTATCGTCTGCACCAATTAATTAGCATACTTAGTCATAGCTTTCGAATTAATAGGATTAAAAGAACATTTAGGTCTCAGTTTCCAACGTGTGTACTATTGAAACTAAAAAGTTAAAAGTAATTTTTTCAAGAATTCGGCAATTTATTCAAACTATTTTGGATAATTTTTTCATCATGAACATAATGCTACAATAATCAGGGATTTTCAAAATAATTAAAAAGCTATTTTATGCTCACCTTAGAAGTTTGCTACGAATAATTCTTATGTCTCACTAAGTGGGCGGTGAGCAGAAAAAATGTTTGGGAACATGTTGTTTAGATAATAAATTATTCAGATGTTCTGCTTTTTAGTTTGTTTACTTTAAAGAGCACAAGAGATAGATAGTGGTGAATTAAATCAAAGTCAAAAAAAATTTCGATGATGTGTGCTAAAGCTTATTGTATGAGAACTAAGATCAAATGATGTTAGAAATTACCTCTGACGCAAAACAATAACAAAACAAACAAGAGAAGAAAGAAAAGAAAACTTCGGGTACTTTGGAGAAGTCGGTGTTCCGTAATGTTCGCCCTTAATATGTATATAATTTCGTAATCTTTGCTTAAAATGAAGTAAAAAAGCTATACATTTCACGGATTAAAAATTAGAAGATTAAAACAAAGGCGATTACGAACTCTGATCAATCATCATGAAGGCTAATAACAGAAAAAAAAGTCAGTAAGCTAAAGCCAGTTCATTTTAAGAGAATGCTTAAATGTGTTTTCTAGCAGAAGACGAATGCATTTCAGTTTCACTAGACTAAAGAACTAGTGCTCGGTTTGGTTAATTCAGTTCGCAACCTCAATAATAATCGGGTATAGTCTTGAAACGTTTTTGATTTTTATCCCTCTCGCATTAATTTGCAGCACGTAACGCAATTAACAGAAATTAACTTAAAAACAAACTTTGATAATCTATTAGTCGCGACACTGAATAAATGAGTTATACATTTGTATTGAATTTTAAAAGTTAGCCGTTACATTGATTGTTAAGAATAGAATAAAAGTAATTCTATTCGCTTTTTACAAAATGTGATAAAAATCAAATAATTGATTTAATTTAATTATAACAGGATTCAAAATGACCAAAAAAATATATGAAGTTAAAAAAAAAATTAAGAACTAGGAACTTTGTAATGCCTAAAATGGCATCTCAGTGACATTAGAGTATTCTTTGTGTAGAAGAACCAGATAAGTGATTTGGCAAAAAATGGTCAAGAGGCAACCCTAGAAAATCACTCGTTTGGCATCGAATGCCAAGAGAAAATGAAAATTTGAAATAGTAGCTATATGACTCCAACATATTTTAATGTTTTTGGTTCGCAATACTTTGTGTTTCAGACACACTGTCTTATTAATGAATGTAATTTTTCTTTTCTGAACTAAGTCGGGTTGAAAATATTCGTTGTTCTTACGCAGCTTTTTCAGTATATTATTATTGTTACTAATTGAATACTCGTTCTTCGTACAGGATGAAAAAAAAACTAAATATATAAATCGGTGATGATCAACACTACAAAATCATGCACTTAACTAAAAGTGAACTAATCTAACATAACTAAACACAATTAAACTTTAATACTGAAATAACTAATAAAATAAAACAATTCCTGTTTTTATTTTTCCTTGTTTATTATTTGTCGATCTTCCTGGTGACTTTACGTTATTCGATTAAGTGAAACTTGTTCTTAGAAGCTCAGCCTATCAAAATAAAGATTGTTGGTGTTCAGTAACGTTTGACATATTGCTATAGCTCGAAGGAAACTCTCGATAGTCGAAAATTACCATAATCAAAAATTTTGACTGGTACTTATCCCTTTCGGTGGGCTGTAAAAAAGTATCTATAGTAAATATCGTGGTAGCTGTTTGCGACGATTAAAGATATTATTCACTTAAATAATAAATATTAGAAAAAATCTGTTTGCTTACGCCTTAAGCCCCCATTTCTCACACCCAAAAATTTTCTGGCTCTTATAACCGGGGGACCCTTAGTTTGGCAATAATTTTCGTAGTTTTGCTGAAATTCCAATCCTGGTGACCATGATATACTTTGACGCGTGATAATTTTTTTTATTACAAGTTGAACAGTTAGTAATTCTTAAACTATACTAATAATCGAATGTCATTTTTTTTATTGCATTGTATTTTCTGTATATATCCAGAGCCGTTGCAGGGAGTTAAAAATTTTACGTAATATGCTAGGCCTATGAACAAAAATCGTTACTTTTGACTGTATTTCCAACGTTTCACATTAGAGACCAATACTAATAACTCAAAGTTTTCGGCAGACTGTCAATGTTGCAGGATGTGCTCTAAATATTATAGGACGCCTGACAAAGTAAATCCATTCCAAACAGCGTCGATTTAATGCTACTTTTTGAGCATATTCGTTAGTCGTAAATGTGTAAAAAATACAGCAAAGAAAATTTTTTTTTCGTTTGTTGCCGTTGTTTTCTTACGAGCAATTTGCAACCCTGACCATGTTCCTGTACCTGAATCACTATTCTTTTTGCATGCCTGCTTTAGCATTTTGGATACGTTATTTTGAAACACATTGCTTACATCCTTTTTTCCCTTTCTTTTCAGTGGTAGATTGTAAAGTATCTGCTTGGAGTTCCTGGTCAGACTGTAGTGCAGTATGCGGCTTTGGTACAATGAAGAGAGAAAGGCATGTTATTAAGCACGAAGTCAATGGAGGGCAAAGTTGTCCAGAATTATTGCAAAAGAGAAGCTGTTATGGCAGTCAATGTGATAAACATTCTCATTCAAAGGCCAATAGGGGTATAGTTTCAGTTAGTATATGAATCTGAAGAGATTAGAATTATATCGTTTAAGTGCAGTGAAACAAAATATATATTAATTAAACAGCATGTTTCAAATTTGTCAAGTATGAATAAATTAATGCTGGATGAGTCGAGTATTTTATTGTCAGACTGAACGACTAAGGTGTCGAGTTCCCTATCAACAATTTTACCTTGGCCTCAGTTGGGTTCAAAATTTTCTCAATGTGGGTTCTATATGGACATGAACATGGGACCAATATTGGGATGTCTAGATTTTTTAACATCCGTCCTATATAGGACCAATATTGACTGAATAATGAATATAAAATATCGTGAATCTGACAGCTCTATATAGGGCCTATATTGTTTGTGTAAAGTGGCTGTAAAATATCGAGTGAAAAGGACAATTTTATATAGGGCTAATATCGGAAAATAACGGCTCTTTTATTGAACTAAGATTAGTGAATATTGGTCAATGAGGGTCCAAGTTATTTTGCTGCTAGTGTTTTGATAGAAAAAGTCGCAGATTCGACCCTAGAAGTCACTGACGAACTTCAAACTTAATAAATGAATTATACCCGTATGTTTTGAAAATGTTTAAATTTTATAGACATCACTGTTTCCGTAGGATTTTTATAGTTAAAGACAAGATTTTTGCAGGATATAATTTAAGAAATTAAAATTTTTACTTTTGAGATTATATAACTAGGATGTTCATGATTTTTTACAGCTTAATGTATAATCAAGAATGATACTTTTTCAAAAAATTTTGTAATGGTTTTGTAAACAGTTCAAAAAAAGTTTCTTTTTTTCCAGAGTATATTATACAATCCTGAGTTAGCCTGTATGTAACTCATAACAAAATGAGCACAGGGTCACTATTGTGCTTAGTATTTGGAAATTCTATATCATTGACTATCCTTTATATTGTAAAAATTAAGAATAATAAAAAGAGAATGAAAAAAAGTAATTAATATTCCTTGGATTAAAATACGCTTAAAAATAATTTCTTGAATTTTGAGATAAAAAGAACAGTTTCAAAAAATATTCTAATTCAAAAAGAAATTTGTTTATTATATTTCAATCAAATAATAAGTATAAGTTTTTTAGTCGTGCGACTAAATTATTTTTAAGAATGCCTAATATGTTATTTTCATGTTCCAAAATTCTAATAATTATGATATTTATTTAATTTAGAGATAGCGATGATTTTACCAGCTACTTATTCTGTCATTCGGCAACTCAACGCCAGTCATGACATAAGAAGTAATCTTCGACTACGATATAGGAAGGATCCTGAACAAGAAAAAAGTAAAGAGTAAGTTAGAAAAAAATGCGAATCATTAAAGGTTATTAGTTGATTAAATTATTTGTGCATGAATAAAATAGAATTTTAATATTTTTATCATTTTCAAGATTTATTGTGCAACAATGAAGAGTTTTTCATAGTTTATCCTTGAGATTTCTTATAAATTCATCAAGTAAAGATAAATGTCACATTTCAGCTTGTAGATATATTGAGGGTCAAGAATTCAAATCCATCTGAAATGGATTTGAATTGACCAATTCAAATCCATCATATGTTTATTTAGAGAGATTTCATTTTTGTGTCTGCGATAGCTAATTAGCATATTTAACACTAGAAGCTTCGTTAGGGTCATTTTAATAATTTTTTTGGTATTTCTTATGTTATTTTAGTCGAGGCTATTATTTTTTGACTTTTCCTAAATTCTTTCTAAGAATACTGTATCAAAATGTCATGCGCTTATGTAGATTAGTAAAATAAATTATCATAGAAATACTTAAAACAGCCAAAAAGGGTCAAGAAAAATGTTCGTAAGAAAAATGTTCATTTTTTGAATTTTTATGCCTGTTTTTTTGATTTTGAAAGGTTTCAAATCTCATGAAGTGAATTTATAGAACAGAAATTGGGTCCTAAGTGTTAAAAAAAATGGACACAATAATTTGCATTAAATTATGTGGTATCTTAGAGAATCGATGTTCGAAGTAGTTAAGTTAAATTCGCAATTGCGTCCGAAAAAAACATAAATATAAACAGTTTTGATTTTTTAAATTTAATCCTGAAGAAGAATTAACTGTTGGTAAATAATTATTGCTTGTAAATCAAAATGCAAATTTATCGCATGGCGAGCAAGCCACATAAATAAAATTAAAATAAATAAAATGATATAAAATTATATAATGATAATGATATAATTATAAATGATATAAAATTAAAATAAAATAAAAATTCTTATTGAATGGTTATCTTTGAATGTCTTCAACTGATTGACAACTCTGGGAAAATATTGTGTAAGTGCTCTAAATATGGAACACACTGTGGAACTATTGCTAATTTTTTTTCACCTCAGTAAAACTTGCAGATGATTTTTTTTTCGTTAAAAGAAATGCCCTCATAATTGGGATAGAACGTCTGAACAAGAAAAAGTGTGTCAATTCTTCGTCATGATATTCACCTTTTGTACTGCAAACTTAAACAAAACACTCAATATACATGTGAAAAAGAATGTCATAATTCCAAACAGTAATCAACTGAATGTGTTTGCAGACGATAGCAGAAGCCAAGTACTGTCACTTAATACAACAGAACGAAATGACAGACAAGATGCTAAGGAATTATTCTACACTGCGTGAAACTTGCAAATGGCTCGTTCATATTTTACAAAGTTTGTGATATTGCAACCTTCAATGCTTGGATAGTTTTCGAGAAATCTCCCTAATCACTCATTGCGTGGTTATTGTGTACTTGTTGATGAGCTACGAATTAGTGTTTAGCCTAAGTAATAGCCCCTAATTTATAAATTCCAGTCCATAAAATAAAGGAAACACGCCTTTTAACAGCGCGAAGGACAGATTTAAACTTAGATCTTAGCTATTAGAAGTTTAATTTAGAGATGCAAATTGTCAATGTTTTGTTGTCACTTTCATGTCGCGCGGATATGTTGCAGTAAGCCAGATCTAATGTCTAACTAAAGATGGAACTTCTACATTTTAAAACCTGTTGTGTACAGTAATGTGTATTGTTTATATTCACACCTTTTGTTTATTTTTGTATGACTTGCGTTCCTGTTCAAGAATAATGTGTAATATAATATTACACAATATTGTCATATTCTCATTAAGTTAAAAAATTCTTTTTTTCTTCCATTATCTCTAAAAACCCTTATATATTTTTTATTTTTAACAATATTCATCAAAAAAATAATCGTTTGATATAAGCTTTGGAATGACGTCAATTTTTTATGAGGGTCAAATTGATCCCGAATGGCGGTTTTAGGCAAGTCTATGCGGTTGTTCTAGTGTTAAGGTTAAAAATGTGAAAATCCGATCATTAGATCAAAAGGTAACGGCTCCTCCCTTGTTTTATTAATACAAATATATGTTTATTCAGAGATTTTACATTTTTGTGTCTGTTTTCGAATTTTAAATCGTCTACAATAATTAATTAATATATTAAAGGTTAAGCTTGAGAAAGTATGTGGTAATTTGAACATTAGATCAAAAATAAACAGTGTACCCTCTTTTTTTAATAGTAAAAATAAATGTTTATTTAGAGAAATTACTCTTTTGCGTCTGTTTTCGTATCTTAAAAAATCATCTGAAATAATTAATTAGCACATTTAAGGTTAAGTATGAGAAAGTTTGTGAAAATCCGATCATTAGATCAAAAGTTAATGGTGTCCCCCCTTTATTTTTGTAGCAGAATGATTCAATGGTGAATGGGTGCAATAAAGAAACCATATTGGATAACAAAGAAATTTAATAATAGTTAAACAATAAAAACAAAGAATATGGTAGGATATTTTTAGTGCTTGACAATAAGTCAACCATTCCAACCCATCACCTGCCACACAAGAGATTGCAGAATTATTGTGAGTGATAACAATGCCTTCTGTTGGTCAAGCAGATATTCCTAACAGTTTTAATGATAAAATTATATGTTTATTAAGATAAATTACGCTTTTGTGCCTGTTTTCGAATTTAAAAAAAATCGTCTGCAATAATTAAATAGCATATTTAAGGTTAAGTATGAAAAATATGTGAAAATCCAATAATTAGATCAAAACTTAATGGTGCCCAACTCTTTTTTTAGCACTGTATATCAAAATTGGTCATTTTAACTTTGGCTGGAATAAAAACGTTCTCCTTAAACTAATAAACGTTCTATAAATTTATAACAGAAAATTATACAGCATAATTAATGCCTGTAGGTTAATCTTGATTTACCAACAATTTCAATAAATTTTTAGTAAATATACATTCTGTTGTCATATTTTATATTTAGTACTGAAATGATTTCTATTTATATTTAGGTACTGTGTGGTATTTGAACTTTTGAAAACAAAGAAAGCTTGTGAAAATTTGGCAACTGAAATATCTTTAAAGATAGAGAAAGGCTCTATGGTGTGTGTGTCTTGCGAAACTGCAGCTATGCGCAAGCATCTTGGATATCGTTGCCAAGGTCATGGAGTGGAGCACAAAAGTACAAGATTTGCATTTTTATCTTTTCCTCAATGTCATGGTAGGTGGAAGAAAAAAGAAACAGTGGAGAAGTGCAATTGTGACGAAGAAGGAAAAGCTAATTTCATTTTTGTATAAAACAATTTGTAGAAAAATAAAAAGTATTTGTTGTTTTCAAACTCAGAAATAATTTAATGTAATATTCTCATTAAACACATATACCTCTTAGACGATACATGCATTTATTTTGCTCTTTAGGCCAACAATTACAAAAACTTGTTCCATAGAACCCTACGGTTCCGCGGAAGTCTCTTAGGGGCTCCAAGAGCTAAGGCAATTTATTTAAATTAGTAAAAATTTTTGAAACGTGAAATTATATCTATATCCAATCTTTTATTTAATATTTCGGTCATTTCTATTAAATTATTCAAGCATAATATGTGTGAAAAAGATCGCAGTTTTTTAAAAAAATAATTAGGCTGTTGAAGTTTTTCTAGTTTTGCTTCTTGCCTTTATTTTCCATTTTTTGTAGCGAACTTTACATTTTATAATTCTTTGCTTCTTCTCATTTAAGCCTGTCAAGTTTTGAAAATGGGCGCCTATTTTTGAGCGCTTGAAACATGTCAACTGTTATATCCAATCTGTATATTTTTGAAGCAGATGAAGTTATTTAATCAAATAATACATAACGGCTTCAGTTTCTTGGGATTAATTTTTTTCTTTTAGAATTGAATTAGTATTTTCCATCAAACTTTTTAATACAAAGGAAATAATCGAAATCAACTGTAAAGAAATGTGTTTCTCTAATAGCCATTTTCAATATTTGCAACAGCCCTTTTTCATTTCAATGAAAACCATATTTCAACTTATCTTATTCATTTTCCGTTTATGCACGAACTAAATACGAATTCAGAGCTAGTCTAGAAGGCTGTGAATTCAATCGTCTGACGTAACACCTAATTTTAAAATTATTATTGTTAAAACGATGGGAAAAATTAATTTATTTCCACACCTCAAATAGTTTCAAAATTATTAGTAGTCTTTCTTTACTTATTAAATTGGTGTTCCGCCAAAAGAAGATCGATCATTTAGGGTTCCGTTTCCAGAAAAAATATGGAACTGCTGCTTTAGGGTACTACCTTATGTCTAAAAATTATCGACAATTTAAAATAAATTCAAAGAAAATGGAAAAGATAAAAATATATGGCTCATAACGTTTTACGTCAGAAACCAGATTATTTAATAAGTTTCAAAATTAGTGAAAAAAGTTGTTATAAGAAGGTTTAATTTGAAAAACTATAAAATAATTTTTTAATATATTTGTCACATTCTTACAACTGAAATATTTGCATAGGTTATCTATTAAATTTGTTTTATTTCTGCACCACTTTGGAATTGCAAATGGTTATTTTAAAATTTTTTTTCTTTGTTTTTCTCAGATAAAAACACCATCTTTTGATGAACTTTGAAAATAATTTTGAAACCTTGAGAATAAATTCCTAGAAACCTAAGCAGAAAGCAATAAACCATACAATACCATATTTTTTCGTTTTTCTTTCATAGATTTTTCAATTGACAATTATTTTTGAGGCAGTCATTAATATATTAAAGTACTTTAAGGGGTGTATTTGCTAAATTTTAATGACAAGAGAGTATTAGAAAAATTTATGTTATACCCTAAAATCCTATTACTTATAATGTTTTTTAATTGAAAAAAATAACAAAAAAAAAATGATAGGAAAAGAACGAAATTAAATTTAAATTATATTCAATGCAAAATTACATCTTTTATTTGAACTTAAAATTAAATTACTAAGTAGACGGTAAAGTTAAATAAAAAAACAAAGGAGTGTTAAGACTTTGTTAAGATGGGAGGAGTTTGGGACATACTTATTTTTACTGATAAGGGAAGTCTGTAACTGCCAAAAATAATTTTCATATTTTATAACATAACATAATAAAACTTATAGGATGATCCTACAAAAGAATTTTTAATAACTATATATAAAGAGAAACCAAAGCATTTACACAGCCATTGGGGCTTTCAACCTCTTCCTCATTTAAAATGACTAACTAACTTCTTTTTCAAACCATTCTATCTTCTAAATTTAGCTGAGGTATTAACTTTCAACAATTTTCTGTTTTCAATTTTCGAAAATAAGTTTAAAAAGAATCATTCTACAAATTTTATGAAAATTATTTAAATACAAACAATGTAATTGCACAAAGAATATAATTTATTTCAACAAATGTTTTATAAAGATTTATAAATCCTTCAAAAATACAAATGACCTAACAAATCTTATAAAAATATCAATAAATTCATTCACAGTACAGAGTTTTAATATACTTTAAATGATAACAGAATTCGTTACATTACATAAGACCTTTATGCTACAGGATAACTATTTCAGAACAGTATTTCCAGTTACACAATAACTTAAAGTAACATTTTCTTTTAAGTCATATAAAAGTTCTATAAACAGAAAAACACATTATATATTTAAAACTCTCTGCACACAGACGTACAATGAACACAGATTTGGCAATTTAATTAAGAATTTGAGAAAAGCAGTCTTATAAAAATTAAGTTTCTTAGAAGCACATCATATTAATTTTGTTGCATAAATTGATAGAAGAGATTCTTTTATTCATTTTTCATCTTTGTTCAAAACAAAAATGCATGAGAAAGAGAAAGACAGATTTCATAAATAATAACATCACTAAGTAGAACGCCATGTCAACCCAAACAGGAAATAAATGCTTTGTAAAACTTTATCAAGCATTATATAGAAAAGTTTTTTACAATCCAAAGAACTCTTCAAAGTATATTTTTTTGAAAAGTTTGGGATAAAAATGGAAATAAAAAGAGAAACTTTAAAATGCATAATAACCTGAAATTAAACCATATTTTATGAGATAAAACTATTTTATCACATTTACTTGTCTATCTTATCACATTGAATATAAGAAATCAGAGTATTAAGAAAAAAAGTGGGTTTCTTAGAAAAAGATCACATTAATTTTGTTGCATAAATTGATATATGAGATTCTTTTATTCATTTTTCAAAAGAGAAAATAAATGCTTTGTAAAACTTTATCAAGCATTAAATAAAACTTTTCTGAAAATTCAAAGAACACTTTAAAGTATATTCCTTCAAAAGTATATGATAGAAATTGAAATAAAAGGAGAAAATATAAAATACAAAGTTACATGAAATTATAAATGCAATTAAAGATATATGCAATAAGCATTCCTTTAAAATAATATAAGAAATATAATGTCTGTTTAAATATTAATCAAAATGCTTATGAAAAACAAATTCTTAACTATTCATAAAATTGAGCGGCAGTTTAATAAGAATATGAGAAAAATCAGAGTATTATAAAAAAAAGTGAGTTTCTTAGAAATAGATCACATAAATTTTGTTGCATAAATTGATAGACGAGATTCTTTTGTTATCTTTCATCTTTGTTCATAGAACGATAAATTTAATAAGTAATCAAATCACTAAGTAGAATGCCATGTTCCCAAAAGAGAAAATATATGCTTTGTAAAACTTTATAAAGCATTAAATAAAACTTTTCTGAAAATTCAAAGAACACTTTTAAAGTATATTCCTTCAAAAGTATCTGACAGAAATTAAAATAAAAGGAGAAAATATAAAATACAAAGTTGCATGAATTTAAACCATATTTTAAGTGGTAAAATTCTTTTATCACATTTACTTCTCAACAGAAATATTAATTTATAGTATAAATGCAATTAAAAATATATATACGATTAGTATTTCTATAAGATAATATAAAAAGTATAAAATTCGAATAAATATCAATAAAAAAAATTTATGTATGACAATCTTAACTATTCATAAATTTACGTGGTTAGTTAGGAAATAAATAAACAGAAACTTGATGTATATCATTTTTCTTTCTTTAAATTTGGTTTAGGTTGCCAATAAATAAACTCTTCTCGACCAGCAGCTAGACCAGAGACTCTCGCAACAGTAAACAAATAATCACTGAGCCTAAACATAAAAACAAATCAAAGGTCAAATTAAAATTTAATAAATAATTATTTAATAATGTACAATTAACTAATTATAATTAAATTATTAGAGATTTTGACAACAAATATTCACCCAGTTTAAACATAAAAAATAAATAAAATAGATAAAATTATTTACACAAGTTTAATAAACAATATCTTTTTAGAAACTAAAACAGCAATTTCGGTAATAGTAAACAAATAACCACTCAGCCTAACCATAAAAAATACATAAATAAAATAAAATAAATGATGTATTGCACACAAAAATTAGTCGTTCAGAAACTTAATTAGATAAGGGTAGATAATGTAGAATTTAAAAGATTCAAAATAATGTTAACACCAAACACAAGGTCAAAAGTAGTAAGATATAACAAGTGCAGAAATGGCTGGTACAGTTTCATTTTAAACATTCAATGGACAGTAATAAAAAACAATTCATTAGCTCAATAATATAAATTTGGTGATAAAAAACAAAATGAATTTGAACATAAAATTCCACACCTTAAATTTTTTTTTGAATTGATATAAAGTGCATTAAAATATGCTAGCGCTTAACACCACTTCTTAAATTTTATAACAATCCAAAAAATTAATCTTTATGCATACAATTATTTTCCAATTCTGACATTCAAAATTTTTCTTTGTTTTGGTACAGGTTTGTGGTAGCAATTCTTTCAATTGCGTGCTGATAAAACTTGATTTTTAATAGTTTTATAAATGCGTGGTTATAGTAAATTCTTGTTGTACATTGTTTTTGTAAAAGGAAAGGATAATCCACAGATATATCAAACATTAATTACTTTTATTCAAGGAATATTTTTATATTGGCCAAATAAAATTTATAAAAAATAATAAGCATCAGATAAAGAGATGAATGCATTATCAACACAAAGACATTTTGTAAAATTATTAATGGTCAGACTGAGAGGCCATTGGGCATCTAAAACCCGACTGTCGTAATGCCAAGAATTTTAAATAAAAAGTGACTGTATAGTTCCTAACAAACATTTGGGAGCATGGGAAAAGATCCATAGTTGACAATTTATCAATAGATAAGATAGCTGTAAACAAAGGCAACCCCATGTTATTAATATTAGATTTAAAATAATTTGGCTATAACATGATCACTAAAAAGATCGTGACAATTAATATAACCTTGTAACTGAAATGTTTTTGTGGTTAGAAGAATACAACAGCTTCAGATATAAAGAGTTAAAAATAAATTTTCATGTTCGATTTAGTCATGACAGTGAATTAATGAGTGATAAATATATATTGAATTAAAAAAAAAAGTCGTTACATTGACTGTTAAGAAGAGAATAAAATATTTAGATTAGCTTTTTATAAAATGTGATAAAAATTATATACTTCAATTAAAATCGGATTAATAATAATTAAAAAAATTAAATTTATGAAATTAAAGAAATTTTAAAAGCTAGGAAATATGTAATGTCTATAATGACATTGCAATGTATTTAAAATGATTTGATAATTACAAAAGAAACCATTATGTTTGCCCTCTTCAAAAATTGTTAATTGTAATCATAAAAAAGATAATTCAACTCCTCAGCAATGAAAATTTTCTAAAATTTTTTTGTGTGCTACTAATTAACATTAAAAGAAGTATGCTAGATCAATGAAAATACACTACATAAAATGTAAAAATTTTCAGTTTTTAAACCATTTTTTTTTGCTTTTTCATTCAGTTCAAAATTGTGTGATTAATAACATTCATCATGTTACATTTTAATTTTAACTGTTCAACATAATTTTTGAATTTCTAGCTTTATATCACAAAAGATTACATATCTTTTTTATCTGAAGAATTGTATACAAAAATGCAGAAGAACTTAAATTTCAAATAAATGCATATGTATTTCTTGCGTAAAGTTTGATTTTCAAATAGAACATAAATTTTTTTAATTTCAGACGACTCTAAATGCAAAAACCCTAAGGTGAAATCTTTAAAAAACAAAAAAATTAGGAATTAATAGAATCATTACTACAAATACAGTAACATCAATTAAAGTGCATTCATATAACAGTATTTATGCTGATTAAAAGAACAAAAACATTTATACTTTAAATTTGTCAAAAATAAATTTAAATTTATTAAATTATTCAATTTCTATTCATCAAATAAACACAATTCATTACAGGTACGCAGAAATGAATTTTTTTTTCTATGTAAAAATTTAATAGGAATGCAGTTACAAAAAAAAAAATTACGATAATATTTCAAACTGAAACTAAGTACAGCATTAATACTTTGTTACATTTAGAAATTAATTAATTTTATATATACTGTATCAATATAATGTAAAATTTACCTGTTTAAGTATCGCATGGGTGCTTCATCAACCTCATGATCTCTCACAAGAGGAACAACTCTAATAAAAAATATATGGGATCAAATATAGAGATACACATATAGTTGAACAGTTGTAAATTTTGATAGTCCTTCATCATCAAAAATAAAAAAGAGTATCACAGAAATTTAATTATCAGAATTTCTTATATCTAAAACTGTTAATTGAATTTTATTTCTGATTTTTATATAAAAAAAAATATAAAAAAATATTTGATATAACTTAAAGCATGATTGATCATTCCTCTAATTTTTAAATTTTTATCTTTTTCATTACTATAATTTAAAGTATGAGTGGTCAATTTTTTAATGAGGTTCAAATCTTTTTCAAGTTAATTATTCTCCATTATTTTACTTTCACATCCTTTAACCATTTTCTAAAAAAGAGATTTAATTACTTAAAGTCATCTATGCAACAGTTCTAGTTCTGCTATTGCTAATGATCAAGCAATTTGTGCATCAAATTCACATAAAAATTTCAGATAAATATAAAATTATAAAAGTAGCAAACTGGAACTTAAATATTAATATGAGGATATAAGTAATCTTAAAAAATTACACCAATTATATTAAAATATATTCTATGACTTTACCAGAAATAATAATAAAAAAATCTTCTAAGAAATACTGATGGTTGACAATTGTTTTATCTTGCTTGTTATTGACAGAAAGATGACAGTATAAAAACATTTTGAAATAGAATGCAGCATGTGATGAAATTTTTCCAAAACAAAATTAATGCAGAAAAAATAAAATTAAAACAAGCACTAATATTTCAAAATTTTGACTGAAAATAAGTTAAAAATATTTACCGTCGCTCAGCTCGCCTACAAATAGATCTAGCAATATGAAGTGCTGCACTACCAGGTCCTCCAGACTACAAATAAAAATGCAAGTAACTAATAAAATTATGCATCAATTAATATATTAAGCAAATAAAAATTCAGTAAAAGTTACATTTAAATACTTACAGGGAGAATAAAATTATTTAAAGGTGGAAGAGTTTTAGTATGTTCATCAATCCAATTTTCTAACACATCAACATGTTCAGGAGGAAATTTAGTTTTGGCTAAATCATAAAATACAGCGTTAATCCAAAATAATATAATATGGCTATAGTAAAAGTACAACAAGAGAGACAATTTTATTTTTTAAGACGAAATGAAGTAATAATAATAAAAAACAGCATACAATGGTTAACTAAACAGTTAACCATTCTATGCACTTTTTCTTTAATCCAGTTTTTTACCATTAAACATATATTATACAAAAGATATATTTAGAAAATAAATTTTCAACAAGAAAATACTTCAGCATAGTTTAATTGAAATAATAACAAATAATAAACATGAAGCGACTTGGAAAGTTGCATTAATGACGTTGCTTATTGATAAAAGAAACTTCCTGTTTTAAATCTGGAATATTACCTCCATTTTTCATTAAATACTATAGAACTGCATCATAAAAAAGAATACTCTTATTCTTATAAAGCTAGATTAAACTGAAAACCTTACAAGGTAAACAGGCTCAAAATAAACATCATATCAAATTTAAAGCAACTTGATAATATTTTGGTTCATAAAAGTATCAGTTTTAGGACTGAATGTGAACCAATTTTTTTAAAAATATACTTTGCAATTTTTTCAGCAAATAAGATTTTATTATCTGATAACATTCTTCATTTTTTATGGTCAAGCAAAATTATATTATTATTTAGAAGGACGTCTGAACTTTACAATGTTATCATCATCATCATCATAGTTGGCCAGACAGCCCAATGTCAGCCAATGCCTTCCTCTGAAGATTTCTCCAGGACGACTTCTTATTTATCTTTGATCTCCAATTTTTTTCATTAATTGTGAGACAATCAGACTCCACTGAGTCAGCTCATCTCAACCGCGGCGTTCCCCGCTTTCTTTTTCCAGTAGGTCTAAAAAGCTGTATCTTTTTTATTGTGTTGTCGTCACTCATTCGAATCAAGTGGACAATCTAATTCATTCTATTTATTTTTATGTATTTAATAATATCAGGTTGCTTATAAATCTTGTACAGTTCAAAGTTAAATCTCCTTCTCCAGTTATTGTTTTAATTTACACCACCAAGCATGCCCCGCAAAATCTTTCTCTCAAAAATTGCGATACAATTTTCCTCCAGTTTTGTCATTGTCCAAGCTTCAGAGGCGTATGTCAAGACTGGCCGGACAAAAGTTTTGTAGAGAAAGAAACCTAGATTTAATAAATGTTCTCAGCCCATAGACAGCCCTATTCGCCAAATAGAGTCAGTTTTTTATTTCAGGAGTGATTCTGTTGTCAATAGTAATAATTGATCCTAGAGCCTTACAATGTAAACAGGTTCAAAATAAAGATAATAATAAAATAATATTTTATTATCTGATAATATTCTTAATTTTTTCATACATACTTTTTATACTACATAAGCAATTATAAATTACATTCAACTTTAAATATGTTTAGAGAACAAACAAGAATAAAATATTTTTTATCTGAGATTAGTTTTTTAGTGCCAGCAAGACCTCAAGCAGCAGTTGTATGTATATAAAAAACTATTTATTTTTAATTCAAAATCTTTTTTCATCTCTGTTTACACCTGAACAATAAATTTTATGCACTGGTAAACCATTATATTTTAAAAATATTAAGTAAAATTATCAGTAACAATAAATTTATGTAGAGTAAATGAAGTATTTCAACAGTATAATAGTATTCATTGCATGTCAAAGTAATACAGTAAAAATATAAAGCAAAACAATTACTACTAAATAAAATATTTCATTTGTATAAAATAAAAAACACAGGCTAAAATGCTAGAAGTAGTACCAATAAATACTACTCGTATAAAGTGACATAGTGACACTATGTTTAAAGATGAAAAAGAAAAATAATTAAAAAAAGTTAAAAATAAAATAGATAACCTTCATGATAAGCTTTTTGAGAACTTTTTGGAGTTGCAACAGATGCAGCTAGATCTTGAATAATACACTGCACCTGTTGAAGTTTTGAGAAGAAATAAACATCACTAAAGAATATTAAAAAAAAAAAAAACACGAATAGCAAAAGCAATAAATAATTATTTAAAATAAACAATTCACTAAAAACATACTTCTTGTAGTTGAATGTTAATATTTTGACAACTATCTGGCAAAAATTCTCTTGCAAATCCAATTGCACTTGTTAATTCATCAGTGGTACCTAGAGCTTCAAAAATGTCATCATCTTTATATCTTCTTTCCCCAGTAAAAGTTGAAGATGTTCCTTAAAAAAGAAATCATTAAATAATTTAAAATGATAGCATTGATAGATCTTTGAGATCTCTAACAACTGACTGTGTTAGTAAAAAGGGTGCGGGAAAGACTCGGGGGAATATTTCCGTATCGTGATCTGTCGTGCCAACTAGATTTTAAACTTGCAATTTTTTTAATAAAAACCTGTAGATATTTGCCCGGGGAGTGGTTGCGAGTTATACCTTTCGAGTTTGTCCCTTTCTGTGATGTTTTTTTTTTAGTTTCTCGCGGGCCACTGCCCGGAAGTTGCCCAGATCACTATACGGAAATCTCCCCAGATTCTGCGTTGTTAAATAGTCCGGAAATTACATAACGCTAAATTATTCTTTCCTATATTCCTATGGTCAAATGCTTATTTCAAGGAGAGGGATTTTCTTGTTGTTGCTCTATTTGGAAGGAAAAGGGTATACAGATACATACTTAAACATAGATCGCAATATAACAAAACACTTCTTTTCAATATTTTTATGGTCAAATACGTATTTCAACGAGAATGGTTTCTTAGCAGTAATATAGGGGAAAAAAAGGTAAATAGGTAAAAGAGTTAAACAATGAAATGCCATCTCAATCTATAACAGCAAATACAACAGATCCAGATTCCAAGAAGATAACATGTTTTATTTTTAAATGAAAAACAGGGTACAAAACTATTTGCAATTCGCTTTATCCTGATTATTCATCGTATTATTATTGTTTAAAATTTTAATATAAAACATAAAATAGTCTGTTTACCTTTATCTCCAGTTTTGGTATAGATTTTTGGATAATAAACAGCAGGGCTAAAGAAATAAGAATTTTAAAACATTCTAAAACAGAAAAGTTTACAATAATAAATATGAATCTAAAATTTGTAACATGAAACCTTCTAGATAATTTAGCTCTGGAAACTAAGATTAAGTTAGGAATCCAATTCCACTTAAACATTTTTTTAAACCTATGGACAGTAATTAAATCTCTATTTTAAAGATTTATAATTCTTTCCCGGTTTAATAAAAGGAAAATTAGAAAAAAAAGTATTAATCAATGTTCTGGTTCAATCAAGATAGAAGTTTATTTATTTATTTTATAGCTAATAAGTACACTTTCCGCTGCTTATTTCTGTGGAACGTGAAACTTGCTGAAGATGATTTATTAACCGCACAATTTTGATTTCATTTAGACGAGATAGTCTAGCTTTATGCTTTATAAAAGCCCGTTGACACTGCAGATAATTCATTCAACGTCGAGAGAAAGCAAAGAGTGTGATTGGTGAATTTTTCACTAGAAAATATTATTCACCAATCAGAATCTCATTCTCCTTAACTAAGATCAAAGGAGTATGAAGCACATGAGTAACGTTGATTTTTTATTTTTATATTCGTTAACTGTAGCTGCCTTTCCAATAGCGCTGGCTGAAAAAAAACAAAAACTGGAGTTTGAAACAGCAAGGCTAAGATAATTTATTTTATACTTAAATAAAGCTCTGTATATTATAAAAAAAGTTACTGCTTTTGTTTTCCTGCAATGTCAGAACCCTGGGCCTCAGTTGAACAAGCTCAAAAAGAAAAACGATGTGAATTAGTCATCGCTGGACCTGAATATTCTCATTTAATTGAAGAACATGGCTTGGATCCCGGTATATTTAATGTGACTCATCTTAATTTTTTGGAAATCAGTAAGACGCCTTTGGAAGAATTACCAAACACTATTGGTCAATTAACAAATTTAACGAGATTGGTCATATCTTATAATAAATTGCTGAAGTTGCCTGCAGAAGTGAAAAACCTCAAGAAACTAAAATTTCTGGACGTGTCGCATAATATGTTATCTGAGCTGCCAGAAGGTTTATCTGATTTGTCTGAATTACAATCTTTGAATGCCAGTTTTAACAACATCAACAAAGTACCATCTGTCTCCCTGTTGACAAAGTTGGTTTCGTTGAATATCAGTCATAATAAATTTGAAGAATTACCTGTTACGATTTGTGATTCAAATTTGATTCACTTTACTGATATTTCTGCTAATAATAATTTAATATCAAGTATTCCAACTGAGATCGGAAATATTTCCAATTTGAAAGTTCTTGATTTAGGTGAGAATCAGATTACTTGTGTTCCTGGTGAGTTGGGAAGTTGTACAAAGCTAAAAGAATTGAACCTGAAAGGTAATAAGTTGCAGGATAAACGCTTATTAAAGCTTGTTGACCAATGCCATGTCAAACAGATTATGGAGTATATTAGAAGTCACTGTCCTAAAGCTAATGCAGGAAATGACAAACAATCCAAGTCCAAAAAGAAAGCTAAACAATCGAAGAAGGCTGAAGTTGAAGAGGTATAATTGTTTCTTGTGAATCTTTCTTATGGTACTTAGATTGCTCCTTGTGAACGTCAAAATAATCTCTATGAATTTCTACAGATCTTAGCTGGGGTGGTTGTTTTCTGTATGTATCCCGGAATTCCAGGATTTTCCTATCATTCCTTCCTAACGTTAAATTTAGGAGTAGTACATGGGATTTTTCCTGAATTTCGCCATTTTTTGACCATTTCAAGACCATTGATTCATAGTCTTAAGAGAAGCAAAAGCTTATCTGATAAAAGTTTTACAAAGTTCTGCAATCTAGAATTTTAATTTGTAAACGATGTGTTTATGTACATGTAATTTTTTTGCAAATTTGAATCTTTTTGCTTGGCAGATTTTCGCCATTTTGAATCTTTGGAACTGCACCAGAATTCGCTAATGTCACGATTCATATTCATGCGATTTTAATGTCATACATCTCTTTTCTTATTTAGCTGATTTATAAGTTATACTTTGCGATTGTATTCATGCAATTTTATAATCGTACACTGGATTTTGAAAATCCATGATTCGTATTCACACATGCTTTTCAATCCAACATATCGTATTAACATGTTTTTAAAATTCAAGTTCATGTTATATATTACTGTTCTTATTCACATGTTTGTAACATCAAACATCATTTTTTGTATTCATACTTGATTTAAAAGCAACACATTGAAATTCATATCCACATGATCTGAAAATCATGCATTGTGATTTGTATTCATCTGATTTAAAAATCCAATTTTGCAATTTTTTGCAAAAATCCAATTTTGCAAAAAATCCAAAAAATCATGAAACATGTATGATAAGTAATTTGACTTCTTGATATCTAATTTTTCATTATATGTGTTTCATTGTATCCTTTGTGTCACAATCATCCCTGTTTTAGGTTAGGGAATGGAATTGTTCAAAGCTTTTAATAATTACGCAAAAGTTTTTTATGGGTCCTTTTTGGTTCAATATTTTCATTTTGTAGAAAACGTTTTATTTTATAGTTACTGTTTATTCATTTTGAGGATGAACTATTACATCACAATTTTGAAAAATAGTAAGAGTTTCAAAACTTTGGAAATTCGTTGCGATAACTGCGGAAAAAAGTGATAAAAAACTACATAATAGATTTGACATGTTCTAACTTTTCTATTTAAAAGAAAAGTGTGTATATATCGCATTTCATTGTGTTCGGGTGCTATCACAGGCCACATTGTATTATTTCTGGATTGTGCGCATTCAAACCTCGTGTGTCCCTGTGCTGTGTTTTTTTTAATTTTATTTATTTAAGCCGCTGCAATTACCAGTTACTTCTTAAAAAAATTTTGTTTTGTTTATAGTTTTTTTTGCCTGTAGCCCTGTGGCAGAACTTTTCAAGTTTTCTGTGACATGCCTTTCTAATACTAATATCTTTCTGCAAGATACTTTTAAAAATAGCAGATTTATATGTTACTAATTCAAAGTAACAGAAATGCAACTTCGAATAAAAAAAATAATAATAAATAAATAAGAAAAAACTTTTTGGATAAAATAAAAAAATGTTTTAAAAAAATATGTAATAATTTTTTTTATTTTAATATTATGGGGATATTCTCACATTTTGCAGGGGGCACCGATTATTTTCTTTTTCATATTCTCTTTCATAAATCAACATCACATTAAAAAAAAAAAATCATTAAAAAATTGCATCTTTCATCGCTAAGCACATATTTTCATTTTGAGATTTGGCTGTTGTAATAAATAATATTGTATTAAAAATAGCGGATTTAAAAAAAAACTAAGTGGAAATAAATAGTAACATATTAGAACGAACAATAACATATTAGAACGGAAATTTCTGCAGAAAATTTTTTTTAACTTTATTATTCTTTATTTTTAATTATTATCAAAGGACAATAGAAAAATCACAAGCATCTTTTTCATCATTCGCTGAAAGGCAACTTTTGAATATAATTCTGAAGAAAAGATAAAACTTTCGAATATTTCTGCAGAAAAAATAACTAAAATTTGTTAATTGTAAAAAAAAAAAAAAAAAAGATCTTTCTGCAAGAACTCGGTGACATTTTGCTGCATTGTCGCCACAATTCTGCCACAGGGGCCTGTAGTAGTTAACATCCTTAATCTTTTTAAGCGACTTTTTTTTAAAATTATGTAATTAAAACTGATTTTTAAGTTTTTTGAAATTATATATATGTATGGTGGGTAGCATCTTTAAAAGGTGCTTTTTTTTATTTCGTTGGGTGTTTTTAAAGAGTGCTTAATTTTTCCTTTTCGAAAATGAGATTTTTTTCTTAACCTTATTGGTTTTTGCCACATATTATGCAAAAGCGTGCTTTTCACATTGTTCTATTCAACGTTTTCTCAATTCATTTGCCTATAATCTATTTCGCCGTACCGTTTGTCCATAGAGCCAATCATTTTACATGTCTGATGCAATACTTGCGATTTCGAATATGCGTCTACTGAGCTGGGTTCGGTGAGATTGCTCTCTTGTGTGCAACTCTGCTGCATTTTGCAGGATATTTTCAATTACAATCTTCTATTCCACCCTCTGATATCGAGCTGAAAAATCTTTGCATTTTGTTAATGTATATTGTTTAAAAATATTTTTTGCTTGCTTAAAAAGTACTTAAAAGGTGCTTATTTTTTGAGAGATTTGACTACACACCCTGATATGATATATATTTAAAAATCTAGATTACTGAGTTGTTAGATGAGTTGAAGATTCTCCATGTTGAGGATGAATCAATCAAGATAATTTCAACATCAAGGATAGCTGAGATTCGTCCTTATATAGTTTGCTGCAAAGTGTTTGATGTGAATTTAAGTGATGCTGCATGCATGAAGAAATTCATCAATCTACAAGTTAGTATTTAAATTGTAATTTTTTACATTCTAAAACTTGATTTTTTAATTAATTTTTAAATGAATACTTTAATTTTAAAATGAAAATATTTCTCGTAATTAAAATTTCTGAACATTTTTAGACAAAGCTACATGATACCGTTTGTGAAAAAAGAACTGTGGCTACGATTGCTACTCATGATTTATCTAAAATCCAGGGAAATTTAACCTATGATGCTAAGTCACCACAAGAAATTAAGGTGGGTATTTTAAAGTTGAAACCTCATCTTATTATGTTATAATATAAACAGGCTATTCATTCTATGAATTTTTTATACATATATTTACAATTGAATGATATTTTATTCATAAAACTTAGGTAATTTGTGGTATTTTTGTTTGTTTTATGTACTTGTATTGCGTGGTAGTAAATCAGTGTTTTCATCATAGAAAAAAAGTGGGTGAGAATTTCTCACCCTTTCTCAAAAACAGGGTGAGATTTCAGAAACTTAAGTGTGACTAAAAAAACACAAAAACTCTTGAAAAAAAAATAATTTCTTTAATTACAATACGTTTTTAACGTCTTCTATTTTTTAAAGCATTGAATATTTTGGGTGCATCATAATAGAAGATTTTGCATTTACAAGGTATTTGTCCATCTTACATTAGCGCATAAAAAATTTGAACGTCTTTCATGAAGAAATTTAATCTCCGGTAAACACGTGGTTGCAGAGAAATGTGTTCTGAAAGGGGTTCTGTGTTTGTGTTCTGTTGTTCGAAAAGGTTTTGAACAATACTGGTAAATAGGGAAGCTAGATAACGGGGCAGATGTTGAAAATAATGAAAGATCCAGGAAGAAAAGTGAAACGGATTTTATTCTAAATGGCGTAATTCTAAGCTTTTTTCGAAAATGTGAGAAATTTGCGAATTTTGAAATTGATTTATAGAATTCACGAATTTCTCGCTGTAATAATTTTTTAATGCGAGAAAAGAAAAAAATATGTGAGATTCTCGCGTTCTCGCTCTGTAGTGAAAACACTGAGTAAATATACTACAAATAAAAACAATACTTCATGTGCAAAACTGCTTATTTTTAAACTTGATCAAATGTAATATTTATAGATAAATAAAATTTGCTGGGATACATTGTGTCAGCTGGTAAAATTTTACACATATTTTTAGTACTTTATTATTACTTTATATTTCTAATTTTTTTTTAATGTGAATGTGCAAGTTTTTCATTTCCTCAAAAAAAAAGCTATTTTAAATATTAATTTATATTCACATAGAAAAATTTTCAATAGTGCGTTTAAAATTGCGATTAAGGTAAGATAATGCAGAATTCAATATCATTTAGAATTATTTATTAATTTGCCCATTTTTTTTATTTATTTCGTTTTTCTACATTTCTGTGGTTTCATTTATTAAAGCCATTTTTTTTATAGCGGAAATAATTTAGCTTTAATATGCCCATTTAAGCTTATTTACCACCTTAAATTTTGGCTCTTTGCCTATTTAAACCTTTTGTATCCAATTCATTCATTATACTTTTTATTTATTTAATTTATGTAAATTAAAATATGTTTTAATACTTAAGGCCTAAGAGTCTAAGAAGAATAAAACTTAATAGAGCAGCTATTCCTAAAAGATGTTCCGTGTAACATTAGGGTTCTAAGATCTAGTAATTTTTTTAAACTAGTAATGATTATGTTTATATCCAATAAAGAATTCTTACGATATGTTTCAAATGTTTATATGAAATTATTTACGTAAAAAGTCAATGAAAAGTAACAAAAATAAATAGTTTTTCATTAAAAATATAGTGAATAAATTATGAAAAGGATATGCATTTATAAAGCCTTCAATTCAGTTCAGCTCATCAAACTTTTCAATTTAGTATAAAATAACCACAATCAAGAATAAAGTATATTATGTTTCTTTGATAACTATGCTCAACATTTTCCTGCTTTTTTAAAAACTATAATTTGGCTTATTTTATTTATTTTTAGCACATGCATGCACCAAAGGAAAAAAAAAATTCAAAACATTTAATTTTGTTACATTAAATATTTTAAAATAATTTTTTCTTTTGGTTAGAATATTTACAGCTGCTGTTGAATTTTTTTTAAAAAAATAATACTTGGGTTCTGCCTAAACAAACTTCATCATTTAGGGTCCCATTGCTAAAAGAAATTTGGAACTGCTGTATTAGACTATGTATTTTGAATGAAAATGCTTTTAAAAAAAATTTTTATTGTTAAAGTTTAATAAAGAAACATTTTTATTTCACTTCTTAAAAATTTATTTATTTTTAAGATAAAACAAAAGATGGGAAAATACAGAATTTTACTTATTTTATAAAGATTTTCATAATTTTTAATTTCCCAAATATTCATTTTATCCAACTTGCTTTGAATACATTAATTTGTTAGAATTATATTTGACTAATAATATAGGAAACGTTTTAGATTATAAGAAATTTTAATAAATTATTTTACACACTTTAATGTTTAAATAAAGAAGAGTCTATAATTTTTAACATTACTCAAATAAAAAATAAATGAAACTAGAACACAATTTATAAGCTTTATTATATTTTTTTTACACTATTTTGTAATAGCACTTTTTATTAAAAGGAGGGTTCACCTGTAATAGAGTTGCATAATTGGAGAATATGTTTAAGGAATGATGCTTTTATTTTATTTTAATAGGTTTTGTATTGCTTAGTGAACTTATGCATTCGACATTACAATTGTTTAGGGGATTTATTTTCTTCCTGTGAATATGAGTCCCACTAACTTAAAACACCTCAGTAACTGTTCCATTTTGGTTTCCTTCATATCACTCTGGTAATTCTTACTTTGAGTATGCATTAATGTTTTATGTATTCAATACTTCTACCTGCTCAGGAGAAGTTAAGCTAAGTTCAACCTACCAATATTAGAATTGCATAAATCTTCATAGAAAAAAGTGTTGCATACTAAATAATGATATAAGTACGATAACTAAGTTGATTATTAGTACATTTAGTGTAATATTCATCTTTTGTTCAGCTGTAATTCATCAACTTTTTTTTCTAAATTTTAAATAAAATAAGGCAAAAAGGTTAAAGGCATTTTTGCGGAATCATTAGACTGAAGAGTATTAACTTGTTAAAGATCAATAAACTTTGAGATAATTGTTTTAAACTTAATTGAAATAATTATCTTTACAAATGATTTTAATAAGATTTTAAGCAAGAATAACATGCAAAACAAGAGATTTCCTCTCACAGTCGAATCCCAATATAGTGAACTTGGACTTCTCTTTCCTTCAAGCTTGTTTTACTCATTAACATAGTTCCCCTCAAAATTCTTGGAATTTCCTTATCTCTACAAGCCCTTATTCTTCGCGAATCACCCCTTGAAAATCGAGAATAGGACCAGATGAAGAATTCAACTTGTTTTACAGATTCTTTCGTCATATCCTTACATAGACTAGCAGATTTCTTTTTTTTTCAGAAGCAGGGAAAATGGCAAATTATGTAAAAAAGAAAGCATTTTTGTTTAAAATTATCATGCATAAGAGATGGAGCCAATTAATTGGCACTGTGTAAGGAATTTTCTATGTCAAAATTTATAATTTCAAACAATTGGAAAAATTGTAGCATGACTCACAAAATTTTTCATGTCAAAATCTTCAATTTCAAACAATTGTAGTGTGACTCTTGCCGCTCGCAAAAAATATTATTTCTTCTGAAAAACTACATCAGGTTGAAAGAGGAAATGTGGAAGATGCTCTTTTAAAATAGTTAACAATTCAGCAGGATAGGAATTTTTCTTGAGACTGGGTCTATGCTTCAAACGAAACAGAATGATTTTGCTAATATAATATATGTTCGAGAAAAAGGGTGTTGTGTGCTCCAATGTATGGCTGGATAGGTGTAAAAATGAAATATTTCTTCTGGAGATTGTTCTTCTGGACAAGTGTTCATGCAACGTATGTGGAAAAGGCAAATCTGAAGTATGGCCAGATATGCCATACTTCAGATGCATGATTATGAAGAGAGAGGTATTTTCAAAGTTGACAAAGCTGGACTATTTTACAAAATGGCTGTAAATCAGATGTTAACATTTAAAAGAGAAAAATATTCTAATAGTAAGTGAATGAGAATAACAAGTGAGAATGACTATTCAGATAATGACATCGTCCCAAAAATCAAGCAACAGCTGAAGAAGACTTATTAAAAGGAAATAAAATTTTGGCACTATATATATCTGACGTAAAATTTGCAATAAATATGAATATTTTTTTTGCTACATACATATATTTCTATGAGCAATTTATTCATAATAAATTTGATTGATGACTAGATTGGCTAATGAACTTTGATTTCAAAACCTTATAATCAGAATTAAATACATATGATACTGCTTAAACAAGACTGAACATTGACTGATCATATTGCTGCAGCCTGTATTTATGAAGTTGCTAGTTATAATGTTAAAATAAATCTGTATGTTGTGGGTACAAGAGTCAGTTAAAGATTATTTTTGTTTATAATTCGATTGTTTTTGGCTACAATTTATCATTGTAAAATTTTTTAAAAATAATTGAAACAAGTTATAAATAACTTTATGAATGAATTTATCCAAATATATATTCTATTTAAATATGCATATTTCTAAATTTAAAAACATTTATGTTTCATCAGAAACTTTGATAAAGTAAAGAGGTATAATAATTTATAAAGCTTTGTAAAACATAAAAACTTAGTTTGCAATTTCATTTTAGATTACTCCTCTGAATAAAAATAAAGAAATGTCAGCTGCTAAGTTGTATCAACTTTTAAATGAGGAAGCTGATGCAGTTAGAAAAGAAAAAAAGAAGAATACTTATTCAGGAATTCACAAGTAATAAAAAAATTCAATACATTTTAAATATTTTGTCAGTCAGCTTTTATTTCCCTCTATTTTAAAACAGAAATACTTTCATAGTTATAACTTATTTCTTTCTTTCTTTATAGATATTTATATTTGTTAAAAGATAAACAGATGTATCCTTGCTTATCAGACTCTTCTGGATTGGTTGTATCTTTTCCTCCGATAACTAACAGTGATGGATCAAAAGTAATTTTTTTTCTTTATGAGATTTTATTGTTGATTAATACTTTTATTAAATCTATTATGTAAAATTTAAAAAAAAAATTTGGCCTCTATTTCTGTTTCTAAACGAAACCTGTTCTCAACAATATAGTAAATATATGTGTATAATTTCTCATCCTGTGTTCAGTAACATCGTTTGTTGATTTAAACAAAAAGATTATTTTTAAGCTATTGAACTTAAATTTATGAAGCATTTTAGTATAAGATTGCTTAAGTCTTAAAATTTATTGTTGTCTTAATAGCTGTTACTAAATTTCAGAGAGAAAAATTACATAAACGATTGGTGTGTAATAAACTATAGCACTTGTTAAATGACCTTTTAACAATCTTAATATTCTTTTGGATTTTACTGAATACAAATTAAGAACAAAGCGAAAATTAAGTGTTTTTTTTGTATATATTTGTATAGTGTGGAAAAAATGCCACCCTTGAATAACTTATCTAATCATCTGATTTTCACAAACTAAGACTGAATCTTAATGATTTGAGAGGATGATCTTAAATATGCTAATTAGTTTCTATCTTTCTCCTTCAGCTATTAATGACAAAGAAAAATATTTTTTTTATACTATAAATTTAAAGTTTGGTTATAATTTTGCTTGTGTAATCTGCTATCATGCTTTTTTATTTAGCTGCACTGTAGTGCAGCTAAATAGAGAATTATGCACCCTATGATTTTTGGCATATTTAACACTTCATAACATGTAAGCAAAATCACTGGTGCAATTTTTAATTACTGAGTTATTATGTACTGTAAAATTGGCCAACTTGCAATTAAGGTAAGATAACAGGCAGCACACTTTATTTTGATACTTCAAAAATTAAACAAAATAAAATCTGTGAAATTACGTTTGGGTAATTTTGTTTTTCAGATACATTTCTATTTTATTTTCTATAAATTTGTATCATGCATTATGTGTAACTATGAAACGATATTTAATTCAGTGATATTGTTTAAAATTTATTTATATTTTTAAAAATATTGATTATAAACTAAAGATCTTTAAAAAAAATTCATTTAAAAAAAAAAAAAAGCTTTCTTAATGGGACGGAGTACTTGTGCCCAACATGCTTATTTTTTTTTATGAAATTATGTCTAATATGAATTCTAGAGATAAAGGTTTTTTCTTCTAAAATGTACTATTTTCGGATTAAAATCGCTAAAAGATAAATTGTATTGCAATTTAATTAGTAATAATATTTTTATATATATTAATAAATTTAGTGTATGTATAAAGTTTTCAACGATCAAAGGTTTTAACAACTTGTTTATCATATTAAAAGGTGTTAAAAAGGCTTTATTATTTTTTTCCAGATAACAAGTGATACCAAATCTATGCTTCTTGAAGTAACTGGCAATAATCTTAATAATTGTAAAAAAGTGATGGATACATTATTGATTGATATATTAAAATTGGGACTTGGCAATAAGAAAAGTGAAAATGAAGGTGATGTGGAAGAAACACAGCAGAATACTTTAACAGTCCAACAAGTAAAAGTTGTTGATGAAGAAGGAAAATTGAAAGTTATTTATCCTTCAAGAACTGATGTGCCTGTTGATGGCATTTTAGTTACTCGAGCTTGATTTGTTTCAATGAAAATACACTGTAATAAAGTATCTAATTTTCTTACTTATATGAGAAAAATTTATTGTGAAAAAACAAACACCGATACAATATGAATTATTTACATGCAATTTACATTAATATAATAGACATTAATATAATGTCCGGTCAAGAGTTAATGTGTAGCACAGATCAACAAAAGCTTTCTGGATGGCAAAACACAAGTCATTGTCTGAGTTTAGTTCATGAATTACACTTTCTAGTTTTATATAATCTACAATTGGTTTGACTTCTTCCACGGGGAGCAATAAATCTGCAAATAAAATAAAATATGCTTTCAATATGCATTGAATATTTTTAAAAAGTAATTGTTAAGCCTCTTAAAATCATGGGATAAGTGATTTAAAATCAGTCTTCTGAATTGATACCTTTAAGCTCAAAAATAAAAAAAAAGATATTGCAACTATTTTAATTAATTTCTTAGTCATGTTAATTATATTCTAGAGAGCGTTAATCAGATTTTCTAAGATGGAAGAAATTCCTCGACTTAATCCAAAACAGTATATACAGTTGAGAATTGTATGTGAATTTACCTGCTCTGAAAGGAAATCACATTAGATTTGTGAGTATCGGAAATTAGACGGGTGTTTTAGTATGCAGTTGTGACCCGATGGCTTATTTTGAAATTGAAATAGTTTCAGCGAAAGTCGCAAAAAGTACAAAATTTTGATGAATTAAAAATTAGGAAACTAACAGCAGTACACAAAAAAAAGTAATAATTGTTGCATGATTGATCCCTATTAAAATTTACTGCTATTTAATTAGATGAAAAATGTTTAGTTTTTAGATGCATTGAGGTGATTGCGTAATAGTAAAAAATGATAAAACAATAAATTATATTAATTTATTCTAAGAGTTATGAAAAATAAGATTGGACTTCACAGCCAACTTAATATGGCATAAGTTCAAATATAGCAGCATACTGGATAAATATTTTTACAAATTTTATCCTGTTTTAAATACATATAATTGTATTTTTTTTGTTTAGCGCTCACAAAAAACATATACTTGATTTTAACATGGCAGGTAAATATTTAATTATAGCCAATAAAAAGTTATAGATTAAAAGATAAACTTTAAATAGCACTAGCACTTTAATTATGATGAGAAATATGTTTCAATACATAAATTTTATTATATTAAAATTTGTATGCTTAAAAAATTCGAAATGTATAAAGAACTGGAACCAACTGTTTAGCTTAAGGTAACCTTGATTAAAAGTAGCAAGACAGATAATAATATGGTAAATCAAAGTTCTGTTAAAATAGTACCTGCGGTAGTTGGAGGAACACTTGAAGTAGCACAGGTCCTAGACAAACATACTCTTGCTAACTGACAAAGCAAAAATGCAACATCCTCACACAGAGGTGGAAAGGCTTCACACATTCGAACAAGTGCAGGCAAAGTTGGCAGAAACAATTTACGATGTTGAGAACTAGGAAGTACTGAAAAAATATGTTCAAGTCGTATAAGTATATTTTAAATAGGAGGTTTGCAATGCTTTGTTGTCTTTAATAGCATACTTTAATACCTCTAAAATATCCTTAAAAATTTTCTAAGGAAAGATAATTTAAAAAAAAAAAATCTTTCCCCTGAATCATAGAAGATACAATTTATTTGTTAAAATTCCTGTTTTTAAAAAAACAAATTGTTTGATTATCACATTAGTTTATAGAAAAAATACAACTTGAAGTTAAAATTTATTTCTCATACACTTTGAAAAATGCTACTGACATTATTAAGAATATTTAATTTTCAACTTACCTCCCAGAAGAGTATAACAAACATTTATGCATAATTTTGCAACACTGAGAGATTTAGCTATTGCATACTGAGAACACAAATGTGAGGCCAACTCAATAGCAAAAACCTGAAATAATAAAGAATCTCTGTAACCGGAAATGATTTTAATTCACTTTTATTTTATTTGAAAATATATTATTTTCTGAAATTTTCAGAATTTCCAAAGTATTATTATTATTTTTGGTAATTGACATAATGCATTTTACTGTCAAGCATATACAGTCTTACATGGAAATAATAAGGGTGCGAGACTAATGTTAGTAAAATGTAGCCAACATATCAAATTTGAATGCATTAAGTAAGTTCTTTAAACAATTTTTTAACTGAAATGAATGCATTAAAAAAATTATAGTACTGATTCAGTAGAGTGCAAGTAATCTGCGATTAGTTAGAAATATTTTATTTTTGTTGTTGCCAATACCATTTTAAAAAAATGTAAAAGAAAAGGTAAAGAAAATTTTGATATCAAAATACAAGTTTAAGAATCACCTGGGCAGTTGAGTATCTAACTTCAATATGTATATATATATATATATAGGTTAGATTTTCTAACTGCATTTACATATAGCTTTATATAGATGGAGAAGAGAAACTTACTGACAAAGTAATAATTCCTATATTGCTTCTGAATACAAGTTAGTTGGGGTGAATAATTGTAATTCTATAAGTATGCATTTTAATTTTTTAATGGGTAAAAATTTGTAATTTCATAATCGTTAATTTTAAGCGTAATAATTTAAGTTATGGGGGGAAAAAAACACTTTATCTGGAGTTATCATTTATCCAATTAGTAATTGCTCTCAATTAACTTTGATTTTTGAGACTCTACTGTATAATTTACATCGGGTAGCAGAATTTTATGGGGTCAACTCTAATTTGTCTGTGTCTCAAACATATTCAGACGAAGATTATTGTAAAAATTCAGTTTAATTTATAGATATGTAGCAAAATTAGCAAAGGTATTTAAAAACTTTACATGAAGACTTTATTTCACCTTAGCTTATTTTGAATGAACTAAAAAAAAGTGAAATAAATCCTAATAAAGTAAACGTCCGTAATAAACGAACAGAAAAAAAGTTTTCTTTAATTTTATTCTTTGCCATGTTCTTTCTAATCCGTTTTATAATTTCGAATAAAAATAATTTTAGGGATGCTTTAAAAAGGAGTTAAGTGTTAAGCTGCAGCACTAGTGTGCTGATGCTGTGTTAATCTGTAGCATCTGCTGCTGGGCTGGAAAGTTTCTGCTACTGTATATACATAAATATATAGTCATTTTAATTGTTTATAAAGAAATAAACATGCATTCCTATTATGAGTATGAACAAAAAAGACTTTCATGAAACATTTTGAAACAATTTATATATTTTTAGAATGTTTTTAAAATATAGTTTTATATAGATAAATAATATTGTAAAAAAAAATTGTTTAGAAAATTTATAAATTACCTGCTTGTCTAAGTCTGCTTGACTTAAAAGTTCAGGTAAAAAATCGAGACAAATATGTAGAGATGGCACGGATGAGACTACCACTGGTAGTAATTCACTTGGATATGTCTACAATTAGAAAGGTATTGCAAGAAATGTATTTATTAAATATAATGTAAAAATAACAAATTAAAAATGGAAACAAACCTGAAAATGCACTAATTTAGCCAAACTGGGTTCAGATATAAATACTTGATGAAGATGGGAACATATGAGACTTTGAATTTCCCTTAAATTAGTTAGCAATCCAACTGCTTTCTGAAAATAAACAAGTTCCAAGAAAATTTTATTCTGTAAATACATGTCCTACATTAAACTGGCAGTTTTTAAAATTTTTATAGGAAAAAGTTTTAGGCAATTGAGAATGCAAGAAGTAAACTTAATAATTATAGAAAAACAGTTGAAAATAACTTTTTTTAAATGTTTGCCATTGGACACTTGGCCCAGTTGGGGGAAAAAATCTGGATACATCAAAACATAATGGGGTAAATGAAACTTATACTCTGTCACATGAATTTTCTGCAACAATTGTTTTTAACTTTAATTTTTTCTTTACATAATTTATTGAAAACTATGTCTAACTTAGGGTAAAATATAGAATAGAATCACGTAAAAGAATGATGTGAAAAGTCTTGTAAGAAAGTACCTTATCTGCTTCAGTTGGTAAACAGCATTCCAGCAATATTTGAACTGCTGCGCTTTCCTGAGCTGCAACAAGTGCTGTCCTGAGATCATCTCTATCTTTCTCATTTTCAAGAAGTCCAGTTTTTTCTAACATAGGCTGTTCCAATGTGTGATGATAAAGGTGAGTTCTTGAAGCTGCAAGAAAAGCCTGGAGCATATGCAGCACTATTTCCATGAAAGGAGGACATCTTAAAATAAAATAAGTATTTTCTATAAAAAATTTATGTTACACTGACATGAATTAATATTTCAAAGCATTTTGGAAGATATGGTTAAAACTATATAGGATCTGGTGAGGGAAGTAGGAACATGAAGTTAGGTGGGGATATGCAATAATAAGTCCCATTTCCAGACATGTGTTTACCGGCAGCGTTTATTTTCCAGATATTTTTTAACAAGAAAAATAAAACTTTTTTCCTTTTCAAAAAAAGAAAAAAAACCCAAAAAACATTCACTTATTTTTTTATTTTTGCTATCTGTTAAAATATATATTAATAAGAGAAAAAATATTTCTTGAATTTCTTCTTGCTAAACATTAATGCTTCCTCTGATAGTTAAACATTTATTCTGTCTCAATAAGTACACTAAAAGAGAAATAACAATAGCTTTTACAGAAAAACAAACTTTGGGGAGAAGAATTAACTATGAATATTAATGAAACTAAATATTAAAAGTGTTTAAAAAGAACATCAGCAGATGTGATTTCCTTCACTTCAAATTATTTTCATTGAAAAATAAAAAATTCATTAAAAATTATACTCAATTCTGTTTTAGATTTTTTTTTATTAAATCAGATTGTTAATAGTATTATTTTTATCTGTGCTGCAAATTCTAACATCATAAGGGGAAGAAAAAAAGGAGACGTAAATGCATAAGCTGGGTAATGCAGCAAGATAAATAATTAAAAAAACTATTTAATAATAAATTGGTAAGCAAGTAAAATAATTTAAAAAAGAAATCTCACCTAAATATTCTTTTATCACACCTTAAAACATGGAGAGGGTCTAGGATAATATCGTCTAGAGTCAGTTTCTTGGCAGTTTTAAATGCTTTCTGAGGAAAAGCATTTACAGTGATGACCCACAAATTACGAGGGAAAATTGAGTTTAATTTCCACCATACTTTTTTTGCTTTAATGAGAATTTGTAAACAGTCAGTATGGTCAAGTAGTTTAGGCAGATAGGTAACAAACTTTGAAGCATAAGGCCACAGTTGCTGAACTGGAAGTGCAAGGAGGTGATTCAAATGTGAAAGCAATTGGAAAGGACAACTGTCTACTTGCTCAAAAGCTATAAAAAAAAAACATACAAGTTAAATTTGCCATAAAATAAAATATTTTCTATTTAAAAATTCTAACTTTAATTATTTTACTGGTTTTTCTCAATTTCAAGAGGAATGACATGGGATTTAACCACCAGACATAAAATGGGATAGGCGCCATGAGCAATGAAATATAAGCGAGAAGCATTAGGTTTATATCTTCATCTTAATCTCCAGCAATAAAAATTATTACTCATTTTGTTACATAGAATTCTAAGTTACTTAAGTTATAATTGTTATTCTAAAAATCCATCATGTTAAAAAAAACATTTTTTCTCTCAAGTTTTTTAAAATGTAAGTTTAAAAAATTTATTTGAAAACTGATCTTGATGAAATGTTAGTTATGTGTAAATATTTGCTTTTAAAAAGGACAAACAGGTTCATTAGAAACACAATTTATTTGTAACTATCTTTTTTCTTATTACTTGAAACATAATATTTGGTAATTACTTTTGCCATTTTCTAATAAGTTTAAGAAGGCATAAAATTTCAAACAAATCTTTTGAATGTTATTTCAGAATAAAAAATTTCTAAGTTAAATAATTTAAAAACATTAACCACTGTTGAAAAAATTCAATCTAAAATATTTATAAAGAATAATTTGATTTAACATAAAAAAATACCTTTATCAAGACTATCCTTGCTAAAGCCTCCTTCTGGCCATTTGAGAAGTTTGACGCTACTATTCTTTAATGTAAAATCAATATCTTCTTCATCAGTAAGCCATGACTGTACAAGACACAAATGAGGATAATGGGTGGTTAATAAGCGGAGCAATGGAGAAAATAAACCAGCAAATTCCTGTTGATCTTTTTGAGCTCTTTGTATGAGATAAAATATAGGGATTTTGGCAATAAACTGTGGCGAATACCGCTTCACTTTTCGGTCGCTGGCCAAAATTGATTTCATGTTGGACAGCCTTGTATCTTCATATAGAAGGAGATAATAGAGCAACAGAAGTTGGGATGTAAGGGAACTCTTATTTAATTCTTGCAACATGGATTTTGATGTATGAGAAATTGTTTTGGCCTGATCCTGACACATAAATACTGACTTAGAGAAAACAGTTAAAATTTCCTCCTCGGTTATAGGTTCATTGGTGGTATCAACAGAACCTTTTGAGCTTGGAGTAAGCACTGAATTTACATAGACTTCAATAAGGCCTGGTAAAACTGGGTGGAGAGGGGGGATGGTACAACAAATCTGTTTATATATCCAATCTTTAATTGGTACCTAAATGATACAAAAATGAAGTTAAAAATGTTTTTGTGTAAGTTAATACATAATAATAATAAAGTATTGAATCTGAAAAAGCAAAGAATTTCTTTACCTTTTCTTAATTTTTATGTAATATTACTATAATTATAGTATATTTATAATATAAAGCGGTATTGCTATTTACTTATAAAAGGAGATAGGAATTTGAAATTTAACTTTTTTTCTTAATTGCATGAAAAAAAATCATATATGCAGCATAAGGATATAATGAATTTTTTTTATAAATTAAATCTTAACTAGATAATTTTGTAAAATATTTTTAAGTTTTCTAAACAAACTTCTGATAAATAAAATTATTTCCTTACATAAATTTTTGACATTATTTAAATATAATTTTATTGGAAAAAGACCAAAGATGAATTGGATAAGACCAAAAAAGGAACTTTCCTGGGTCAGATTGCCTATAGTTGTATTTTTAGTTCAAACTTTTAACATTAAAGATTTTTGCAAATGTTTTAGTGAGACTAGAACAAAGTAAATTAGAAGAGTTATTAAGTTTTTTGTTTTGAGTAAGATCAACTTTAAACTGATTATTCTAATGTGAAAATGCATTGAAATGAAACTTCTAAAGGAAATGAAGAGGGAAAATGAATGAAAAAGAAAATAAATAAAAAACTACAACTTGAGAAAATAAAAATGCAGCTAAAAAGAATCAGCAACACAACTTAAGTTCTATATTAATTTATTTTAAACGGACCATTACAGATAACAAAAGTAATTTTTATTATCCAATAAATGTATAAAAAACATTATCCTATTATTACATGATAAATATATATTGTCTTAGATACAGTAATAAGTGCTTACTACAAAATACATGATGATGTATAAAATTATAATCAATCAAATCAACAGAAATAAACCAATGCCTCTATAAAATAAGATATACTATACTTAGAATTTTCTTTTTAAATGTTAAAATACAAATGAAAGCAAAATATTTCAAAAGTTATTAAAATAGCTAAGCAGAAAACAAGATTATAGAGTATACTAAACATGAAAATTATCTTACTTTATATTTCGTAAATGCTCTACTTTTTAGAAGTTGATGAATACAATGTACAGGCAAAAATCCAGTTACATTTCTGCTTAAGTTTTTAGTCACTGGAACTTTGACAGCATGTGCAGTAACGACCTACATTTTTAAAAATAAATGTTTAAGCAGAAGTGATATTTCAAATTATAAAAAAAATTGGTTAATACAAGTAGAACTAAAGACAAATTATGTGAAGGAAAAAACAATCTTAATTCAGAAATAATACACTGTAAGATACAACTCTAACAACTTATTGACATGAGGCCTAAAAACAGGCTAGTGAAAGCAGTTTTCTGTCTGAAAAAAGTCTAATCAAATTTACACTATTCTTGAACTTGAGAACTCAGCCTTTCTAGGATAGGTTATAAATAATGTAAAGAGTCATACCAGTCTGGCACAAAGATGTTTTTGTCTGAAAGCAGGCTAGGAGATTCAGAGATAAAAAAACAGATATTCATTCCTCTTTTGAAGAATCAGTCTTTAAAATTCATAGAGTGTTTAATACTGAATCAGAAAATTGATTGCAGCAAATGGGTTTAATATCAGCTATAGGGTAGTGACTGAAGAAGTTAAACATTTGATGTTATTGAAGTTCATGTATTAGTTGTTATTGACCGCCATCCTTGAAACCATCTACTTCCCAGTTAAACAGTGACAGACTGTCAACAGGGGAATAGTCCCGGAATTCACGGTGCTAGACAGTCTTGAAGTCAAAGTCCCGGAATTTTCAATTAACTATTTATTATTTCTTTAGAGCTATCTAATTTTAGTCAGTCTTTGTTCTACAACGCTACATGTAGACAGCTCTGTGCTATAGATGCTGTTGTTATACTAATTTTTTTCCTTATTAAATTTGTTTAATTGTTAAATTAATTATTGTCTTTTTTCCTCCCTTACCCCACAATTTTACACATATATTTACCTGATCAGTAAATATTTCTTGAGTGAAAATGGTTTTCATTCTGGCAAGATTATTGGAACGAATAGGAATCCTCATGCCAAGAGTAGAATACACTAACTCTGTTATGGAACTCATCTGATTACTATGGAAGTGAATAGCAATCAAAAGTAGCATCTCCCCAAAGGAAGCATTCACCCCACTGGTACTGAAACATTAATAATTAAAAAACTCATTTAATAAACATAAAATCAAGGAAAAGGTCAATGTATATAAAATCTACTCTAAAATAGTTAGTACAATTAAAATACAAACAATATTGGGAACATTGTCTTAATGTAAACAGTATTAAAACAGAGTTACATTGTAATGCATTTCAGGTGAATAGTTTAACATTATATACATTAAAATACAATTATGATAATGGCAGTATGAAGGAAAAGAAAGAAGGAAAAAGGTTGATGACATATTGAACAGAGCAGATATTATAGATAGTAGATTTTATCCACATGGATTAATTTATTTTATTTATGATTTATTAAAGAAACATGCCTTTTTGAACCACAAAGTTTTATTATGAACTGTAAAGGCATCATTGGGGGGGGGGAACTAAAAAACTTTAACACAGAAGCTTTTATTTATTAATATATGTACTTCTTTTTTATTTGTAACAGGGAAGTTTTACAAAATAATACAAAAGAGAATAATAACAAAATAAAATAAATAAATAAGTAAAAAGGAAGGAGAGGAAAAAAAAGGAAAGAAAATATTGTTTAAGTGAACCTATAAAGGAAATACAATTTTTGGTCTTGTGAAAAATAGTAAATATGTAGCTACAGAGTCTCGTATAATTTCAAAGAAAGAAAAATGTCCCCCTGCCGGAAAAAAAAATTTAGAACTATATAGGGGAAAGTTGGACAAAACGGGATACCATTATTGTTTTTATTTGCTACAGAAAATCTGTTAAGGAGAACTACACATTATTTTTTTTATAGCTACGTCACTTATTGAAGCACAGAAAAACATATTTTAAACTAATTTTAATGACTGTGAAATAGGAAAAAAAATCATTTTCCAAACTCTTACAAATCCCGTTTTAGCATACCTGGGTCCGACAAAACGGGATAGGGTTTACAATGTTTTATTTTTTGTGAACTAACTAAAAACATAATTAATTGATAGAAAACTGTATAGCAAAATTTCTAAAAATTGTATTTATGGGATTTTATTGCTTCTAACATATTTATATAAACTGTTGTTTTATAATTAAGTACACAAAAATTCTGATGCTACATAAGTTTTTAAAGATTTTATGAGTTTTCAACCATGAACACTTATTCCATAATTTTCACTGTCGAGATGCGCCTGGTGCCCTTAAGAGGGATTTCTTAGCAGTCCTTTCCTCAATTCTCTTGGTTCATTCTTGTAGTTTAATCATCCTTTTTTTTTCTTCTATTTATAATTTACATTTAAATGGAGATGATGTTATTACTACAGTTTTCTTCTTTCTCTTATCAGTAATTTTTTCTGGGAATCAGTCCTTTTACTTGAGGTAGATGTACAACACACTTTGGAAGGATGGAAGAGGGTAGCTTAGGCCGATAACAAGAGAGTAATAATCCTAAAACTGCACACATCAGCCTGGTGTTCAATGCCTGGAAGTTCTTGCTGTTAAATCAGTGGTGACAGACAATGCATATAGGTGATCTGGGAAGACGTCAGGATTGTAAGGACTTATACCAGTTTTACTAAACCCTTTAATGGTAGTTTCTGCAACGGCTGCCAGTGAGTAGGCTGCGTTGAACAGTTTTGTAACCTCCTAAATTATAACGCACCTACCTGGATGGTTGAACAGCCACTTTCGAACTTCTTGTTCATAATACGCGCTCAGTGGAGCCAGGAAACTGATATCCAGGGACACTTTCGAACTTCTTGTTCATAATACGCGCTCAGTGGAGCCAGGAAACTGATATCCAGGGACTGAAGGCGATGAGTTGTATGTGGGGGGGAAGGCCATTTTTTTCCCTGTGTTAAAATTATGCTTAATATTGTTTCTCTCAGCTAACTCAAATGCTAGCATTCATATGCCCGTTAGAATTATACCAAATAATCTCTCTTCTAGAGCCAATACATGCTCACGCGCTCTTTCTTGTTCAGCATTGAATACTGTCTCTTATCTGTCCAACTTTTTCACTGCTGCCAATCTAGTGGTCAATGTATTTGCACGAGACTTTTTTACTTTTCTTTCAATATAGTAATAATAATATAGTAAAAGTATTAGCCCAACAATTAAATAGGTGGATAAAACGGGATATAAAAAAAAACTCTATCCCGTTTTATCCAACTCATAAGTATCCTGTTTTGTCAGACTCAGACACTTTTCAAAGCAAACATGGCTGCTGCCTAAATGTGAAAGAAAATAAGATTGACTAGATATGAGAATACTCGTTAATAAATGCCTCATCAAATGTAATACTCACCGGAATTGTAATCCTATATATATAGGTAGTACAATGTGAAAAACAATGCTCGTAACTGTGGAAAGTGGCAAAAAAATGGAGTAAAAAAGTTTTGACACCTACAACTTTCTATCAACTACTGATCTCCAGACGGTACGCACTGAAAATGATATAATCACAGTCAAATAACAAGTATCTGTCGTCGTCCGCTAGATAGCTGCAATAGTCTGGTCCCTAGGCGAGATATCCCATTTTATCCAACTCTCCCCTACTTGCCGAAGTAAGATTTTATAATGAGAATATCATTTAATGAATTATTACTTAAGTATACTAAATGAAGATTTAACTTATAGTTTCATTAAATTACAACCTGCATCTTTAAAAAAATACCACTGGTTCTAGCTAATTGAATTCAAACAAGTGACTTATTATATTAAATAGTGAGTACATTAGCCATATTTAAATATAATTCTGCTAATTTCAAATTTAAAAGGGTAGGAATTTTTTACAACAACAAACTTACAGAATTTATTACATATAATCATATAATAAATTTGGTTAGATGTATACATTCTCCTTTAAAACTTAACTAATAGTTATAATTAGGAAGTAAATGCCACATCATTTAATATTTAGTTATTAAAAATATTATTTTCGTGATATTACAACTTGAATGGCAACATGTTATTTTGAATTTAGCCTTTCATTTAGTCTTAAAGGAGACGGAGTAACACAATATCTACCACTTGACTATCTGTCCGAGGATGCTTGAAAAATAATCAATGTTATGTGTCCTTATGCAAAATGTTGGTGTTTTCTTTTCCTTATCTACATAGGTTGAAAACAAATTCCATTTTGGAAAGTTTTAAGATTTTTTTATAAAGAAAAAAATTTAATGTCAGTGTTTTCTCACCTTTTATTAGGAGGTAAAAAAAATTTGTTTAAAAGGGGAAATTTAACTTTGTTTTATATAACATAATTGGGACCAAATACATTTTTATAAGCAAAATATTCAATTATCTGTTATGTCATTCAATAGGATAAGTTGCACTAAATGAATTATTTTGTATAAAAACTAGAAAAAGTGAACATCCAAAGCAATTGCAGAATCTCTTTCAATATTTCTTTTTGCTTTGTAAATTTCTCAAAAATTAGTGTAATTGTTCACTAAATTCAAAAAGAAAAAGCATAGCATCTTTTAAAGCATTAAATAATTTTACCTTCCGAAATGACTCTCTTCTTTTAAAAGCCATTGAATCCAGTCAATAGCTCTTTTCTCTTGGTCAGTAGTAGTAAGTAATGAAGGACAAGCTAAAAGCATACAGAGGCCAAGAGACACAAATCTAATTCCAGCAGGACTGGGAGGAGGATGTGATGTAAGAAGCTGAAGCAGCAAATTGATTTCTTCTTCCACAAACCTTAAAGAATAATAATAATAAAAAAATTGAAGATCAGTATTTAATAACTTAAGTATTTAAGGAATGACTTACTTGATAAGAGAACTTTAAAATGATATCAATTTTACAAAATCAGAAAAAGGACAGAGAAGATTTAGTATAAAATGCAAACAGTAAAATAAGAAAAGGAAAGAGGAAAACTGATTATACTATATAAAAAAACTAAGGAAAGAAAACACAATATTTGGTTAAGCAAAAATTCATAATATAATATTTAAAATTGAGTAAAGTTAATTATAGCATTTGATTTTATATTTAAATCATTGAACAATACAAAACTAATATGATAAAAAATTATTTTTCAATACAGGGCAAAAAAAAAAATTTATATAATAAAACATTCATAAAAGTTATCAGTAAATTTAAATTGTTTTTAAAATAAATAATTTGAGATCAGTAAATATTTATATAAGATTGAGATAATTATGTGTACTTTAACACATTGTAAAAAAATTAGAAAAAAAAATTAAATGATTTAAAAAATAACCTTAAGCCACCAATGCCCCTAAGAGCACAGTATAAGCGTAACAAAGAACTTGCTTGAACAACTTTGGCATCAGGTAAATTATGATGATCAATACTAAAAAGGACCAAGTTTTTAAGCCTCTGAAGAAGTTCTTCTCTTAGAAGGTGAGTAGGATTTCCATCTCCTTCAGGTTTCTATAAGATTAAAAAGAAAATTAAAAAAAAAAAAAAAAAAATGGTAAATCAAAGAGTAAATATGACATAAATGGTTCATTAAACTTTTGTTATATATACAGTTTATTAAGAACATAACTGAAAATTCTGTAATACTGTTTTTTCAGCTCAGAAAAAAGAATTCCACTAACACTAATGCAAGTTACCATTAGTGGTATCATACACTGTTTTTCGCACCATAGCTAAAGAAACTCACGGTTATATAATTATATGATTAAATGCTGTTTTGAATGAATGTCAAAAACTAGTTTAAAAGATGGAAAGTGAAAACACACTGAAAAAAAAATCGTTTTAGTTCATATAAAAAATAATAATTAGGTTAATAACATTTATGTCATGCATAATTTTAATTTCATTGGGCAGAGCTTGTGTGTCAGTTTTGTATAGATTGTGTATATATTATCCTTTCAATATAATTATGCAAATAATTAAGTGAAGATTATGCATTTGGTATTAGATTATATGTACATACACATATTCTCTTTTCCTGAATAAATCTAGCAACACTCTTCTCTATCCCTTCACATAAACAATAAATAAAAATTAAGAAAAATGCATTCATTTATTTTTATATATTCAAAAAATTAGATACTATTATAATTGTTTCACAATCTACTTTAAAATATAAAAGCTACTGTTTTCTTTTGGTGGTTTGTTTTAATTTTTAACAGGAAAAATATAATCTCTAATTTCCAGATAAAAACGTATTAAGACAAATTTTTGTTTTGTAAAAAATTAATGTTAAATGAAGAGAGATTTAAAAAGGAACACTTATCTTCAAAACATTAGGAGAAAAAAATGATATGCAGTGTAAAATGTAACTTAAAATTAGAATCAGAAAGGGTGACAACTTACTTTTTGACAATTTCTAAAGTATTGTCCAAACCAGTTTCTAATTTTATCATCACTTCCCAGAAGTAATCCACTTATAAAAGCTACAAGATCTCCAACAATAGAATTGTGATTTGCATTTTTTTCTTCTTCAACTCGACAATAATCTAAGGTCAGAATAATAGTCAGTCCTGGCATATGACAAAGTTCCACCTTTTGAAGAAAATTAATTATAAAAATTTAGTTTTAATAACTTGGTGTCCATGGAAAAAAATGTAAAGGCTAACAATGTTATGTTATTTTTGTTAATGTTATTTTTTAACAATAAAAACATACTTTTTATAATTTATTCTAAAATAAGTAATTTTTGCTTGGAAATCACAATAAACAATGTTAATACAAAATGATTGAAAACAGGTAAAGTTTAGTTTTAAAATTCAACATTTATTAAACTACAATTCAACACCTATTAAGCTACTTTCGTTGAAAATATGTGTTCTATCAGATAAAAAGATAAATATAAGTAATATATAGACAAAGTGAAAAAATTAACTTTCCGATTTAAACCCTTCCCTCCATTTGAAAGATTATTTTTGGGAGAGGGGGGGGCATATCAAAACATAGTAGGACCAAAACATCATTTTTTTTACCAAAAATTTGAATGAAATATTCAATGTGTGCAAAACACAAAACATATACAATGAAATAACATATAGGATGAAATGGAAGTTAGAATTTATAGCTTTCAATTTTTTTAGTGAAATGTATAAATTTATATGAGCAGTATATACTTCTTTGGATAACAATTATTGAAAATTTCTTAAATTTAATGGCAAATAAATAATCTCTCAAAAATACCATACAAAATAAAGCTTTTCAAATCTTATATATGAAATACACTTACAGCTTTTCTACGAACTGAAAGAATTTCAGCCATATTCATTTGACACAAAACTCTTAATGCTTTAATGCGAATTTTTCCTAAAGGTGCATCTTCATCATGTTTATCTCCATTACTAATTAGTGTAGCACAAACTGTAAATAAGACAAAAAAAAAATACTGTTTGAAACACTGTTAAATTAAAAGCACAAAGTCTATTAAATTTCATTATTCAGTACTAGTAAAGATATTACAGTACAGAACCCGTTATCCGGAAATCAGAAAACCGGAAAACCAAAAAACCTGAACGAAATTCGATAAATTTTCCCGCCATTTAAAAAAATTTATTTTTCTCGTAAGATTTTAGGATTTTTCATTCTTTTTTGAAAGATGTTTACCTTACCATCATTTTGGAAATAACCATTAGTATATTACTTCAGCTTTTTTTCTTCTGTTTAAGATTATTTCCAAATATTTTTTTTTTTTTAGTTGGATTTAACAATAAAAAAAAGGCTTTTTGCAGCGATTCAGAAAACCGGAAAAATCAGTTATCCGGAATAACGATGGCCCCGATTGTTCCGGATAATCGGTTCCCTACTCTAGCATGAAAAATTAGTTTCATTCAATTTAGTGTTGCTTGTATACAGTAGGACCTTGATTATAAAAAGTAATTGAGACTAGACTCACTTCAAATAATTGATATATTCGTATTATAGAGACAACATTGTGTCTTAATCTATTATCTACAATAAATTCTGAAAATATAGGTTTTCACCTAATAGTGTCCTAGCTTAAGCCCAGCTCTTAATTCATTAATTCAATTACAAAAGGCACAAAGATCAAACGCCTTATCACAGACAATTACAGATATTTATAATATTTTGTAAGTCAAAAAAGTTTTAAAACATTGATATATCAAAATAATTAATTAATTTCAAATATTTTTAATTTCACAAAAGAGTAAATATTTTATCCGCTAAAACATAAATTCTAATAATAAATTTAATTAATAAATTCTTAAAAATCAGAAAACTCTTTAATTTAAATTCCAAATAGAGCAGAAAAAATAGGTCACAAATAGAGCAGAAAAAATAGGTTAGAAGAAAATACTGCTTCCTTCACAGTACATTTTATATTTGTTTAAAAGTTAACAAAATATTTTTATTATATTATGTTGTAAATATAAGGTTTAGGGTAACAGAATTTATTTAATTGACACAGCTAATTCCAACGAAATAAATTCCGTTACCCTAAACCTTATATTTACAACATAATATAATAAATAGTTTTTTAAAATACGGAAAAAGGGTAGCTACATGATAGTATACTGGAAACATAACAAAACTCATACCAACAGAGAAACTGAGAGAAACATTTTTAACTAACAGTGTATACATTTTTGAGTTTATGCAAAACGTAAAGTTTATTTAAAAAGTAAATTATAACTTAATCCCTTATTACCTTCTTGGAAGCTATCAGGAGAATTAGCAACTAATCGGCACAGCATATAAATTCCATTAGGCACATATAAAAGTGCTTCAGCAATATCTGGTATGTAAAGCAATCCAGGCAACTCTGTTAAAGTAAGAAGAAACATTAAATACATCCAATATATTCCTCAAATTAACATCATCATTAAAAATTTAAATTTTTGATAGAAATTTTGCATAAAATAAATGTTATTTTAAATCTAAGATATGGGAGCATATCAGCCTCACCAGGGTTCCAACTCAATTTTAGAAAAAAAATTCCCTGACTTTTCCAGGTATACTAGGTAAATTTAAATGAAAATTGAGACCATGTTTTCATCAGAAAACTTTGATTCTTTTATTCATAATGTGAAATATTAGATTTTCTGCGTAAAAAAAAATATTTATTGAGGAAGGGAACATTTCAGTTTGACTAAAATGTGAAATTTATACAACAAATAATTGTAATAGATGTTAGAATTATTTAAGTCGAATCTCAATAACTGACTACTGTTACGTTACTGACAATTTTAAGACTGATTATTTTCTAGGTATGATATAAAGAATATTCCAGGTTTTTGTAAAAAAATTGCAACTTTCCCTGACTATTCCTTGTTTTCCCTGACCTGTGGAAACTCTGCTTCACTGAAGCTTTTTTATAGCACAATTTTTTTCAAAGATTAAAATCATAAAAGAACAAAAAAATGTGCAGAATTAGCATTGGAAGTGAAACATGTGGTCACTGCAATGACTAGGGCAACTCAACAAACGTTTTCTATCCAGCTTTGATAAACTAAGTGACTTTTATAGTATTCATTGCACATTTCTTCGCCACAGAACAGAATAAGCAACATAAATGAAAGGCTGTGAACATGAATGAAGTCACTAGTAAAGTAGTGAAGGAGTTCTATTTGTGTTCGTTGACGTTATGTTGAAGGATTCTTTGTTTGCTATGACAGGAAGTAATGCAGAGATAGCATCTAGTTTGGAAAGAAATACACTACAATTTGCTTCCTAGTAAGGTGGATATGATGAAAAGTAATGCAGTAAAACATGCTATATTTATATCAATAACATGTAAGAAAGTTGCACGTGAAAATTATGTCAAAGTCATTAAATGATTAGTGAATTTTTTGTTGTTGTCAAGATTAAGACTCTTTTTAAGAGTCACTCATTTTAAAAGTTACTATTTTAAAGCAATGGTCAACAATTTAAAAATGTACAAGTAAAAAGTAGTTAGAATCATAAAAAAAAAATTACATCGAGCAAATTTGTGAAATGAATTAAATGTCCACTGCAACACTAATATTTTTAGCCTTTTTTTGCTTAAGTTAAAAAATTATTTCTGTCTACTACTAGTCATAAATACTTTCCTTGAAAAAATTTATGACTCATGAAAATGTGGGACACCAGTAAGAAACTATTTATGTAAAAAAAAACAGGTTCTATGATGCAAGTTTGTGAAATTCTCTTTTTAAATCTCTGGTGCACTATAAATTTTTTTTCCTTCATAAATGTGCGACATCAACTAATTAGTCTACCATTACAGCAATGTGTTAGCCATCTCAACTAAAGTACCACCTCCAAAAGCGTAGTGGTTGCATTAGGCTTTTTCCATCAAGTAAAATTATAGTTATAATTTCAGTTGATAAATAAGTTAATCAAATAAGTAAGATTTATATTTCAATTATTTTATGACCGTTGAACAGATGATCCAATTTTGGGTTTACGACTACTAATGTTCAACTGCGTAGCCTTATAATTCTGAACCAATTCAGAAGATAAGGAAACTCCTGAATCAGTATCCCCAGAGATATCATTTGTTATGGGAACACGGAGGACTTTGAGACTAGACAGATTTAATGTGCACTAGTCAGGACTTTGAGACTAGACAGATTTAATGTGCACCAGACAACATTTACTACAGGGGGAGTCTTCTGTTGGCGGGGATCGAACTCATGACCTCTTGGACTTGGGTCCAGTGCCCTACCAACCACAGTACACAATATTGCATTTTAAATTAGTAGTGGCTTAATAAGAGGAGGAAAAGGGTTAGAAGCTTATGTACTGACCACACTTTTTCAAATGAGATATTTTACAGTTGGTATTACTAGGGTTTCGGATTAGCAAAAAAAAGTAATATGGATTTATATGTATATAAAATGAGATATGTTATAATTCAAATAAATAGAAAGTGAAATAAATGAGTAAGTTACAAAGTTAATCCTAATGTGATAGTGAAAGTAATGAAGCAGTTAAGTAAATTATCTAAAATGAACTTTTAAAAAAGAATTGTGAGAATAAAGAGGTTAATTATCACTTCTGAATCATAAACATAAAAATAATTTAGATTTTACAAATTAAAATTTTTTTAAATGAGTAAATGATTTCTAAATTAAAACAAATCAAATTTGTAGAATATTTAATTATAATCTAAGACAGATAACAGATAAAAAGATAAGTGTAATTATACCAGCTTGAGCAATACATAAAACATCCCCAATTTCATCTAAATAAACTACACTTTCAAAGAGCTCTGAACTGTGCACAACGTCAAGACCACCATCTTTAACCTACATAGAAAATACATTTGGTTTGATTAATTTTTAAATTCTTTAAAATGGCAAATAGGTAAAAATCGTACTAAAACATGATGAATTTAAAATACAATCTTAGAATAAAACAGTAGAGCATCATTAATATGTCATAAATTTGTGGAGCCCGATTGCCACAGTGCCTAAAAAATAGTAGCTGTCGCTCAATATTTTAGCAAAGTTAGTTAAGTAGACTAAACAGCAAAAAGTTGTTACACTAATTATTATTCCATAAAATGCTGGCAACTAAAAATTGGCACTAAAACCAAGAAATGCTACAATTTTGCAGGCCTCTGTATATGTTTATAATTTAAATAACAGTGTTCCACTTAGATCATTGATTGCTATCCGTCCAATGAAATAGTATTTGGTAACTTCATTATCATTTAACTACATACACGATTCAATCAAAGTGCTCAGAGTTATAAGAAGAAATACTCAAAATTTAAATGAGTCATTTAAGATTAAAATTGCAAGGCAAGACATTGCTTTATTACTTCTCATAAAATTTTAATTAAAGAAAATTATATTTTCTTGAATTATGCAGCTAGAATGTTATGTGTGCACACATACAGATTTTATAAAAATTCTTTATAACCATCAATAATGTAAAAAAAGGAAGGAAAAAAAAAAACAATAATTAAATACTTTTTTTGTAATGAAGATTTTTATCTTCCGTTTTATGGTATTTGTCACAAGCATTCTGATTCAATTGACAAAAGTACTGTTTCACATGGTCTAAATATTTTTAGAAATGACACAAATTCATCTTTTCCTTTATCAGAGTTACTTATTTAAAAAACACTTATTATTTTCTAATTATATTGAATAAGTATGAATTTGGACCATTGATGTTTTGATTTTGATCACTTCCTTCAATTCTACTCAATAAGACATCGGTTTTAATATATTGGTTGTTGATAAATCGTAACATATACTCAACATAGATACATATTTTATAAGGAAAAAAAATATTTATGTATTTACTAAAAAGAAAATGAAATAGGCCATTTGATCATAAATCTTTTTCTGTCCCTATTTACCCGAAAAATGCATAAAGAACAGTTCATTAAAAATGTATATCAAACTTTATAGAAACTTAAACATCCTGTTTTACATAAGATTGAAGTTGCACACATTTTTTTGTTGTTATAATTAGTAACTTTTTGGGAAATATTAAAATAATGTCATAATAAACAACTAACAAATTTTTTAAAATTAAGTATAACTTTCTATGTCACCTGAGCCATTATTATCAGCAGCTCATTAAGTAAAAGTCTCAATCTTCTAGCTGCATCACTCCGTTCAAATTCTAATGCTAAACCATTTGTTAAAGTAGGAATCAATGCACTTTCTCCAACAATTGGTATTGTTCTACACCTGAAATAAAAGGTGATAATTATAGAAGAAAAAAAACCTAAAACAACTCAAAATCATTAGTTTAGATATTATAATGTCATGCAACAATGTCGTATGATAAAGTAGCAATTCAACTCAGTATAAGTTATAATTTAATAACAAAATAAGTAAGATTGTAAGCAGAGATAAACAAAATTTTTGTAATATTATCTGCCTATATTCTTTTTTCAAAGCACATCTATTTAATGCCATGGAGCATTTGTATAAATATATTTTTAATAACAGTGCAGGAAATCCTGGAAATGTTTCGGCCAACTGAAAATTTTTTTGACCTCACAAATCAGTGGTGTAAATAAAACCCTGCAACCCTCCACATTTTCAGGGGAGCATACTAGGTTTGAGGAGACATTTAAAAATAATAACATGTTTTTAATAAAAAACAGAAAAATAATAAAATATTTTAATTTACTTTATAAATAGTAATAACCCTTAACTAAACTTTGAATATAATTATTATAAGTTAGTGAGTAGGCAGGGGTAGCTGGATTGGCAGGGCGCTGGATTCTTGTTCGTGAGAATGGGGGTTCGAATTCGGTCGGCCGAAGACTCCCCCATGTGACAGAAATGGTGACTGGCACACGTCAAATCTGTCTGGTAATGAAGTCTTCCATGTTCCCATAACAAATTATACCTCTGGGGGTACTGAATTGAAGATTAATCATTCTTTTGTTCATGTCAAAACTACGATCTGTGAATGTATGAATGGGTCCGTCTTATAAGCCGGTGTGACGTATGGGTGTGACAGAAGTCAAATTCTTGGCCACAGACGGCGCCTTTGGAAAACATAAACAATAGCATCTATTGCCTTCATGGTCTACGACAACAACGAGATAAGATAGTGAGTTATCTTCTTGTATTATTGAAAAATTTTCTTTTTCAGTATGGTAAGTCTATACAATGTTTTAATTTAGTTCCTTAATCCCTTTTTTTGATCACAATAATGATTTTCAGTATCTAAAATTAAAATGAAATAAATGATTTTATATACAAGAATATCTATTCACTACAGTGCTATTTTTTCAAATTATAATTTTAAAGTTTTTATCATAAATCTAAGATAGGGCACACTTAAATTTTGTAGAGAGCAAGTTTAAGTCTGTGTACAATCCTGCCTTAAACCATGCTTGGAATGACTGTAAATATTTACCAAAATTAGGAAATTATTCATAGTTGAAAACAATGTAAGCAGCATTGATAAAAAAAAAAAAAACTAAATTCAAATGAGTGTGAAAACAGAAATCGGATCGATGTATGGGATAAAAATGTTACTAATTGATTATGCAGCAATTTGTTAACAAAATATTCCAAAATAAACAAGGATAAAAGAAATGAGACAAATATATAATTTTGATTTGATTATTAAGTTACAAATAGCAATTTATGACATATTAGTAGATAATGTTGAATACTACTTACACACGTAGCTAAATTTTTCAACAAAAATAAGCACCTTTTATGCACTCAAAAAATATTTTTAAGCACTTTAAAAAATTATCATAACTAGGCAGAGTTGACAAGTTTTTAAAAATTGACGGCTTTATTCGTCTTGTTAAAATAACCCTTTTGACATAGTTCTTGACAATTGTCAAAAACCCAAAATTTTAGCTTAAGGATAATTATTACCATTATAAATATGAAGTATTTTTAAATTATCAATTCAAAACTAACTGAATCCTGAAATTGAGAATATAGCAGAGTTGCACATGAGAGGGCAAAAATCCTTCCCACTGAATCCTGCTCAGTATACGCACATGCAGACTCGCAAGTATTTTATCAAACATGTAAAAAGAATTTCGTTTTCATAAGTTACGGATCGACGGCACGTCCACATAGATTGGGGTTGAATTAATCGTTAAAACGCTGAACAGAACAATGTCATTTTGCATAATTTTTGGCGAAAATAAATATGATAAGGAAAAAATTTCTCATTTTGGTGAGGAGAAAATAAAGCACTTTTTAAAAACACCCTATGGAAAAAGCCCCTTTAAGGGCTTTTAAAAAACTAAAATCGAAAATAAGCACCTTTAAGCACTCTTTAAAAATGCTATGCATCCTGTTACATTGTTAATCAAAAACTTGTCCTATCATACTATTTTTTAATAAAAATTCAAATTTAAATTCAGAACAATATACCATTTTTAGGGCAAAAAGTTTGATATTGGTCATTATATCAGAATATTTTTTTTCATAAAAAACGAATTTTTGAAGCTGACTTAACACAGTTTTCACCCAAAGTTCATGGAAAAGTGGCGTAGTAACCGAGGCTCGATTAATATGGATGGACTTATTAAGGAAACTCCAAAATAAAACTTAAAAACTTTTATTATAAATTAGGAAAAACGGAATTTAAACAAACGATCTTGGGCCAGCCAAACTTACTCGCTGCGGATCAAAACAAGACTAACTCTTTTTAGGAAGGAGATAATTCCTAAAATTTTTGCAATGACAGTGCCACCGCTTAATTAATACAAATAGACAAAATAAAAAATAAAGAATATTATTAACCTTTCCCTCCAAGTTATGGGTTTTAATCAAAATTTAAACACAAAACTGATACTGAAACTTGAGAAACTGATACTTAGCACTAGAAAACACAAATCTGCATAATAATAAAGATATAAAACACTTAAAAAAACACTTTATGTGGAATTGCATTAAGTTGGTTAATATATGTTTATTAATTCCTGATTTTTAATCAGCTAGTAAGATTCAAAATGCATAAAAAGTATTCCTTTTTTTATTATAAAACTGGTAGCCGTCCATTTAAAGAAAATATTGGTTTTCTTTGCTTGATTGAAAAAAAATCACTATTATTTATTATATTAAAATTTCCACACTACTACTAAGGGGATTTCCATATTAACACCTAGGTTAAAATAATGATCAGTTTTGACAACTTTTTGGCAGAGTTAGAGAAACTAAAAAAAAAAAAAATTCCCAGAAGGGGATTAACTCAAAGGGTATTGCTCATATCCATTTAAAGAAAATATTGTTTTTCCCTGCTTAATTGAAGAAAAAAAAATCACTACTCCTTATTATATTAAACTTTCCACACTACTTCTAAGGGGATTTCTATCTTAATACCTAGGCCAAAATAATGATCAGTTTAGGCAACTTCTGGGCAGTGTTAGTGAAACTAAAAAAAAAAATCCCAGAAGGGCATTAACTCAAAGGGTATAGCTCATATCCCGGAAAATGTCTACATGTTTTTATTTTTAAATTGGAAGATATCTATTTGACTCCATGGTGATTGTTATTGGCGTGACAGATCACGCTACGGAAATATCCTGGAAAGGTATAGCTCGTAGTCCTTTAACACCTTGGCGATAGTAGTTAGTACAAACTGATAAGGTAACAAAATCTCCCTGTAGGAAGGAAGAAACCGATTAATTAATTGAAAGATGTGTAATGAAAACAAATTTTTAACCTTTGTTGTTCTTTTCGCACATCGACTTCTAAAGCATGGAAGTCTATGGACAAGAGAGCGACAAGTGAATTGACAACTTCGATGCCCGATAGAAGTTGAAGAATTACTTTCCGCTTTTGAGCCCAATCGACAGTTTTATCCAAAGGTGCACATAGAGCCATACGTACTAAACATGGCAAGAGTGGTCTTAGTTCTGTCTCTGTTAATAAAGACAATTCATCTGTATTCACTCTCTGAATTGCAGAGAATGCTTTCGGTAAAACAAACATTCTAGAAGACATTTCAAATTAATATTTTGAAACGATTTAAAATAAAACAAATAATTGATTACTTAACTAGATCATTAAAAATATCAAACTAAGGCCAAATATAACTAAACAGTATATTTGTGTTTTTGAAACAAAGAGTCTTGCTGCCTAGATCTGTACATCTGAAACTTACTTGAAACGAAATAATAAATATCAAAAATGTGCTTATAGCTTACTAATAATTTGTTTAGGTGATAACTATGTCATTTAACTGAATTTTACTGTAATTCTTTCTCTACATAATAATTCTTAACACGAGCAGAAGTAGGTAAGTAAATAAACAAATTGATTGTCGAGGGCGATTGTTTACAATCAACAACTGGAGAAATTTATGAGCACAATCTGGAGCACGAAAAATCCATATTTGCTCTACTTATGTTTAGTTATAATTTTTTTAAAGAGACATATTCATCATAAAAGCTATATGTTAGTCTTTCTGCAAAAAAATGTGACAACATAATTCCTATTAAATTATTTTGCATTTATATTGTTAAGTTAAAATAATATGATTTAGTTTTATTTATTTTGTAAAAAAGAAAATCGTATATGTAAAATATATAGGACTACAGAAGAAACATCGTTGAATTTGAAGTAAAAACAGATAATTAACGTATTTTTAAAAGAATGGTAAGAGTTACATGCTTTTAAATACCCATACATTTCTTAATATCACGCAACGTTTAATATCTTCTAGAAAGCTCTTATAATTGTATTATTGATATTTTTACTGTGTAGACTGAAAACTTGATTATATGATAAGCTGATCTGAATCTAGAAGATTTTTCTGAAATTAGCTTCAGCTAATTTATCCATGAATTTTGCTGGTTACCTGGTATAAATAGTATTTGGCTAAAAATGTTCTATTCTAAATAAAAATTGATAATTTCTTAAACATTTAGGCAAACTTTCTTTACTATCAAATATTTGAATTTATTTCACCTACTCTATTACATAATGGTTTATATTAAGTAACACTTTGTATTTTGGTGAAATGATTTACCGTAAAACTTAATGTGATAACTGACTTATGACAATTTTACTGGTGTGTGTTAAAATCTACTTAAAATAAGCATGAAGCATTAGTTTCATCCTGTTTTATGATGCATTAGCTTTCATGAATTCTAAATATTTGTGTTATATTAGATCTTTGCCTGCAGTGCTACAAAGAATATTGAACCTATGTGCCATTAATAAATATTTTCTTAAATGACATGAAATTTTTTTTATTTCAGCTATTCTGAATACAACTCAGTTCTTAAAATAAATCCCTTTATCTTTAATTACAAGTGCTTATTAATTCATGATACTAGTATGAAGTATCTTCAGATGATTGAAGTATAAATAGATATCCAGTATTGGTGAATCTTGTTTACTTAAAAAATAACTAAAGTGGATAGATTATTTCAATTATTTTGTTTTATTTCCGTAATTGTTTTCTTAGATGATTAATAAATGAGCTATTTAGAGGTAAAATTGAATTAAATATTAACATCATACTTTATAATTTTTTTCAGAACGATACATATGTGGAATCCAAAGAAAAAGAATGGCCATTTCCTATAGCTGTAGTTTTCTGTCTGGCTATAATATCCTATGTGTTCATCTTACTACTTGGATTAATGATCAGAAAATGCCTTATAGTATGTAGCTGTAAACATTTATCATACTATATTTATAGCAATAACGCTATATAATGATCAGCTGGAGTATATCTAGACATTAAAATTTTTTAAAACTATGAATTATCGTTTAAGAAACAAGTTTGTTAAATAGGAAAGCACCAACACACAACTCTTTTTCACTCCGAATTGGAGTTTAGGGCTTCTACAATAGCTTTCCATCCCAGTCTATTTGTGACCATATATTTTTCTTCTCTCCATATCTTTCCCATTCGTTTACAATCGTCCTGCTCCAAGTATTTTTAGGTCTTCCTCTTTTTCTATTGCCCTGAGGGTTTCAATCAAAAAGTTAATTTACTTTATAAATGTACATCAAGACTTTTCCAAATTTAAATGTGTAAATGAGAAGAAAAATAAATAAAAGAGCCTGTATAAAAAAACTTTAACTTTGTTAACTTTTAGAGAACATTATTTTTAATATAAATTTGAATAAGTGAAAATATATTTATTTCTTTAAACTACAAACTAAAAATATTTTCATGATTATTTTTTTTATAAAATTCGAATATGTATTTTTATATTTCAAACAACTTGCTATGAGTGCTTGCCACTACAAACTAATTTTTCCAGATTAAAGGGATTTTTCCTCAGAGACCTCAAATTATTGGGTTGTATAAAAAGGCACGCAAAGTGGGTATTTTATCAAACTATCATGTAAAGGATTGTTTTTCTGCGATTTTAACATTGTACAATTCAGTATACTTTGATAAAGAATAATTCATTCTACTTTTATTGCATTTATCAAGTTCCAGTGTATCAACATATTTTTAACACTTGTGTAGTTTTACTTAATTTTATGGCTTAAGCTTCACTTATATGTTCCAACCACTAAAATTCTTTGTCAATATCATTTACAAATAAATTAGCAAAAAAAAATTAATTTTATTAAATAAATAATTTCTCTTAATCTTCTAATGTTCCCCATTTTTGAACAGGCACGCGGGATATGCACAGATTGCTGTCCAAAAATGAAAAGCAGTCCTGGTTGTTGTGAAGCATGCAGTAATTGTGCTCAACAATGCAACTGGAAACTGCCTACTGTTGATAATTGTTTAGATCTTATATGTCCTACAAAACAAGTGAGTAATGTTTAATCTGTTTAAAAAGGTTTATATTAAAGATAAAAACTTGACTGCACACATCATTATAATTATTTTTGATTTAATGGTATTTTACAGTCAAACCTGTGTAAGTTGACCACTTGTAGTATATAGCTTTAGGATTTAATTTAGACTGATGATAAACTTATAGAGTGGATGAGTAATTTTTTTTTATCTCGTTATTTATATATATATATTTCTTATATGTCACACACAGATCAAAATCTAAAATATTCTAACAAGAAAATTATTATATATTTTTGATATAAAATAAAAATATAAAATAATTTAGATAAAAAATTATTATTTAATTTAGCTAAATTATTTTTACTTTGCAAACACCCCACAGATCTTAAGAAATGAGATTAAATGAAAGAATTAATTACAGTTTGTTACATAATTTTTACCTTAAACTGATTACTTAAAATTTTTTGTTAGTAATGCATACTTCTTTCTTAAACATAAGTACACAAGTTTTAAACAATAGGAAAAATCAACATTAATACTTATTTCCGCATTTTAAAACTTATTTTGAAATGCATTTTAAAAGCAACTTTATGTAAAAGTTAATCAAAAATAGCTTTTCATTTTTCGGTCAATTCACAAAAAGTTCAGGTCATATTTTAATACTATTTCACAAAGTCAGAAAAGTTCTTATATGTAATAAGAGAATAGAAATTTTCTTTAAAAAAAACTTTAATTCATTTTTTGAGCTGTTTAGAACAGCATTATAAATCTTCTTTGTAACTGCTAGGCAAATTTGATTTATTTCAGCGATCAGTCGCCACACAAGTTAGTCAGGTGACAAAGTTTTTGCTCCTTTTAGATAAATTATGTTCTTAATAATAGTGGTCAATTTGTCACATTTCTCTGTATTATAAATTATTACATTTCATAAAATCTTAGAAACAAGATTTAATAATTAATTGACTCTTAGGTTTAAAAAAAATATCACCTTGTGTCTATAAACTGGTAATTTTATCTTTCAGAGAGTCAATTGCATCGAGTTTTTAATGTGTGATTGGGCAAATGTTCAATGCTGCGGGGAAGGAGGTACATATACAGTGAGTTTATTTACTTTTTATACACTTTGGTAGATTTTTTATTGTCAGTAATTCACGAAAAAAAATACTTCTATTAAGAAAGAACTGTACAGGTTTAGCCTACACACAAAATGAGTGAAAATATTTTTAAATATTTAAAAAAAAGTAATTGGGTGCAAATTAAATTAAAGAAAGAAGGAAATAGATTTCAAATTACAGAAAAGTTAATATCCGTGTTTATGGAGCAGAAAATAAAGCCAGCCTTCTGCAACAGAACAATAAATTTGTCAATAAGTACAACTACTAATATGGATTAATTTGACTCACACTAAATCCAGACTTTTGACTATTCAGATTAATACCAAATTTATGAAAAAAAGTTATTTTTTAATAGAGAAGTAACTCTACTAATCACACAAAATAAGCATTGTTTATTTGTAAACTTCCAAGAAAAATAAGCATTTAAAAATTAAATAAAATAGTAATGTGAATATTAAATAATGTTAATAAATTTTTGAAAAAATTGTTATTTTTTTGACAAAAATTTGTCTGAATTGATAATACAAAGTATTAGCACACATCATGTAAGATAAAATCTTATGAATGTATCAATACTTTTTATATTCTAAGTGGATACATATTTATATGAATATTTATACATTAAATATAAAATTTAAGTTAATTCAATTTAATTTCTGATACAGTTTTAATAAATTTCAAAATCTCTCTGCTCCTTATAATAGATTTTTGCCGAATAGTTCAAATTTTCTTTTTAAATAAATAATGTTTCATTACAGTGTGGCAGTGGGGACTATGCATGTACCTGTGAAACTCCCAGTTGTGAAAACATTAATTGTCTATGCTGTGAAATATCATTTAGAAGTGTAGCAACAGAACAAGCCTGAAGAATTTTCCATATTTATATATCAGTATTCAAAATTAAGTATTTTCTTTCCTTGACAAAGACTGCAAGTGAAGGAAATTTTAGCTTTAATGGGAGAAATCTACATAAATACTTGCTTAGAAAATTAATGAGTTTTCTATTATCTCTCAATATTGTGCCCAGAGATTAAGGCTACAAGAAATATATTTTTAAAATAAGTGTTAAGCTAAAATACACCTATTTTTACAATCTAGTCATATTACCTACAATTTTTGTTCTACATTCTTGTATTCAGCATCAGTACCCACTTTCATGACATCACGTTTAACTGTGTACTTAATTTATAATGTACTTTTACCTATTGTAATTTACAATAATAAATTTTCTTTTTTTTTTGAATGTTTGTAAATAATTGTCGATGGTAAAAAAATATTCACAACAGATTAACAATAGAATATTTATTTATAATTATAAATATTGTAACTTAAAGAATAAATATTAAAGTTTCTATTCGACTGTGTTTCATAAAAAGAAAAATTTAGAAATAAAAATAAATATTTCATAATTTAACAAAACATTTAACAAAAGACATCAATGTAAAAGTAAGACAAAAAAAAAATCAATAAATTAATTTTTAACACATTATTAGTTAGTGCAGTAAATTTTATGATTCATCTGTACACTGACTTTATTCAGCTAGAACACTGAAATACAAAGTAACAGAAATATCTTAAAATAAAATAAGTTTAGCCCACTATGTGTTACATATTTCTATTGCATAACAATCAAGATCAATTCAGCGCCACATATGAGCTAATTTTATATACCAACCAGGAATGTGTTAAGATAATTGAAATCGAGTTAGATAACATAAATTATTATTTTTTTTTAAAAAATAAAATCTTTTAAACATAAAATACAAATATGCAGAATTTATTTTCAATTTTTTTCCCCTTCATATTCTGAGAAAATAAATTATTCAGGAGGAAGATTCCTTCCCAGTTTTAGACTCAAACACATAAGCTTAATAATGATTCTTATCAAAAGTTTATTTCAAATAATCTCGATAAAATGCTTAAAAAATTGTTTTATGCATTTCATAGACTGCAATATGTCTAAGTTTTCAAAATACCAACATTTTTATGAAAATGATCAACCACAAATAAAAAATATAAAAAGTCTGATAATTATATCTCTGAAAAAAACCTTAGCAACAACAAATAAATGATAATTTGAATATAATTAGTAAAGACAACAAATATGCCAATCCATTTAAGATCAGTTCTTGAACTTCGAAAACTTGATGGTTAGGTCAATTTTAAATAAATTCAATTAAATTTTAAATAAAAATAAATCAAACTAAAACTTTATATGTACAGGATATTATTTATAGCTTGATATAAATATATACTTCAAATAAATATCAGCTTTAAACTAGATTGTAGCAAGTATAAAAATAAGTTATCAAATTATCATGAAAGTAAGAAAATCAGATTCAAATAAACTTAAGCTATTACAATTCTTATGGATAAAATACATAGTAGAGATAATTATAAAAAAGTTTGCCTGTAAAAAATCAGGTATAAATATGTGCTAGTTGTCTGCATGGTTTGGTAACTTTTCTCAAAAGTTTTTGCAAAAATCATGAAAATACAAAAGGTAACATCTCATCTTGGTTATAGAAGACATAGGGTTTATATGATTTTTTCTTATTCTGAGGGCAAGCTCTGTTGTATAAAATATGGAAAGCATGAATAATGTACAGTTTATCCTATTTGTATTTATTTTCTAAATGTAAAGCATTAAAAAGATGGAAATTTTTTTATAGAATTTAGTTGTCTCTCCATTCTACTGTTCTGCTAATGAAAGTTTCAGTGCTCTTTCTAACATTTCTTGCTCCTCTTGAAGTTGTTTTGCTTCATCTTCTTGAGCTTGTTGAGATAGTTTTAATGCTATTTCTAGTTGAGTTTCTTCACTGGATCTATAATCCTCTATAGGGGAAGAAGCAGTTTTGGGTGCAGCAGTAGAGGATAGGCTTTCTTGTATAGCTCTAAGGGCAAGGTATTGAAAGAATAAATAGCTAAGCAACTAGTTGAGATCTACTACTACATTAATATTCACACATAAATGAAATGTTATATTTGTTCTTTAAAATTATTTGAATATTTTGAGCACTATAATCAAAGACTCCAACCTGTGGTCAGAGTTTTCAAACATAACCATGAAATTTTTTTTAAAGATTTTTTCAAGCCTTTTCAGTAGTTTTATAACAAAATGTGTATCAACAAATTTAAGACATTATAAAATAATTAGTGATTTTTTTAAAACATTAAGTTTCGCCTAAGACAATTAAGAACAATTCATCAAATAATTAACCTAAAGTTGATGATTTTTACATTAAGACCTGTACATTTACATATACAAATCAATGAAAAACTGTAAAAATAAAAATTTAGGATGAGTTTTTAATTATATGGAAAAATTTGATTTCTGTCCTTTCATTTAAATGTTTTAAAAACACATGAAAGAAATATTTAATTGAAAATTTGATTAATATTTTTTGAGAAAATTATTATATCTAGAATTTTAAAGAAAATATAAAGATTTTTCATTCATTTATTATGGCGAAAACACTTTGTATCACTAAAGGGAGAAGCAATGTGAATAAAGCACAAATGAAGTACAGAAATGAACATAATCTAGTTTTGGTTTTCCATACAAAAACCTTCCTCAGAACAAAACATACCATTAAAAAATAAAAATTGACATTTTTATGAAAAATATTGCTTAAGAACGTAAAAGTTAAAAGAATTGAGAAAATAACCCATACATAAATTAAGTGTCATTAAGTGTATCGGAATTTGATAAACCTTAGGGAAATAGCTTAAAAAATAATAAATAGTTTCCAATAAATGTGGAGTTACATTTAAGAAGTCATAACTTGTGTTTGAAAATCTCGTTTCCGTATAATATTGTATTAAATGTATTAGAATTTTAAAAACAATTGGGAAAAATGAATACCACTGAAAAAAACAAACAAAAAACAATCTATCAAAATCTTCGTGAAATGGATAGTAACTTCCAGGGTAACGAACAAAATTGTGTAGAAACTATTGAGAATCTGTAGAATTTGGAATATCTATATAATGTATTAAATACAAAAATTGATAATCATTTATGTATTAAAAATTTGTAATATTAGATGTGTGGAAACAAAATATATAAATATTTTTTATTTATTTAAAGAAAAGCCTTTTCTTTATTTATAAACTTTTAAATGTTCTATTTTTGTACAGATACTGAATTTAAATTACCTTAATATAATTTGAGAAAAATTTTAAACTTTGCCCAGTCTTTAAATGAAAAGTTTCTTACATTAAATTATTTTCATCGAAAAAACAAACTAATATATATCATAAAAGGAGTCAATATATTCCAATAATACCTCTAAGCTAAGCAATAATGGTTTTCAAGCTAAGAAGTTATATACAATAATAAAAGATACAATGAAAAGGAATAGTAATTAATTTTTCTAAAAAGAAAGCATTGGAAAATATCTATTAACTATAATGCTGATTCATGATCATCTTCAGAGCTGGAAATAATTGCATTTAAAAATCTTATAAAATAACAATAGAGTTAACTAACTACATAATATTTTATTAATTTAACCTTTTAAAACTTAACTGCTACAAATAAATTCAATAGAATATTGTCAAAAATTTTTATGACAAAAATATTTACTTTTGCAAATCCTCATCTTCACCATTTGAATTGGGCTTTTGAGCTCGTAAAGCTTCCCAGATTGTCACCTGCGTGAATTTAAAACATATTTCAAATTTATAACTTATTTTTAAGTTTTAAGAAAAATAAAAAAATTATAAGCTTTATTATTAGAATTGAAAAAAAAAATAGTCTAAGAATAATTAAAAAAAAAAGAAAGAATATCAATTAGACATATTTTAATCTCGCAGTACATAAATTGAAACTAACATATAATAAGCTAATGCTTATATCCATATCTTTAGCTAAGTCTTCATAAATCAAAATAAACTTTTATATTTTTAGACAAATAAAAAAGAGTGAAATAAAATTAAAAGACCTATCTTTTGTTATTCCTAATGCAAATGAAAAAAATTGAAAGTCAAATCTATAATACTTTAATTTTACACAAATTAGACTTAATCAGAAATTTCAATACTTTAATTAGAAGTAAAAGTTATTTATTTTATTTTCAAATGACGAAATTCATCAATGTCAAAATAATACCACAACTATGTAAGTTTGAAAGGAAAAAAAAAAAGGCAAGACCACATATTCATAAATGCAATTTGGTTACTATAACAAATTATATTACTAAAAACAAATTATATGAATATTTTAAGTGAAATAATTTATTACTAGTAGTATTGGGAATTAATTTCTTTTGGTTTCACATTTTAAAAATCAAATATTTTTGAATAAAATTGCCAAAAACATTAAATACATTATGTAACTAATAAATAATTATCATTACTTATATATTGGAATAAAGAGTTGGAGACAATTTGATGCATTAATCTAGATTCTGATTTAAAGAAAAAAAAATGAAAAGAAAAGAGAGAATAAAAAAAGGCATATTGAAGTGATAAAGACTCAGTAAAAAACAAAATATTTAAAGATTTAGTTCTCTGAGCATTTGGCATAGAATTTCAACTTGGTTGCTTCTTGCATAAAAATCTATTCTCTTCATGCTTATAAAAGAACTTTATAGAGGAAAATTCCATGACTTGTTCCCACACTTTGCTTAACATGTTAAAAAGAGACATAATCAAAATATTATAATTCATAGAGCAAACTTAGTTATGAATGTTATTCTGCTCTCATAGACTTCAAAAATACTTTTACATATATATAACATATACACATATATTTTTATTTTTTAGCGATATAGACGCATTAGGAAGAGTAATTTTTACATAGACATATATATATATATTTTTGCAATACGCATTATAAAGGGTAATTTTTATCTAAGGATAATTATTCTTTATTTGGATATATCGCATTAACCATCGTAGAGGAATGCATACTGCTGAAAAGCTTTACGTTCTCCCATTATATATATATATACACATACATAAAAGACTGTTAGAAAATACTTAATAAATACATAAATATATCATTTGACTCTTAATTTTAATTGCTTGAAAACCCAATTTTTTTGCTTTGATCTACTAAAACATAAAAGTAATAAACATTTATAACTTTTCTATCTGTTCAATATTCAGGTTTCTTAATGACTATTTTTCATTATTACCTGATCTTCTTCACTTCCAGCTTCCATTAAGGATTGTTGTATTGCATATTGCAGCAATTCATCATCTTCATCAATACTAAGAGGACGAAGAGCTTCAGAACCTAATGTTTTAAGACAATATTCGTATTAAAAATGTAGTATTATTTAAATTTATTAAATACTAATTATTATTACTGAATTCATCTTACATAAAAAGTAATACAAAACTGCAATCCAGTTGAAACCCAAAACATAAATATTTGTGTTTAACTGCTCTTTAGTTTGAATAATTTTAAAACAAATAAATTCTTAAGAAAAATTTATAAACATGTAAGTTATATAAAGGAATAAGATTTACAAAATAAATATAAGATCATTAAATTTAATATAGCAAGAAATGCAGCATCACACCATGGTTAGGATTTAGATACTAAACCAAGTATTTAAAAAATAATATCAATATTTAATTTAAAAAACAGCTTTAACAAAATGATTCAGAAGAAAAATATTTATTCATTGAAAAATATGAAATATTCCATAAATAAAGGTACCATATCATCTTCTAAATTTCTAATAGAAGGACTGTGTTTTAGTCATTTAAATCATCAAATAAAATGATATAGAACCATTTTCTGCGATGTTAATATTTTTATTTTAATTAAAAAATTATTGCTGAAGTATTTTCTCAACTAACACTGGAAATAAGTATGATCATAAGCAATTAAATTTTTATAGTTGGGTGAAAATTTATTTTAGAAAAATAAAATATTCAAAAAACTATACAACTTTAAAATCTTCCCTCCATTGCAATATAACTTTCATTTAAAATTAAAGCCTTGAATTAAAAAAATATATTACTGTTTAGTATTTTGTAATGATTTTTAAATTGCACAAATATTTTTATAATACCAACTCCATTTTATTTCAAACATGTGCTTGTGATAAGTAAGCAATGGTGATTTAAAATTTTTATGAGGCTAATTTTATATTGATAGGTTTCATTCCTCTTTGCATATATTTTTAGATTGTTAAACCAATAATTTCATTTTAAATAACACTGTAAATAGAAAATTTAATTATCTTAAAGCAAGACCTAGACAAGACCTTGAAAATGAATCAAAAAGTTATCAAACACGAATAGAATAAAAAGTCAATTGAAAGCTGGATTGCTGTTCATTTTAACAAGATAAATAATGAAGATTTATTCCCATTTCTATTAGTAGTAAAAGTACATCATTTCATTTAAAAATAGAAAGAGAAAAATATTAAGTATGCTATATGTATATTTCCTTTTTTAATTATCTTATTTTTGAAATCTGATGATTTTAAACAACACACTTATATATTTTAGCCTTTTTATTTTTTTTTAGTTTCATGCTAGTCATGTTTCTGTAACAACTACTCTTTTCATACCATGTCATTAAATGCAAGAATATTTCTTGTAATGGATCAGTTTTTATGTGAATTTTTTTATTCTTGCTTTTTATTATAAGTATTTTATAAATGCAATATAAAAAAGGTGTTGTGATAGAAACATTTTCCCTTCCCTTTTTTAATTGCAGGTAGTTTTAACATTTAACATTTATTCTTGATTTTTCTTAATATACATAACACAATTATAAATTATGTGCAAGAGTTGAGAAAAATTTTTCTGATTGAAATTCTTAATTTTAAGGGAATTTTTTACTTTTAGATTAAAAGCATTTTTATTGTTTTTAAGTGCATCTTTAGCTAATTTTAAGAAACATTTTTGGGGATTTTATAATTGTTTATTAGCTATTAATAAATTTTTAGAGACTTAAATTATATAGGATATCTTATTTTTAGGGAATCAAAATTGAAGCTCCAACCACAACATTTGGAGGGTTAAACACACAATTTATCACAATATTCAAAATAAATATTTCATTCAGCAACACTGTAATACAAAAGCCATACTGTAATACAATTGTATGCAATATTTTCAAGCAAAAATATAAATTATAATCTTAAAACCAATAACATTTTAGATTGAGGGATCACATAGCATAAAGATGTAAATTGAAATAAACTAAAAAAATATGGCAATTAAGACTAATTTTGTAGAATTGACAAGAACTAAATATTTGTATTAATTTCAAAATAATGAAAAAGAGAAACATTGTGTACTTGTAAAAATCTCATCCTAGTTTGATGACAAACACAACTAGAGGCACAGGATGAGACGATAGTTAATGAGAAGCTTAAAATCAGACTTATATTTAATAGACGGAAATGTCCTTGAAAAGCTCACACAATTAAAAAAGGTGAAATTTACATCATGTAATTAATGACCTATTAAAAAAACAGTTAGGTGTCAAACCTGGAAGGCATATAATAAAGCAAAGCAAATAGAATCTGCTGGAAATGAAGCATTTTTGGTGGTAACTGAACATGCACTTTTAACACCTATAACTAGACATTAATCCTTACATGCACTAAATTACCTATCCTGAAGTACAATTTAACGCACCTGACACAATTAGCTTTCCAGGGTCTTCAATTAGGTACTCGCTACACTGGAGCCAAAGTAATATAAATGAATATAATAAAAGTTAATTAAAAAGTTATATAATAAAATATAATTAATTGTGCTCACCCAATTATACAAGTGCAAATGATATTGCATGAACAAAATCATGAGTTGATTTAATATTTATATTGATATTATTTTGATTAGTTACATTATACATCACATTTTGTCACATGGGTAAGGTAAAGTTGTTACCAATAATTGTAAAACATTTCCTATTGTATGTTAATGAAATTCAACAAAACATTTTACAAAAAACGTAAATAATGGACGGACTAGTTTTTTAAAAAAACTACCATTATTAAATATTTTATGTGAAACACTTTTAAAAAAGTTAAGTGCTAACAAACAGTTGTCAAACATTGCTTTAATTTAATTGCATTTTAATAATATAATAATAAAGCTACGAATAGTTAAAATTTTGATTATCTAACAAAAATGTTAGTCATGAATAATGTTTTGTAAATAAATACTTTCTAAGGAACAACGAATTTTTTTTGCTAACTTTACTATGTAAATGTTTATTTAAAATTCCAAGTTTAAAAAAAAAAGAAACATTTTTGAGATAAGTTTGATGAGTTAATACCAACTTATTAGTTACATTTAGTACCATTGCACAATGTTTAGAATTGAATAATTATTTTTTTTAAAATGGATTTCTAGATAGCAGCAGAGATGGTTAATATTTTGTGTAACAGTTATTTTGCATGTGTTATAGTATGAGGTGGAAATATAGGATTTTGCTTCCTAAAGTCTCTTATAAAATACTATGCAAAAATGTGACACGATACAAGTGAAACGTTTATTTTTTTTACCAAACTTTTGCTTTTGTTCTAACTGCCTTTCATCGATGTTTTAGTAGTTCTACATACAATTAATAAAAACACACATCTCTTTAAATAAATTTATGTTATTGAAATAAAAATGAAATATAAATAAAATACGTTTGTTAAAGAAAGACAGTTTCAGATGTTATTAAGTGAAACAGCCTAGTCTAGGTTAACTAATGAAAGTTTACTTAGAGCATAAGGAATCAAATGATTCAAGACTTTATACATGAAATGATTCAATAACTAACTCAAATGCATTTCTATGGTAATTGCTCTAAAATGTTATTCAAAAACATCTTATCACTTAATTTTAGCTAGCAATATGCTTACAAGTGGAATGAAAATGGATTAATAACATTTTAAGCAAGGATAAAAGCATATACTGACAACAATCTTAACAATCCCAGCAAAATATATTAAATAGTATTTGTTTACAAAAATCAGCATGATTCGTTTACAAAAATCAGCAGCTTAATAGAAAATTTTAATAAAATTCAGGTAATGAAACTTTTACTTTTATTAATAAAATATGAAATCTTCTAAAATGATTTAGTTTTTCTTTGAATTTTATGACAGAACCATATGACCAGTAACCATATGACAGAAGTATCAATTATTACTACATACATTGACTTATCTAAAACAAATTTTAAGATGTTTAACTTAACTTGATTTTTGAGGATTACAATAGGCAATATGTTGCATTTATTATTATTTCTAATTACCAGTTAAACAGAAGACAGAGTAAACTGAGGCGTGAATGTGGAATGTATCAATATTTGCACCATATTAGGTTAAAATTTGAGTTTTATGTTCTTCATACATTTTTTTTCTTTCATCTAATTAGGTAGTAAGAAATTTTGGGACTGTTCAATATGAATGAATATACAATCTTAATTTTGATACCAACAATTTAAAATTTATAAAGGATGTATTGTCTTAATTTTGTAGAAATTGGGATATTTTGAAGTTTTCAAGGACGTTTCCACATTTTATTCTTGTAGTTAATACAGATAAACAATGTATGTATCCTTATTAAACAGAAAAGATAATCAGTTTCAAAACACATGGCACATTCAAAATAATTAGTGAGATTAAAAAATATTGTTTTTCAAAAAATATTTCTTCAACAGGAAGAATAGGAAATAGTTTTCACTGATGCCAAAAATATTTTTTACACTTCAAGTTGTCACAACATAAAATTTCTACAAATATATTTTAAAAATTCCTTAGTTAATTTGTAAAGATGCTAATTTTCAAGAATTTTTTGACATTGTCAAAAAACTCTTGAAAATTATTGTTATTCAGAAGATATCGTCTGGGAGAGATAATATTATGAAATGGACCAAATATCATTGTAGATTGATTTTTCTTTAAAAAATAGATGAAAATTTAATATTTGGGTACCTCTAATCCACTTCTAATTTCTTACTTTGCTAAAAAAATTTTTTCAAAATACTTAGTTTGTAATTTTTTTTATTCTTAAAAACCCTCTTGAAGAGTGGACCAACACTTCCAGAGGCAAGGGTAGCTTGGTCCACTATATGAGGCACGTTGGACCACGTCTCAAAATAATATTAAGAAACAATATTGTGAGATAAATGTTACTCAATACAGTAATTGCATTATATCAGGGCTGATTGTGAGCTCAAGTCAAAATTCCAAAAAACTTCTTAAGTTAAAAAAAATATAAAAAAAAACAGTTTAAATTGAAAAAAAGGTAAACAAGGGTTTTTTCCTTTTTTTCAATATTTCTTAATTTACTTAAATACAGTACAGAACCCGTTATCCGGAAATCAGAAAACCGGAAAACCAAAAAACCGGAACGAAATTCAATAAATTTTCCCGCAATTTTAAAAAAAAAAAATTTTTTNTAAACATGTCTTTCTTTCTTGAGTTTATGATTATAATAACTATTTACTGATAAAAAATGAATATTAATCATGAATGTAAGCTTATTAAGTATCTGGCTCTCCCTTACAAACAAATAAAATAGTATTTTTAAGTTCCACCTTTGAAAATTTGATTTCCGGAAACTTCTGTGATCAATGATTTCTTTAAACGTCTGGACCTTCGATCTCCGGAAACTTCTGGATCACTGTTAGCAAAAAATCTGGATTTTTTCCAGAGCACAATCAGCCCTGTTATGTTCTTTAGCATTTAAAATAAAAAATACATTTTTAAAGATTAAAGAAAATATAAAATTTATTTTAAAATTTCAGATTCTGTAAATAATTTGAAATTAAATTGAATCAAAGGACTGAAAACATTTTATGACTTGCTGTAAAGTTGTAGAAAAATTGTTTGCTAAACTAAAATAGAAGTAACCTTAAAAAAACTTCTAAAAAAGAGTTTATGTAAAATTGTTACATTTTCTAGAGAAGCAAATAAAAATGATTTTTAACATTGTGTCAAATATTAAAAAATATATGTTCACATAGTCTTAAGAACGTTAATTACTATAATACAATTCTACTTGGGCAAAAATTTTAAGAGTAAAATCATCAATGACTGAAAAATATTGAAAACAATTTTATTAGCAGTATTATAACAATATAACTTTGATTTATGTAGACATGTAATTATTATTAAAGAAATATATATTAAAATATATAAATTGCACATAAGTAATAGAAACAAAAAGCTTAAATGATCTCATTCTAAAAATTAATTAGTAAATGAGAAATACTGTGCTTTAAATTTAAGCAAAATTATTTCTTGTCATTATTGGAATAAAGAGAGTAAATATAACCCAATTTAGACACTAAAAAAATATTTTGTTACCTCACCTAAACGCACATAACCTGATGGTGTATCAAAACAGCTGTCATCCAACACACAGGCTACAGGTTTTTCTTCTTGTATCGGAGTCACCCCAACTACTGGTTCCTCCAAAGAAAATATATTGCCAAAGGTAATGCGTGCATTCAAAACATGAAACAATGGTATTTCTGAAAATAAAATTAAAAGAAATATTATATTGTTGAATAGTTGTAATGAATAATAAGTTCACACAAGTTGGGAGAGATAAAATGTAATGAAGAAAAATAATTAAAAAAAAAATTGAACAAAGTTTTCATAGATAAAACCTTTTTTTCTGATCATCAATGACATTGAAATATTTTATAAAATTATAATTGAATGGCTTATCTTATTTGAAGAGTTTAAAGGAAGAAGGTTCAAAATGACAGTTTTGAAAAAATTTAAATTTCTCCAAACCAAAAAATATCTTATTTTACATTAAAAAATTAAGTAATAAAATTTAAATTAGTGTTAAAAATTATTTAACTAAGTTACACTAATTTATTTTGACAAGCATTTTAAGTTTTGTAGAACTTAGCGGAGGAAGATACTAAGTTACAATTTCTGAGAGTTTTCAGAGAGGAAAAAGGTTCAAAACGCATTTGGCAACTATTAGTTATTTATAAAGCTTTTCTTTTGGCAGCAATTATAACATCAAAAGTGTGACTATACCACAAGCATATTGAAGAAGTAGTAGGATATTTAAGATTTGGTCAATTGGAAGTTTTTAAAAAAGAAATAAAAACAAGGCAGATTCATTGCTTTCAAATCTCAAAGCTAGAGCTTTAAAGCAAATTTGCAAATGTAGATTAGGACTTTCACTCATTCAGGTTCACTCAGTCAATGAGAAGTTATCAACTTCAGTCAATGCCTCATAAAATTTATTTTTGAATTTGAAGCTTGTTTTTAAAAGAATACTTAAATTTTGGGATCCTTTGCAATCTGAAGAATGCAAGAATAAAATGCAAAATAAAACAAAAGCTTTGACTTGAATTAATCTATCTACTCAATACAGCTTAAGATAACTATTAAAATATTTTAGACCTAAATATGTATCATAGTAAAGATCATTGTTTTTCAACCACCGGTCAGCAGACTGGTGCCAGGTCGAAAACGCTATTTACAGGTCTGTAGAGAGGATCTCTAAAAGGTAGACTTCTTCTAGAAAGGAATGGGTAGCTAAGTTTACTTATAGATACTCTAGGGATACTCTTTGATTTAGAGGGTTTCAAATACTGCATATATATTAGTTTATATATCATGGTTTAGAATAATGGCTCATTAATAATGTATAAACAATGTAAAATTTGAAATTTTAGAACTCCTTTTTTGATAAAACTTTATACAACAATTATACAAGAACAATTATATTAATTAAATAATTCCTTATGATAGTAACATAATAAGTAGATAATATAAGCCTTAAAGGTTTAATGGTAATTAATTTAAAAGTTTAAACTTTAAATAAAAGTACGTATGAATTCAGTTTGTTAACTTAAAAAAAATATTTAGAGGATATATTGATTTTCAAACTTTCAGATTAATGGATCAGAATTAACTGTTTTCATAATTACAAAGTTCTCAACCATTAAAATCTATTGAGTAGAAATACAATTTCTTGGGTGGCATTCTTTACGGTAATTTACATAAAAAGGCTTTTCTTTACTATTTTCCTCTAGGCAAAAACAATTTCACTGAAATAACATGTTACATAATTTGACATTTTTTAATTTATGAAAAAACCCAAAACATGCCTATTTTTATAGGGAAACCAGCTGGTAGTTGTAGAGTGATGAAATCTCGTAATTTAGCAAAGTGAGTGCTACTGATAGCCATCAAATCAACTATTGGCAGGATCTATTAAGAGAAACATATAAGGTACACACATACAAGTCATACTTCAAACAATTTATAATAAGATTTAGCACACATATAAAATAAAAAAACAAAATTAATTAACCAAAAATTTTTTCTAGCTTAATGTTGAGTCAATAAGCACAATTTTTTATACTGACAAAGTTACATTTTTGCAAGATATTCAGTTTAGTTTCTTCAAATTAAAATTGTTTTTAAACAGCTCCAAAAAACTTCATACGCATAAAAAGAGTTAAACCCTACCTGACTAAAACTAATATTAAATTGTTAGAAAAACAGAACAATCCGAAAACTAGTTATTAATTATATTCCAAAAATAAGTTATTATTTAAACCATAAACCTTTCTTTCTCAGAAAAATGGTTTCAGTTCAGTTAAACGCTTTTGATTAGAAACAAGTTTGATGTTTTGGCATTGTTTAAAAACAAACAGGATAAACTTGACGACTGCAATGAACAAAAATAATTCCCCTAAAGTAAAATAATTTAGATTACTTAAATATCTATAATTTGGTGATAACCACAAGTTTTTACTGAACAATAAATAATTACAAAAGCCTGCTTTGCCCAGGAACCCTTCACGTTTCAAAGGCAACTTAAACTCAGAACAATAATTAGTAAAATATATAGTAGTAAGTAGAATCAAATCTCAATATAAATAGGATTTAATAATGTTCTAAATTTAGGAATTGGTCAAATTTTAAATGGTAAATTTCATAAAGATAAACTAACAAACTGTAAAATCTAAACAGAGGAATAAATATTGAAGCCTTTCATATAATTAGAATAATTACTTGTTCTGGAAGAGACAAAGGATAATCTTCACAAAGCCACAAATTTGCTTTGAATTTCTGAACTTTTGTAGAAATTTCTCTAGGGCGACCTATATCTTTTCCTTCTAAATCAATCTCAGGATTAAAATATTCCTCTAAAGTTATATGGGAAGGATTTGTTGACCACTCTTTATCATCCTACAATTTATCAAAAGAATAAGAAGATATAACTATGAAAGTGAAATCAAGTTAACTGCTATAGTTATATTTAATAGAAAAATTTTAATTTATGACAATATAATTAAAATTTCATTTAATTCTCGAATACTTACACCATTGGCAATAGGAGGAGGAGATTTTTCTTCAACTTCAACGATACCCAGTAATGACTGTAAGGGAGAACGTGCACTTTTATGTCTTGCCTTATCAGCTTCAGTTAGATGTTCTGTTCTAGTTTTTGTAATCAACTCAACATTGTTTGCGCTAAAAACCTGAAAAATAGAAAATAAATATATTTTAATATTGTTATTTTTATAATAAACTAATTCAGGGTGGCCACTGAAATCAGATTTCACATTTCCCTGATTTTTCCAGGTTTTCCAGATAAAAATCTTAAAATTTCCAGGTTTTTGTTTCTTTTTTCTTACGAAGTGTAGGCTGTGTACAAGAAAAAGAGTCTATATTATAAAATATTTTATTCAAAATGTGTTTTTTAACATATCATCTGGAAAAAATAATTTATTTTGACAATCTGGCAAGATTTTTTATTTATTTAATGTTTTGTTACAAAATTTTGAATCAAAAATCATATTGACCAAAAAAAAACTTTTTTTTTTTAAAATTAAAATATGTTCCAACTAATTTTTGGAGAATTTTATAAAGTTAAAAATACAAAAAAATTTTGTCAACACGGAAAAAAATTACCACGAAAGCATGGGAACAAACTTGAGCCATAAATGGATTCAGCCTAAAGACAGAATTTAAAAAACAGAAGCTAATATCCTAATCCCTTCTTCCACACCCACCACAATCTTTCCTAAATTGCACAGTCCCATAGCGGTCAAAGGTTTCTACATTCGTTCAGCAACCATGGAAGAATTTTATGTGTGCATTCTAGTTCAACAGAGCTATAATGGAGCAAATTTTGATGAAAGCAAAGTATCGCTAAGTTGATATTTCAACTGTTTGGAGATATATTTCCGTCTAAAAAAGCGGGTATAATGGATGAAATAATTTAAATTAAGAAAATAATTTAAATTAGTGAAATTAAAAAAATTATCAAAGAAAAAATTTCCAGCTTTTCTTTAAAATTCCCTGATTTTTCCAGTATAAAAAATTCCCTGATAATTCCTGGTTTTCCAGGTGGTAATGCAATGAAATAATTGCACACTGATAATGCAAAGAAATAATTGCATTTATTAGATGCATAATGAAAAAATTCATTTCTTTAAACACTCTATAAAACAATTTAATACATTCAGGTACTTTATTTACATCACACTAGAGCGGCACAATGGGCTATTGGTGATGGTCTTGGAAACATCCCTGAGGATGATTCAAAGACATGCTATCACAATTTAGTGAGGCATTTCCTCAATTTAGACATAGATCTGAAAGGGAAGGAAATTTTCTTCAGATCCCTATACCCATGGTACTGGACCACAGGACTTTTAACACCACAGAGTTTACAAGCATGCATATCGCATGCACTCAGTAGATCTTAGCGGAATCAAGGATCGAACCAGAGCTCCGTTTATTATCTAACTATTGGGCAACCATCGCCCTAAAATAATATATTAAAATATATATAAACATATTTAAAAAGGGTCGAAAAACCCAATTACAGAACATAACAAAAATTACAGGCTTTAACAAAGATCAAGCTTTTATTAATATATTCAATAAATAAATGATTGAATATATTAAATACGGAACAAAAGTACAAAGAGTTTAACACACCTGTAAATAAGTCTAAAAAATATTTGTGTTTTAGTTAAACAAATGAAGTAATGAAATTTGGTAATTTCTCCCCCTGTATAAATACTTACTTTACTTTCAAAGCTATTCACTATTTCAGTTCTATCACTTCTCCAGCCCCATATACCAGATTTATTTCTAAAATATCAAATAACATATATGATTACTGAGTTGCAAATAACCTTTGCATTAAATACAATTTTACTCAATAACAATATGCTATATTTCATTAACATTATAGTAAGGTACTAATTTGACTTAGTCATTGCAGAAAAACAATTGATAGATTGATGATATGCATAAATATGGGCTTACTAATTATTTATTAAAATACTAAGTTCATGAATGAGACGCCTGGTGGCTCCAGTGACACAGGTCCTGGTTTCTATTCTCGGAACAGGCAAGGTGAACTTAGCCTTTCATCCCTACAGCGAATCAATAATATGAATAACAAGCTTGCTTGGGGACTAAACATTGAGGTTCTGCATTCAACTGACTACTCTAGAGCCCAAGGTCAAGAAAACTGGGATGAGCATAGTAGGCCTTGGTTTTTCAGGAGCTGTTGTGCCACTGAGTTTAGTTTCAAGTTCATGAATGAGTATAAAGAATAAAAAATTAAGTAATTCAACTACAGAAAATTTATTCAGATTAATATAATAGAATCAAAATGTTATTTTTTAAAACCATTTTTATTAAACAATATTTAAATTTTTTTTGAGTTTAGTGAGATAAAGATACATGGATTTAGAAATAGTATGCAAATGCATTCCATTAGCTTTTATAATATAAATAACAGTCCCTAAAGCCAAAGAAAATATAAATTACATGTTTTAATACCCTTTTGAGAAAAACCAGTGCATATATATTAACAGATCGCCTTCAATTACCTGCCAATTTCTTCAAAATTATATATCTACATAAATTTTCCTATTCAATTAGAGTAATTTTGAAGCAAACAATTTTATATTTTACAGCAATTCTACTAAAAAAAAAGTGGCAAGAGAAATATATTTAAATGTAAAACATATTCAATAAAACATCATTGGAATTCTAATCTAAGGAAAATGAGGAGTTTAATTACTTTTTTAGGACCTAGATGCATATATTTCTTTAGAGAATTAAAATTTTCTTACAACAGGCATGAAAGTGGACAAAAATAAAAAAAGCTGAAGTTTTACAACGCAGGTCATTGGGAGGAGGGGGGGGGGGAAGGGCTCTATATGACACTGAGGTTCATAAAAGCAACTTTTAACTATGCTGGGAGATTTTTATTTAATATTTAAAGTGGCAGAAGCATTTAGACAGTTAGCTTTAAATTTCTCTTAAATATAATTTTAAAATTTTGATCACTGCTATATTAAAAAAAATTAAACAATTATAGGAAGGCGCGACAATTAAATTACTTACTAATGAAAAATATATCACATCTTTGCAGTAACTAATTCAAAAAACTTACTTCTACTTCCTTTAAGAATCACGATATTGGATTTTAAAATTGCGTGAATATGAATCGTGATTTTGGATTTTAAAAACACGAAAATACAAATTGCGATATTGAATTTTTAAATCGCGTAAATAAGAATCACATGAAAATGAATCGCAGTGAGTAATTTTTAAATAGCGAACAAATACGAAAAACGATATCTGATATTACAACTGCGTGATAACGAATCGCAATATTGGATTTAAAAATGCGTGAATACGAATCGCGACGCTGGATTTCAAACTCGCGAGAATACAAATCGCAATATTGGGTTTTAAAAATGCTTAAATACAAATCGCGATATTGGATTTTTAAATTGAGTGAATAGGAATTGCTAGTACGATGTTTAAATCGCGTAAAAAAAATCACAAAACGTAAGTTTTAAATCAGTTAAATACGAAAATCGATTATTGATATTAAAATCGCCCGATTAAAAATCGCGATTTTAGCAGATTCTGGCGCAATTCCTAACATTTAAAATTCCGAAAATCAGCCTTAAAAATAATAATAATAATATTGGCGGTCCAAACGTCCACTCTATAGCAGAAGTCGCGGTAATCCAACTATCGTTCGGGCTGCTTGGGTTTCTCTAATTGGACTCCCTAAACATTTTAGTTTCTGGAGCATGGTCGGGAATTTTAAAAATTGGGAGAAAAAAGCGGATTTCCGCTTTTTCGCGGAAGTCTTTCATCCCTGTTACAAAGACTATTAGGACAGTTTCTTTTAAATTTATTTTGTTTCATGTTATTTCACAATTGGAAGCAACAAATAAATTTTTTAAAGATCATTGTTTAATGGGAAAGTTTCTTAGAAATGTTTTATTTAATAGTTATTTAATTATTGAAGAAAACAGAAATCAGTTTATTTACAAAATTTCAAAAATAGAAATTTCTTATTATAATATTGCATTAATTATACTCGTGAGAATAAACTTTCGTAAAATTTTAGAATACCTCTCAAAATTGATTCTGTCTGTGTCAACAAATGTTGTAACAATCGGTGCAGTAAGGCGGGCTGAGACAGATTCAGCTGATGGACGGAATGCCTGAATGTCGTCCAATTGAGGTGATACTACTCGCATTTGCTCTACATAAACTTGACCAGATTCATGATCGATTTCCATCATAGTTGCACTATCCTCTAGAAGAAAATTTATAACATATCAGAAACTAATTGTTAGTCGAACAATTATAATTAAATTTGATCAATTATCACATTTTATTATAGATAAACATAATTGATAAACAAAATTATGATTAAAAAACTTATCCCCAAATTCATAGTTGATGATAAATTTTTTTTATTTAATATAATATTCAAATTAGAAATTTCTCTAAGAAAATAATAAATTTACTTCTTTGATGTAAGCATTAACAGTTTACAGGGACAATGTTTTAGGACTAAAAGACCAGTTATGTGTGTTGAACATAAATAATGTAAAATGTTTTAAATCTAATATGTTAAGAGCTTAAAGGTAGAGACCAAAAATGTTTAAAATACTTCATTACATTTACAATTACTCTAAATAAATACATAACAGAATTTCATTTTAACTTACAATGTGTAAGTATGGGCTATAAAGCTTTGAAATTAAACACTTCTTGGATGCAATAGCAAAATGTTACTTCATAATTCAATACCAACACAAATGCTGAAACTATTATATAAAAAGAAATAACTGATGAAATCTACAGCCAGTCTATTCTATTTTTAGTTTAGTATTTATGAGCATTATTAATTACATCTTATAACTTATACAATTTTGCAAAAATGTGAAATAGTAAATATTGTTTGAAATGAAAAGAAATTTTATTAATGGCAAAATTAAAACCAAATACAATATTATTAAGAGTGCACTGAATATCTACAAGGCGATATTTAAGGATGGTTATAGAAGCAAGTGAAATGCACTATGTTTCTATTTTCTAATCTATAAAGGTTCATTTAGTATGCAAAGTGAATGAGATTTTTATGCAATTCTGCATGGTCATAATTCAAGGTGTTAGTTACCACTTAGGCGATTAAGAGAAAAGACATAACTTCGGTTGCACCTGATTGCTTTCAAAATCTGGTAATCTATGATTTAAATGAAAAATAATTTGATTAAAAATAAACAATCAATAAATCAAAAATGGCAAAATATTGATTTCTTCTTGAGACACATGTTTGTATAAAAATAATCCGATATTTTATTGAACAATGATAATTAGATAATAAAGAGTCTTTAGCAAGTTTAAAATCAATATACATACATAATACAATCACATTTCTTGCATTTTAAATTTTATTGCCCATTCAGTTATATTATATAAAGAAATAAAGTTTATGTTCACTTAAAATTTTTTTTTTAAAAATTCTGAAATTGATTGAAACATCTTTAAGAATTTCCCTAGACTACAAAAGTCATAATTGAGTTAACTCAATTATGACTTTTGTAGTAATTATTATAATTCAGCTCAACTTAATTGTATTTGGGCAGAATAGTTTCCTTTGTAATTGTTGTATTTTAATAACTCGCAATCTGATGACATTTTCTTAACCAGCAATACAAAATTAAGATTTTTCTTTTTCTTTAAATTGATTAATTGCTAAACTTTTTCTTTAAATTTTGATTAAAGTTAATATTAAAATTTTATATACTTAATATTGCAAAACAGGGGTTCCCAAAATTTTTGTGGCTACAGAAACCTAAATAATCAACCTTCTTTTGGAAGCACCCAAGCCTTATAAATAAAGTTCATTAAGGTAATTGGGAATGAACGTTATAACAGAGAGATTAGAGATGACTTTTTCAAAATGATTAGGATTTTTCATTGTTTTATTATTAATAATCTTAAATTAGGGGATTTTAGGTAATTGTCCTTAGTTAAGTTTGCAGTTCTTGCGATACATCTTGTCTTGCTATGAATTTGTTTTTGGTCCATATATATAAGCTGAAAATGACTAAAATACCGTGGTTTATTTCACAATGAAAACTTTACAGAACTGCTATAAACCTTGAAAATGGTTATTAAGGAAAGGTATTTCTTTATATTAAAGAATTTAGTTATTTTGGTTTGAAAAGCACGCTAGGAAATACTAACGCAATATTTTATAAATGCTTGTTTTTTTTCCTAATTTACTCACTATATTGTTATTAGAAATAATATATTTTCTTTCAAAAAAAATTCCATTTCTATATCTTTGGCATTTAACTTGAAAAAATTTCATAAAAGCAACCAAAAGATTAAATCAAATATAAATTTTAAGTTTATCTAAATATAATCAGAGGTTTCAAAACTCATCACTGGTTATAAAAAGTACTAGCTTGTGGAACTTCTTTCACTAGTTCACGACGCATTAGGGTTCTGTGCAACACCATTTGGAAAGCCCCTGGGTTAGAAAATGAAATACAGCAAAAATATTTTCATTCAAATAACTTATAAACTATGTTGAATTAAATGATCTTTATATAACAAACCATAATATTACTAAATTAGATTATTGCAAACTAAAGTTTGTTTAGTCAATGTAACTTATCTATGATTTAACGAAAATTATAAAACATCATCAATTTTTCCTTTCTTTTATTATACCAAATTCATAATTGTAAAAATCTAATCTTAGTTTTGCCATTACTAACTGACATGTTTAATTTAAAAAAGGAACTATTAAAAATTTACAAAATAATAAACGCAAAGAGTTATTAACTAATAACACCAATAACATACTCAAATTAAACAATGGAGTTAAATACTTTAGAATTTTCCACAGCAGAATGACTCAGAAAAGAAGTTTTAAGTGAGAATTTTTCAACCCATGCTTATGATTTCTTTAATAATTAATTGACAATATGGTAAAAATTGCTCCTGCGTTGACATGCTGGCACAGATGTATTTGCTATATAATATCATCTAACTATATATATAATCTCACTCCAACTTTTGCTGTAAGTAAATTGCATTAAATAACAGATTTATGAAAACTGTACTTATGAAAGAAACTGATACTCAAGTTCACATTTTATGGTAGAATAATATTTTGAAATCAAAATTTTTTGTTAAAAATAGGTTAAAGGAAGCAAGTAATTCAATTACTTAGAGATTAAAGTAAAATAATTGAATAAAAATTAAGGAATAATATTTCAAGATGATTTAACTTGAAGTATTCTTCTAAGAAAAAAAAAAAGGAAAACAATCAACCAATAAATGTAGTGCGTAAAAAAAAAAAGAAACACTCTAAATAACTTTTGACTAATTGAAAAATGTTGGCACACAATTACAAAATTCGTTTATCCAAAGAAAATTCCATGCAGAAAATAAGTTTTAATAAATACTTACTATTTTTAATTATTTTATTTAATAATAGTTGAAAAATTATTGAATTGTAAAGTATGCAGCAGTTTACATCATTTTAAAGTAGATAAATTAACATGGCAAAATACAAAATTAGGAGGTACTTTCTGAGAAATCGAATTTTTAAAAAAGTACACATACACTTAAATTTCTCAGGAACTACTCAACCGATTTTGCTCAAATTTGTGATTTTGCCATGCAAAATTAGGCTTCAAATTAATGTAAAAAATTGTATACAATTCAAAGTTTTTCAACTATTATTAAATAAAATAATAAATATTTTGAAAAATTTATTTTTTGCATGTCTATCTTTGGATAAACAAATTCGATAATTGAGTGCTAATACTTTTCATTTAGCTTAAAAAGTCCTCGAGATATATCAAAATATCCAAAAAGTAAAACTAACATTTAGGGGTCCAAATTTTGGATCGCTCTCCTGACCAAACCACGAGGACTATATATCCCAGATTGCGGTTACCCCCTATATTTTGGGGGTCAGAAACCCAAATTTGTTTTTGAAAAGGCATGTTTATTCCCAGAAAGTACATTTTTGTGTCTGATTTCTCAACTTAAAATATTGTCCGCATTTATTAACTAGAATATTTGAGGTCATCCCTCAAACTATTAAGAATGAGTCGTAAAACACAACGAACCAATCATTAGATTAAAAGTCATTCTGGGTGGTTCGTTTTTTATTTTGTGCACTGTACTTAAAACAATAAGGCAATAAATAAAATTACTTACCTTGACCTTTGAAAACATAACTTCTGCTTCCTCGTTGCCAATTAGACTGGTCAAACCCCAACAGTGTTGTGTCTATTCTAACATTAGAGCCTATCAGAAAGATAACCAGTTCTCAAATTTAATTAAGAAGGTACACGCCATTGCTTTTTTTAAAAAAAATTTTCCATAATAAGAATATAGATAATGAAATTATGATATGCTCGCCAGAAGTGATGGTTCATCCATTCCGTTGTTAAAATAATGTTTATTAAAAATACTTTATAACTATGGTTGCAAGTATAAAAAAATTATGAAAACTTCTATGAGACGCATAACCTCAGAATTAAGTTAAAGTTTTAGAAAATTTTGGCAAGTTAACTGATCACCACTGATATAAAATATTATGAAACTTTGATACTCTATTGTAAACCAAGCTTTTGGGTTATTTCTGTTTCTATTTATTCAAAAAATAAACTGAAATGCTAATTTTTTTTTGAAAATTAAGTTAGAAAATAATAAATTTAATTCTTTCGCTAACAGCACATTTGAGTAAAGTTAAACAATTATAACTAACAACTAGAAAAAAATTGCAAATGAAAATTATTTCTCTTAAAAAAAAAAAAAAAAAAACCTTTCATTCCTGTATTGCATAACATACATCTCTAATGCCACTAAGTGTAACTCACCTGATTTATAAACCTTATAGGTATCACTAGGGCACATTCTAGACACTAAAGGCACTAAAAAAAAAAATATATAGCATAAAATTAGCAACTTTATAAAGACTATTTTTGATTTCAGATAAGGAAATAACGAAATAATGTACCCCAACTTGTGAACTCCCATTTCATTTCTACATAAAAGTCTGGAGTCTGCAAGGGAAAAAAACAATTATTGTTATATGAAACAAAATGAAGATCAATTGAAAATTTTAAGTTTAAACATATCCCACATACATCTCTAATTCTTTTCAAAAGCTCTGGTATTCCTCCAACACGACTGCTATATCTTTGATAGTCTCTTCTTTCCAAAATATCTTGGATTAGCTCAGGATCTCCAGTACTTATTGCTTCATGAAGAACTACAAAATAAAAAAATAAAGAGTTTACAATATTGCTAAGCATAATTAAGCGTAATTAGAAATGAAATTTATTCGTAATTTTTCTAATAAGAAATTATGTTTTTTTCTTAATATTAACAACTACTGAAATGAACAGTTCATCGTCAGAGATCAGAATCAATATTTAGATACATAAACGTTTTTTGAAATTATAATTTACAAACAATAATGAAATTCAACAGGTGCAACTTTTTCGAAGAATAAGTACGACAGATTTCGTTTGCCTTATAGTTTATAAATTTTAGCCTACCCATCAGCTAATATTATTAAACCAATTATAAACAAATATGCTTTAGGAAAGGAATAAAATAAGGAAAACTAAATTGAAGATTAAGTATTTTAGAACACTAACAGAAAAATGTGCGGATCAATTTCAATTTAATTACAAAATAGTTTCAGAAATAAATAAAATAAACAGAGACTACAAAAGATTGCATGTGATTTATCTTTATTATATTAATTAAGGATTTATAAATATAAATACTACTGAAAGGAATGCATGTTGCTTTTATAATTAAATAAATAAAAAAAACTCACCAGAAAAGCCCTCCTTATTTTCCACATTAACATGAGCACCAGCTTTTAAAAGCATTCTTACACAATCCAAATGACTTAAAGTAACTGCCAGCAGAAGTGGCGTCCTTCCTCGTGGGTCTAATTTTTCAATGTCATTCTATAAAAGGAAAAGCATTTTTTATAAAGAATGAAACATTCTGTTCCTTTGCATTTTATAAAAATGAATCAAATTTAGAGCAGATTTAGCAAAACAGAAATATATATTTTTAGTAAATGAGGCTATTTAATGTTAATATGCTTAAAATGTGCCCAATAAAACAGTTTTTATAATTTTGATTTACCAATTACAACTTGATGAATAATGCCACATTATCAGAAGTATACTGTATAAAAAATCTTAGGCGGTAGAAAATAATTTGATACTTTGCTTACAGTAATTAAAATCAACTTTTACTACAAACAATCCACCAATTAGTTAAAAAATTTATAATAATTTCTTCCAAATCACAGATCTTTCATAATAATTTTATTTTATCCCCATTAAGAACTACAAAACTGTTACAGTTGATGCAAAAATTTAATTAGCTTAAAAAATTATGTGGTTAATTTTTTAATTACTTAAAAATTGGGTGGAAGAAATCAACATGCTGGTCCACAGCATAGTATCTGGAGCACGCGCCCCATTCATCAATAAGTATTTTGTGTGATTAAGTAATTTTTTAAACCTCCAAAAAGTTGTTTTTAGTTTAAAAGTAAAAAAAAAAAAAGAAAAAAAATTTAAAAATTTTTGATCGCTTATCTTAAAAACCATTTAATTTTTTTTAAAAAAATTATAATTTCTATACAGTAAGTTTGGTTAACAAGGGATCTAGTTTAGAGGGCATCTAATTCAGATATGATATATTTTAAAAAAACATTTTAATAATAAATAATGGCAATAATTTACAAGGGAAGCTTTCTATATATTCAATTGAAACATTTCCTGTACTAATGTTACAATTTTCTGCCATGCGATATAATCAACTTTACATTCGGGCCTGCGCAATACTAAATGTAGCTATTTACATTGAAGAGTAAATATTAAAGGTTTTAAGACAAATTTAGTCAAAGTATTTCAAGCAGGCGTTGATTGCGTCGCATATCATCGCGACTCAATGTGAGATTAGAGTGATCTTCAGGAACCCAGATGCCTTCTATCTTTTCTTTTCTAATAAAAGTTTTTTTTTTCATGACAGCAATCAACTCACAGCATATTTTGAATGCAAAATTTAAATTTTGATTTGTTTCAAGTATACATTCTTTACGCAAAATCCAACTAGCTTAGACTAACAATGCTAGACACCTAACTTTGACTAGCTGTGTTCAATTTTGTTTTTATTAAGTAATAAATTTCATTTTCATCCAATATATCATAAAACTAATTAATTTTAAATGTAGCATATATGCTATATGTAGCATATATGTAGCTTTTAACATGTTCAATAAAATGTGTTCTTAACTATTTTATTTGATCTTTAAATAACTTTACGAAATTTGGCCCTTTACTTCTAAGACCACATTGCACCAAACAATTATGGTGAATTGAATTCTTTTAATCTAACTGCATATCATAAAATGCATAATATACCATTTTTTTCTTAGTTTCTCGTCGGCTGTTGTCCAGAAGTTGTCAAGATAGGCAATTATTCTGCCGTAGATCAAGATACCAAAATCTTTCCTAAATAAACTTTATGTGGCAGATCAATATAACTTTGAATCTAACTTAGAAAGGAGATATTTCCAAAAGAGAACCTGTTCATGCCAAATGCCATCCCCCAAAAGAGGTTTTTTACTTGCAAAATTATTTAAAAATATATATGCAGCAGTTTGCTTGAGGGTGGCTATGAGTTATATACTTTGAGTTGTTCCCCAACCGTGATGTTAATTTAGTAGTAGGCTACTGCTTGACTTTAGCCAAAATTTTGCAACTTTTTTGATACAGTTAACACTAAGCAAATCTTCACTTGGAAATAAGATGCATTAGTAATTATTCGATTTTCAAAGCAAATTATAAATAAGGGTACACCTTTTCACTAATAGAAATAGAGTACTTTCATTAAGCTCAAAAATGTAATTTTTGAATTATAATATTTATGGTTACACAATACACATAGTAAGTCAAATATTATGTACTTATCAAAGAAGGAAGTAAGAAAGTTTCTTCTTTGATCCACCCAATGTATATAAAAGTAATATACATGGGAAACATTTTAAATAAATGTAAAACTTAATCAAGAACAATGTAAAAACAAATTCATGTTTAATAATATGTAATAAATATAGCTATAGCTTTTAGCAAATACACACACAAAAAAGTTTCAAAAATTCAAGTCAAAATAAATAAACATTTTAATTAAAGTCGATCTTTTTACAAAGTATTAAATTTAATCGGGTGAGATCATCGATAAACAGCTATTAAAATTTATAAAGAGAAAAAAAAAATAGTAGTATTTTAAAGTGAACTTCGGTCGAATTACAATTTCATGTAGTTCTGTAATTTCCGGGATTTTAATTTTTCAATCAGGTGAGAAACAAATGGGGATTACCACTTTTAAATCTAAAGATTTTTGTAATTCAGACACATCATTCTTCCAAACAGCAAAATGCAGTGGAAATTCTTCTATGATGTGATTAATAGACATTATTTATCAGGAACTAAAATAAAAGAAATTTAATTAAATAAACTCAAATAGGATACATCTTGTCAGTTTTCTATTTTTGACACGTTGATTGATGCCATGCGCTTGACAAGAAAGTTATTGGTTATTAATGAGACCGAACAATCTGTACGAAAACGAAACACTAAAACTAATTAAACAAACTTAAAAACTTATCAGACTTTTAAACAGAATTGAAAAATGAGAAAAGGCAAATTAAGTAGGTAAATATTAAAATATAATTCTTAGGCAGCATTTATTTCCTGTTGCGTAGCAGCTTTTTTTTAAAAATGGGTAACAGAATTCTCTAAATAAGAAGAAATTATTGAATAATTTAGAATAATTGAATCCCCCTCGAAACATGAATCCAAATTAAATGTTTTGTTTTTGAATTTTTAGCTAAAAATAATAAAATGTGAAGTAAATAAAAATATTTCGGAAAATGTCAAGCAAAAAGGAATTTTCGACGATAGCCAATCGCAGCCTCTCCCTACACGTGACTAATTCTAACAGGTTAAAAATTTTCATCGCCTAAAATTATCAACAACGTGGATGCGTGTTTTCTTAACGTTGAAAATAACAAAATAACGAATAACGCCATCGAAATTATGCGAATTGAACTCAAAACTAAATTTCATATTTCTGTTTGCCTATTGGAGTATTTCATTTGCGATGAATAGTATAATAGTTGAAGACATTGAGCAACTGTTGACGTTATTTTCCAGGAAAGGGCAGTATGACGCTAGGGCCGGCGAACAGGTAATTTAAATGTTTTGGTTTTGGAATTGTGTTTATCGGTCGTCTGCTAATGACTTAACATTTTGCTTGGAATCATTCTTAATTTCAATTAGCATTGTTATTTGTATTATCTTTCTGCAATATACTTTTGATCAAAGCACACTATGTTCACACCATAAGCAAATTATTTAAAAGATATTTATATAAATTATTCTCACGTAATTTTTTGTGTATTTCATAAATTTATCTTTCTTTCATCATTATAGTTTTAATTTTCTGCATGATAATTACTGCTAATTCCTTTATTTTATCAATTAAAGAAAGCGAATGATTTTTCAATTCATCGTAAGTAACATATCAACGCGATTTCAGTTTCCCTCATTATATAGTGTAAATATAATACAGAAGTTACATAGGCCAAATTAAATTCAAAATATTTATAGATTTGTGTTGTAACATTTGTATTGTCAACTCTATCTGCGCTGCTGATATAACTAGGTCATTTCTACAACTAGTTATCTTTTCAATTGTTATCACATAAATATCCAAAATATATTTTAGTTTTTTTTTATTATGTTAAAAAAGTCGGATTGTTTTTCTAATTATACAAGTTGCAAACTAATGTAAGTTTACAATTCGTTACAGTAATAAAACTGGCAAATTGAATATCCAAAAAATAAAGGGAATCATAATAGGATCTTGAACAGCACATTTAAGTTGGCCTAAATTACGTAACAATTGTTTTAAGTTCTGGTTGCATCATTGTTTTGTGTAGTGGTCAAATTGAATGCTATGTATCCTAATTAACAGCTACCTATTGTTTGTAGAATGACAATTGACCTGATACAATATTTAAATTTATAGCCTACTTTTTTTAAAAAAATATTAAACACTAGCCTTTAGTTTAAAATTCTTGATTTTCTGTAAATTTGTTTAAAACTGTAATGTGCTATAACTATAGTATTTTTTTCTTTTTTGACAATTAAACTTAATTTTTTATTTGCTATCTAATAACTAATTAGTTCTTTGCGCATGAGTGTATACATGTTAATTTTTTTTTTTTTTATCATTTGAGAAATGAAATTGTCAAAATCTTTATTAAGATGGTTTCAAATGTTGCTTTCTTTTTTTTATGTTAAAAATTGGCCTTATTATTTATAAAAGGGTTTTGTTCCATATTTTGTTCACCAAGAACTATCACTTCTTGCTAAAATGATTATAAAAATTTGTTTATAATATTTTCTACGAAATTTATTTATTCCAATATTTAAAATTTTTATGTTGATATTAATGATACTTTAAGATTAGTATTGGGTTAATGGGAAGTAATTATACATCAATTTGGTTGAAAGTCATTAAAATTTACTAATCTTTTTTTAATTGAATAATTATATTTATGGAGTCAATAATGTTACTTTCCTATACTTTTACACTTATGTGAATTAACAAAAATCTATTTAAAGTTAAAGTAAATCTGATATGGATATGATCAGATTAAATATTAGTTCCAATTGACGATTTATATTTAAATATTATTTGAACCTCTTTGTAATATAGTTATTTTTATTAAAATTTACTGTGTTTTCCCTTAGCTATTTTAAAAGATAAGCATGTTCCTTGATCCCTATATATGATCCTTATTTTTACAAAAAATGTGCCAAAGTCGCTATCTCTTAAAAATACTGCCTTTTGATTCATGTTTCAGTTTGAAAATAATAATTTCCCTTCTTAAATAATAATTACACCCTGGTAAAATTATCTGTGTTTATAGGTTTAATTCTGATTACTATTACGAATATTTACTTTGTTAAGATTATTCTCATATGGTTAAATTTTTATATGTGTATCTCTTTTTTCAGAGCTTGATATAATTTTAAATTTTTAAATTAATAAATTTATAAATTTTTAATAAATTAATAAATTTTTGAGTGTTTTTAAATTTTGAAAATATCTTTAAAATAAACTTTTTTTTTTAAAAAGAAAAATGCCCCTTTAAATGTTTATTTTCTCATAATTTTCAGTTTAACTTATAGAAAAAATTTATGCTCAGAGATTGTCTTTGAGCATACCTTTAATTAGTTTTATAAACTACAAATTTTCTTTTANGTGTGTTTTTAAATTTTGAAAATATCTTTAAAATAAACTTTTTTTTAAAAAGAAAAATGCCCCTTTAAATGTTTATTTTCTCATAATTTTCAGTTTAACTTATAGAAAAAATTTATGCTCAGAGATTGTCTTTGAGCATACCTTTAATTAGTTTTATAAACTACAAATTTTCTTTTATTTTGATAACGAGAGGTGATAATTTCTTGAAATATGCACATAAAATTTTATAAGAAGGTAATTTAAAAATTGTTAAAGATCAAATTCAGTTATTATGTAATATTACACATTTTGTTAAATTTTTATGGTGCTAAGTCATATATAATATCTATATATATATACACAGTCCAGTCACATTAATGTGACCACCACCTACTTTCGACGTCAACGTGAAATAATCAATCACAGAGTGCATGTGGCAGCACATTACAGTGTAGTGTATATATTGGATGTCCTAGGGCATCGAAAAGCATTTCAGTCGTTGGCGCAATGCAGAAACGTAGCGATTTATCCGACGTCCAAAAGGGCATGATTATTGGCTTTCGAACCAAGGGTGGAAGCATTTCGGAAACGACTGATTTTGTGAACTGTTTGCGTGCCGCCGTGGTAAAAGTATACCGTGCACGGCAAAATGGCACTATACAAAACAAGCGGCGTGGCACATGTGGTGCACCATGGTCCAAAGATGGCAGAGGCGAATGAAGGCTACGGAGATGCGTTCAGACGAATAGACGTGCAACTGTTGAGCAACTGACCGCCCAAATGAACCAAGGGGCTACCAAGAGTTGTATCCTCAACAACTGTTCAGCAAACGTTGCTGCGCATGGGCCTCCGCAGCAGACCCCTGGTTAATGCACCCATGCCGACTGCTGTTCATCGGTGGAATTTGCACGCCAGTACCGCAACGGGACGTCCACAGAGTGATAACATGTGGCTTTTTCTGATAAATCACATTTTAGCTCCATGGGACAGATGGACGTTGGCGTATACGGCGTGAAACGTCTGAAAGCAAGCACCCTGCAACAATTGCCGGAAGGCTGCAGGCTGGAAGAGGGAGCGTTATGGTTTGGGGAATGTTTTCCTGGCATNCCTGGTAAAATTATCTGTGTTTATAGGTTTAATTCTGATTACTATTACGAATATTTACTTTGTTAAGATTATTCTCATATGGTTAAATTTTTATATGTGTATCTCTTTTTTCAGAGCTTGATATAAATTAATAAATTTTTTGTGTGTTTTTAAATTTTGAAAATATCTTTAAAATAAACTTTTTTTTAAAAAGAAAAATGCCCCTTTAAATGTTTATTTTCTCATAATTTTCAGTTTAACTTATAGAAAAAATTTATGCTCAGAGATTGTCGTTGAGCATACCTTTAATTAGTTTTATAAACTACAAATTTTCTTTTATTTTGATAACGAGAGGTGATAATTTTTTGAAATATGCACATAAAATTTTATAAGAAGGTAATTTAAAAATTGTTAACGATCAAATCCAGTTATTACGTAATATTACACATTTTGTTACATTTTTATGGTGCTAAGTCATATATATATAATATATATATTATAACGATCTATACTATACTTATTATATGTATTATATCTATACTTTCAGAACTACGAAATTCATAAGAAATGTGAAGATCTATTTGAAAAAGATTATGTAATTAGTGTAAGTATCTAATATGTTTTTTCCAATCTATATATTTTGGGATTTATTTCAAAAGCACGTTCGCTAATTTTTAAGCTTTCATGTTATGCCCTGGATGAGAATAAATGAATTTAAAGGTCGCAATCAAATAAAATTTTTGTGTTGGTACCTGCACCAAAATGATCACAAAGTTTTCGTCAGAGCATCATTGGCATGTGAAGAACGATAATACCAGAGGTGTCAAACTCAATTTTGCAGAGGGCCATATATTAAATTTAGAATGTGTAGGCGGGCCAGATTCAAATAAAAAAAATGTACTGAACTATTATAACATTTTATTTATCTAATTATATGGTATATAATATAAGGTTGTTAAAAATCATATCAAAGTTATAAAAGATGGTAATTATTTTGAGCTCGAGAATCCAGATACCTGACTTCTCTTGTTCTCAGAATGCGTGCTGCATGCTTTTTTAATTCCGGATAGTTATCCAAACTCTTGAAATATTGTGCATAAAATGTAAGAGCGTTAACCTCTTTAAATTTTTCTTTCAAAATACTGTCCGATTGAAGATTTATCAACTCCATTTGAAAATGAACTAGTGCCTGTGAAGCTTCAAAATTGAATGGATTGTTCAAAAATTGGGAATTCCGTTTCATTCATTTTGTGGAAGTCTTCGAAACGATTGTTGAATTCCGTGATCAGATTTTGCAGAAGTTGAGAATACTGATCCAATTTTTTTTGGTTCACTGTGCCAAATGATTTTAAATGAGGGAAATGATCCAAAGTTTTATTGTTTACCTGATTTTCCCACAACCTCAACTTTGTTTCAAAGGCTTGAATACATTTGAGTGACAATCAGATTTTTATCCTGTAACTTTACATTCAGATCAGTCAAGTGTTAATTCATATCTACCAAAAAGACACAATCAATCCACCAGTCATTGTCATAATCAATTTGGTTGCCTTTTTCTTACATGAAAGCTTGAATAGGGTCACGTAATGCAAAAAATCATTCTAAAACTACTCCTCGACTGAGACAACGAGCTTCAGGGAAATAAGGGACATCAAAAAAATTTTCGTCCAAATCTTGTAAAACTGTCGGTGATTTAGTCCTCTGCTCCTTATAAAATTTACTATTTTAATTATAGGAAGCATGACATGGTTCATTTTTAAATGCTTGGATGCCAATGATTCCTGATGAATTATACAGGGAAATCCCACAAAATTCCCTGATGTTTTCTGTTTTAATTTAGTTACAATGCCCGAATGATTGCCACCCATGGCAGGAGCGCCATCCGTAGTTGTGCTGCTAAGTATATTCCAGTCGAAGATTTCGCCTGTTGCTAAGAAATGTCGTTACTGTCTATCTCTCTCGCTTGTCTGTGCCCGCGCTGCCCTTGAAATTACTTATAAATGTAGTGTGCACATTTTAAAACTTCCGTAGAGGAATAGAGTGAAATCTAAAAGCTCTAAAAAGAACACGATTCTTCTTTCTGTGACATATCGCGATCGCGGGCCGTATCTTTGACATGACTGATATATACAGTACACTCTCGATTATCCATGCGCGGATTATCCGGTCTGCGGATTGTCCGTGCTCATTCCGGAGTCACACGAAAAATATAAAGAGAAACGTTTTAAAGATTCAAAAAATTTTATTCATGAAGTTATAACACTACCAAATTTTTGGAAGCAATATTCGTTAGTGGATTGAAATATATCGAATATCAGCAGCATGGTCAAAGGTAAAATCGTCTACTTTATCAGGATCTTGGAGAAATATAATATCGCTTGATGAGCAATCTTCTTCAGATGTTCAAGAAAAATATGATAACAGTATTCTCGAACAAGCAAAAGAAATCTGAGGTTTCGAAATTCTTGATGAAGAAAATTTTGAAGATTGGTTTCAAAGTGATGCATGTGAGCCTGACTTCCAGTGTTTGAGAGATGAAGACATCGTTATGTTGTTAAATCAAATAGTGATGATAGTAACTGATGCAGAAGATGTAGTAAATGAGGGAAATACAATTTCTATTTCTGCTGCTCTGTGGAAATTTTATTGGATTATATGGGAGGATTTGATTACGGTGACATTACTGCGGTTCGTAAAACATGTGTATCGATATACGGCGAAGACGCATTCCACAATTTTTTTAAAAGGAAAATTCCTAGTTTGATGTTATACAGCATGCAAATATCAGTAATTTTTATATTTTTTGTACTGATATTGATTTTTTTCTCTAATTAAAAGAGTTTTCGGATTCTCCGTGTTTTTCGATTCTCCGTGCTCCCTGTCCCGGTAATTAACCCGGATAATCGGGAGTGCACTGTATATGTATATGCATAAAAAATCACAGAATGGGACAAACTTGTACCCACTTGTAGGGTAGTTATACATTTTGCCTTGAGATTTCTGTTGTTGTGAACAGGTATCAAAACTAAAATATCGTTCAAAGATAATATTGAATGATATGTTAAATTTTTTGAACTAAAATTTGTCTTTTTAAAATTTGAAAAAAAAAAAACTTTAAATTTTTTTTTTCCTTTTTAAACTTTTCATACTTGTACATGAAGTGCAGTCATGTTAAAATTGTTTTTTAAATTTATGTTATATTGAAGACCTAAACAAATCCTTAATGGGAAAATCCAATATTAAAAATTTATCTTTTAATAATAATTCATAAATTTTTTTTTGCTACATATATATTTGTAGTTTTAATAATTTACCTCTTTTTCATAAATTAAATTAATGGAATTTAAGAAACTTGAAAAATCTATGAGTCGAATTAAAAAGAATTTGGGAACCTTTTTTAGCATAGCATAAATTATAAGTTAAAAATTTGTTCTAGTGTATTTTATTATTTTTTTTTAAGATAAGTTATGTTTTCATTTAATTCATGAAAATAATCATAAATAAATGAATAATTATAATTTTATTATTGGATTTATTTTTTTAGAAAATTGAAAATGAGAAAGGTTCACTTTCAACTAATTATCCTTCACAAATTATCATACCCGTTGAAGAGAAATCTTGTTTGTCAAAAGACTTAGAATTTTCTAACAAAAGGTTTGTATTTTTTACTATTTCTTATGTTTATCCATGCATATACTAGGAAACTAAGCCTCCTGCCGCTCACCAACCCCTATTGCTTCACAATAATGGTTGTTTCTTGACTTAAAACACTTCTTTCTATGAAATTTGAAATGATTCACGTAAGATTCTTGTGTTAAAAAGAATTCTGTTTGTTTGCGTTTGTGATCCCACTTCCCATGTCCATATATTTTCCATATGATTCTATTAAGATTTATTAAACATAGTACTTTTTCTAAGTGATCATAAAGTGACATTTACAATTAAAAGTATATTGTTATAGCAAATTTAGTGAGTTGACAACTGTAATTTAATATTCTTGCTTACCAAACGGATGGATATATTAAATACAATTTTTGAATGTGTCACATTGTGCATCAGGCTCCTAAATCATTTAAGGAATCTCTTTAAACTGCAATTTATAATGGCAAATAACTGCAATTTATAATCATTTGCGCAAAAATTAGTAATTGTAAAATGGTTAAGGTTAGACACCAATTTAAATAAATTTATCTTAGCGTAGAGTTACGTTATAGTATTAATAAAATGAATGTATATAATAAAAATGTAATATTATATATATATAATATTATATATAATATGAATGTAATAAAAAATATGTGAAATAATATACAGTGAAACCCCGATTTTACGTTTCTCAGGGGACTGGGTAAAAAAAACGTAAAATCCGGGAAAACGTAAAATACGGGAAATACTTAGATAGCAAAAAATCATATAATAATAATGGGAAAATAAAACAAACTAAAGGTAGTAAAGATGACTCTTTCAAAAGGTACTATTAAAATCTATATTTTACGAAAAGAATATTAGTATTTAAAGAAAAAAACATACCAGTTCAAGATCACTTTNAAAAGCTGTAGAAACGTAAAGATCCCCTTTGCTTTCCAAGGAAGAAAATAAGTCACTACATCTGATTGGTAACTGGAGTGTCTCTTCTCCTATCTGTCTCATTCCTGCACCAATGAAATGTGTTGTTTCTGTACTTTGTTTCTTCGCCCGCTGCCTTGTCCGAGACAGGCAGCAGGTGTTCAACAAAGGAAGGGGGAGAGAGGACTAAAGTTCTCGAAAACAGTAGTCTGTGGAATGCGTTTCTGCTTTCATAGATTTACTTTCAACAACGTGGATGAGCTTTAAAAAAGCAAACATAGTAAAAATATTGCTTATTAAAACATTTTTTTATTTTTTTTTATTTCTACAAAAAACGTAAAATGCGGGAAATTCCGTAAATTAAAAACTTACAATCCGGGTAAAATTAACATTGGAGGTATACGGAAAAACTGGGTCCTGATGAAAAAAACGCAAAATGCGGGAAAAACGTAAATTCGGGGGACGTAAAATCGAGGTTTCACTGTATATAATAACAAAAAACTTTTTTTTTTTTAAAATTTGGGGAACAATCAAACGTGCAGGCAAATACTATTAAATTAGGGATAAAAAAATATTTATAGGAAAACAATACCTTTATAACGTTTATTAATTTTTTGCTGATTACAACCTAAACAATGTAGGAAAATTGTAGCCTTTCATGTGATTTTCAAGTCAATAAAACCACGATACCAACACCACTGTACCAACAACAATGGAAAACTATGTTAGATTATTATTTTTTTATGTTATACATAGAGAAATAAAGTGTCACAACAACCTTTTATGGCTTCGATTTATAATTTTTTTTGTTTTGATTTTTGAAGTAGATTTATGTGTATGCATAGATTGTAAAACAGAAAAACTCTGAAGTTAAATTGTTCTTTGCACTAATAGTTTTTGTTTTAATTAAAATACAATAATAAAAGTTAACAATTTTATTTCAGCGTAAATTGCTTTAATGCTTTGAAGTTCAAAGAAATAGCCAACAAGTCTAATTTAGCTAGATGCAGAACAAGATTTCCTGTACCTGTAATACTCTTTAAAGGCAAAGTAAGTAGTATTTATGATCCAAAGATTTAATTTGGAATAAATCTATATAGCATAGGTAGAATAGCACTATTGAGCAAAACATTGCAACATACATTGGCAACATATTTTACCAACCTTTTTGTCACAGCCAGATTAGTTCTAGCCTAATAGTTTGTCTGTCCCATGTGACTTAGTATTAGTTTAAATAATAATTAGTATTTTTTTAAAATTGTTATTTTGATATTTATGGTAAATTATTCTTTTAAGTTTTGGTGTTAAAAAGTATGTTAATGAGAATATTTATATTATGAGAATAATTATTCAAAATTTTTTGATCTTTATTGGAAAATAAATGATTTTTTTTTTCATTTTTGTATTGAACAATTAACTTAGGGTTAAGGAATTTTATAACTTTGAAAAAAGATTTTTTTTGGTTGAAACTATAGAAATTAAGATATGGTTGAAAATGGAAAACGTAAGAATGTTTTGTAGAATTAATTCTAGCTGTTAACCATGCTTGTGTTTATTTTACATTATAAGCAGGCTTCTTGATGTCTGAAACTGATTTTTGTAGTATAGTAACTGATTTTTGTAGAAAAAGAAAAGTTTTTTTTAAAAATTTTATTCTGATTTAAACAATTGGAAAACTCTCATATTAAGAAATTTTTTACTAGGTTTGATTAAATCCAAAAAGGATGTTTTCATATGATTGAAATAGAAATATCTTCTTTTTGCTGTAATTTTTTTTATACTGAATACTTAATTTTTTACATTGAATACTTTTTTATACTTAATTTTGTTATCTTTTTAATTTTAAAATATTTTAGCTGCTTGAAATTCAAATGAAAGTGTAGAAAAATTTGAACAGAATTTTCCAAAGAAAGTTAAGAAAAAAAAGAAATAAATTTTAAAATATCAAACTTGAAAAAAATTCTTGGGAGTCTGCACCCCTAGCAATTCAATTTATAAAATTTGATTTTGCCTTGTCTTTTAAGGTTATGTCTTAAATAATTGTTCGAAAGCTTAAAGTTCTTAAGCTTAAAGTGCCTTCATTATAGCAATTTAACAACTATAGTGTTTCCAGCATATCTTTTGTTTGTATGTAATGGTCTATATTTGAAGTATAATTATTTAATAAAACGGGGAATTATCAGAATTTTTTTCCCGACGCATGTTAAATTGTAGAATTTATTATTTAATGTCAAGTACTACATCTAATATTCTATTAAAATATGAATAATAAGATACATAACCATAAAACAATCATGTATGACAAGATCAGATAAAACATCATAAAACAATCAGATCAATACATAAACATAAAACAATTGTTAAGGTTTTAGATGTGACTGTTTTATTCATGTTTAAAATTGGCATAAATTTGACATCCTTGATATAAGTCAAATTGTCATGTCAAATAATAAAACATGTTATAACATGACATGACAAACTTTAAGATAGGTTAAAACCCGTCTTAAAATTTTGTACAAGAAATATTTTTAACCTTATGTTTTTAATATTTGTATGGAAATAAAGTTATTTTAGTTATTTCTTTAAAGTTATTACACTTCCTACTAAACAAGCGCATTACCTTTTGATGAAAGTGTAATGAATTTAATCTTCTATCCTTTTACATGTTATCTATTTTCCATTATAATTTATCTAAATTGTCCAAATTGCTGTTTTATTTAATTATTTAATGTACTTATTAATATCTATTAAAAATATTTTTTAGCAATAGTTACAGGTTGAATCCAAAATAAACATTTGTTTTAAATTTATTTTTCTTTTTACATAAAATTACAAATATTTAAAGGTAAAATGATTATATAATCGTTAAGTTATAAAAATTTCAATACAGTTTGGTATATTTATTTAATCAGTTATATAACATTTTTTTCATTCAAATGTGATGGAATCATAAAATTTTCATTCAAATAGATTTTTACACAAAGTATTTCATAGTTTATTTTTAATGTTATCTTAAATTTTTTTCCTAAAGTATGTCTGCCGTTCTGCTACCTTAGCATGTGGCGGTGAAATGTTGCTGCGAGACATGTCCGGTTTTGTGTTCAATTGTAAGTATTTAGTGCTATTCATTTGTATTTTGTATTTTTGCTGCTTTAAAATATAATTTAAAAGAAGCAAAATATAAATTTGAGTAGCTGTGATGTTGCTAAGAACTGGTTAAATTGTAAAGGAAAGTTCAAAATTTCAACTTTGAAATAAAACATAATTTCTAAAGGCACAAAATATACAAAATTGTGTAACTCAATTTTATTAATTATCAACATCAAGATTAAATTTAATTATGAAGTGATAAGTTATACACATTGAGGTTATTAAAAAATAGAGGGATTGAAACCATGCTTTATCAGATGGAAGGGTTTCACTACATTCTATGGGGAAGGAGGATTTCAGGAAAAAGTAATTTTGCTTTTGAGGGCAGCAATGAATTTTGTTTTTATGTCAGCTAACAGTAGCTGAATTCTTCTCTAATTTAATAAGAACAACATCAATTTGTTTTAGAAATAAGACAAATCATGTATACACATTTGGCTCGTTATTCGTAGATTGCCCTATTTTAAAGTTTGCCGTTAAAAAAAGACATTGACACTCTTTTCTGCTAAATGCTAAAACTAATTGGTTTCCTGTTATTTAGATCCTATTTTTAAAATCAAATGTGTAGAACAAACATGTAAATATGTAGTTGACATGAAAAATTTCAAGAATATTTTTAATTTCATTTTTTTCCCTCCATGTGGGATTCACTATTGTAAATAATTGTAGACAAATTAGGTGGCCCACAATGTGGCACAATATTTAAGTATGTATTATTTATTTCTAAGTATGTATAATAGAGTAAAAATGGAGAAATTGCTGCTCATATACTGTCTATGTGTATGGTTAAATTTCATAAACAATATTCGTTTATAAATTATATTGATTTATAAGTTAGTAAATTAAAAATAAAAGTAATTTTCTAATAAAATAATTAATCTAATAAAATAAGTTCATTTAGAAAATAACAGATGAAACTGTTGCTATAATCAAGATTTTCATTTTAAATGTAATGTTAATGTTTTATTATTATAGTAATGAAATGCATTTAGTAATAAAATGCAATATTATAATTTCATGAGAAATAAATCATAGTTAAAACTTTTATCATGTGAAAATTTTTATATTTTAGTGATTTGTACCTGTTAACGTTGAACTAAAATTTCAATTTTTATTTTATATTTCTTTATGGGGATGTTATTTGCTCATTATAAACATGTATTGCATGTAAGTAGCATATATACTATTCAGTTTTAAGTGATAATTTTTTTATCCTTTACTTCATGAAACATATTTTAAATGATCAATCAGCAAAAATATATGTGTGTATGTGAAAGAAATTGTTTTATATCAACTTTGAAAAATATCTAACTTTGAACTTATGTCAATTAATGAGGAAATTTTGGATTTTTGTCATATTTTTCTAATCTTAACTTAAAATATTTACTTTTCATGTATGTTTAAAAAAAAGAAGGAATTTATATTTTATATAGGGATCCGCTCTTGGTAAAAAAATTTAAAAATAAAAAATCTAGAATTTAAGTTTTGTTTTCCAACACTAACACTTCTATATGATACTAACTGAAAAATATTGTTAATGTGTTTTTGACATAATTAGTTTTGAGTTGAAAAGTTTTTGCAATAAATTTTGAAATAATTATGCTAAGTATTTTTCTTATGTTGTATAATGTGCAAAATTGAAGTATAAATTTTTACATTTATTTACTTTTTAATTCTTTATTTTAGCCTCTAGTTCCGAATCTGAAGAAAAAAATTATACCTCCTATTCAAGGTATATGTTTATTCTTTATCATTTCATTTCTTTATATTGAACTACTGATGTTATATATAAAAATCGGAATTGTTTAAATAAGCAGTTAGATAGTATTAAATTGATTTATTTTTTAAAATTAAAAATTAAACTAAGAAACTTCTAGGTATTTGCTTCTGTTATTATAAACAACAAAATTGAACCATCAGGTTTTATTCATGACAAATTAGGTATAAGAGTTAAGAAAACTTAATTAATTGTCAATGTCAGTTAACTCATGAAACTTTTCCGCTACTCTTTTGTATTTGATCTTTTTTTTTATTACTGTTCTTAAAGTATAATCCCATTTTGAAGCAGTTATAGGTTTATTAATGTATTATCTACGTTTTAAGCTTTAATCTAGTTTACTGTAACTGTATTTGTTTCAAATGAGTACATTTTTTTTATAGAAATGGTGCTTTATTTACTGAACTCCGTAGTCAAGATATTAAACTTCTAAAAGAATTATCTGTCAACTACATCTGTGATCTTATGGTTGAGAATAAAAAAGTTAAATATGGTTTGAAGTAAGCTATGTTTTCGTTTATATTTCGATTAGAAGTTAAATATTTATTACTATCTCCATTTACAACCAAAATAAGCCAAAATTGCATTTTACCATTTCTTTTAGTAATTTATCATGCATTGATAAAGCATATAAGACTTTTTTTTTAATTTTATTTTAAAATTAAATGTAGTTCTATAATGATTGATTTTAGGCTGGACTTATTAAAAAGTATCTTGTAACCTGATTATTCAAATTAGTTTAATTTTTGTTTAAGTTTTGTTTTTTATATTTATTTAGGAAGCAATTTAATTCTTAGGTAATTTTACTTGTTAATTGTTTTTGTAGTTTTGATAAAGAATACATAGAAATGCTTTTTAAAAATTATGTTTAATGCCTGGCACTTTATTTCTTTTGTCATATATTTTTCAAATATTTTTTTTTACTAAACATTAAAGCAAGTCTCTTTTATAATTATTTTGAAAAAGAAAATTAATTTAAAAGGAAATTATTTGTCAACAGCAATTTTTTCAATCGCCATCGATTTTTGAGTCATTTTTATTGTCACTTTAATCACATGCCAAAATACAAAGATATTGCAATCTTACTAAATTCAAAATCTAACCCATAATGTTTGAATGCAGACGCCATATTCATAGTAGCAGGTTTTAAGCCAGACCAAAAGAAGCCAGTCGAAAATACCACAAATGTTAATTATGAATAATAAGATTAAAAATAAGGAATCAATATACTAGAGGCCGATCTTTTGAATGAAAACTTCAGAAAGAACCAGCTTGTTTGCTAGCCCGACCATGCTTGGTAAAAGCAGACTAAAATGAATACCTAAATCTTCTTTTTAACTTCCTTAAATATACATTTTATAAGTAAAAAATATTATTAATCAATGTCAATTGCACACGAGCACCAGATTTGATGAAAATCCATCAAAATTCATGACCAAAATCATTCTGTATTGTCGGTAAGTATGTCTTTAGTAAATAAAAAATATAGATACTAGATTTAATCAAAGTGAACTAAACTTATCGAGTAAGGTGTAATTTAGTGTATGTATGGAAGGTATAGTTACTAAAGTGTATGGAAGAGTGTTTTTTTATAATAAAATTTTAAGCTTTCAGCTTGTGCACAAAATTTTTAAACTATGGATTGAATTTGCCTTTTTCTGTTGCATCAAATATGCACTCATTAAGTCAACAAGTTAACACATCATTTAATCATTTTTTATGGAATCACAATCATCACATGATCCTGGTATCGTAATCAATTCAAGACACAGATGTGTTATCTTCTAATTGTGCTGTATTACTGAGCTGTTAACTGTGCCAATTATAAATAATGATTTTACAGTCAAGAATTTAGGCTATTTTTTTTTCTCTATTTATATCCTTTAACTATACATTGAAATGATTTTGATACTATATCATTACAGAAATCCTATCATTACAGAATACCAAACTGTAACTTTTGCTGTGCATTGCTAAAATAAATAAATGGAAAAGAAATATTACTCTGAATAACTTTTAATTGGATTTCTATGCACTAAATGCCAATCATAAAGGTTCAAAGGGGCAACCTTAAAATTGCTAATTAATTGGTGCTAGCTAATAATTATAAAATCATAGAATCAGGCACAAAAAATACTTTTACTTAATAATACCTTTTTTTGTGATGAATTTAGTTTATTGAGTAACAAAATATGGGAAGAAGGGGATAGCTGCAATCTGAGAAATATGATCACATTAGGTTTGGTGAGGAAAGTGGCTGGAAGTTTTTTCTCCATAATTTTAAATTTACTTTTTGTTTGACTTAATATACTTTTGTTACTTTGCTTTTAATTTACTTAATATCATGGAAAATTCTTAAGTGAATCTGAAAATTTTTGCATGGAATTATCTTTGGATAGATGATTTTATAATTGTGTGTAAAAATGTTGCAGTTAGCTTTAAAAGTTCTTGAGAGATATGATGAAATATGCAAAAAATAAAATTTACATTCTAAGCTTTACTGACCAAACCATTGGGGCAGTATTTATCAGATTACCACTACCCCTTATATTTTGAGAGTAGGAAATACAAATTCGATGCAAATATTTTTTTTTTCTCCAGAGAAAGTACATATTTGTGACTGATTTCGTAACTTAAAATATTGTTTGCACTAACTAATTACCATATTTGAGTTAATCCCCCTGAATCAAACCATTAAGGTTGAGTCCTAATACATAAAAATCCTAAGATTTGATTAAAAATTATTCAAGGTGATTTTTTTTTGGCGCTTTGTATATATAAGTAATCAGTTCCAATTTAACTTTATAGAGTAAGCTCTTCTGAGAAGATAGACAAAGAAAATAGATACTGTGATTTCAAAATTATTCAGCTGCCATATCCAGGTTAGGATAAATTATTATCATTATATTCATTTTATTTTCATTAATACACTAAATAAGTGATTGAATTTATTTATTTCATTTAAAAATTATTTAAGTTTATTTGTATCTACAGGCTGTGAATTCTTCAAGAAATTCAAAGACAGTAATTATGTAGCTGAAGGTCTAATGTTTGACTGGGAACAAGTAAGTTAAACATATTTTTGTATTATTTATTTTAGTGTTAAAATTATTTTCAGTGTTCAAAATTCTTTATGCATATCCTGTTAAAAGAAATGTTTTATCTAAATCATGGAAAAAAATTTTGACGAAGAAATAAACAAAAAACCTGAACAGTTTTTTGACATGGCAACATTGGCTTAGTATAGGTTTTATTTTAAGTGTGAAAATATAAAACAAACTGAAATATTTTCAGTTTGCATGTTTCTGATGGAAAAGAAAAAACCAGTTTATATGACACTGTATTATTCAGTATTTATTTCAAGACAGTGATACATAAAAGTAGTTTCCTTTTCTATTTTATTTCATTTGTATATTTTGTAATCTGAACAGAACACATCTCCATACATCATATTTGTAATAAAAATATTAATAAAATATTTTTTAATATTTTATTATTTTAATATAGTACTGTAAAATCACAATTTTTTGATGGTGTTTATCAGGAATTTAAGTTAAACAACCAAAATTAAAAATAGTTATTTCTTTTTAAATTTAATTTTTTTGTGCTTTATTTTTGATAACTGTTTTTTTTAAACTGGACTTACGTTTCTTCCTACTATTTGAATTTTAAAAAAACCTACATACATTTCATATTAATTTAGAAAATTACTGTATTCTTTTAGTGCTAATGTTACTAGATTTTTAATGCTTTATTTTTATTATGGCATTGGCTTTACATTTTTAATTTCCTATAGTTTTTTGAATTGTTTATTAGCGAATTAACATAGATAACAGTTACAATTGTTTAGGATTCAATCTTTTTTTCCCGACTTATAATAAGTTATAATAAAATAATTATATACAGTACAGCACCCGTTATCCGGAAATCAGAAAACCGGAAAACCATTCATCGTTTTTTCTTCTTTTTAAGATTATTTCTTAACATATTTTTTTTAGTTGGGTTTAACAATAAAAAAAACGGCTTTTTGTAGCGATTCAGTAAACCGGAAAAATCAGTTATCCGGAATAGCGATGGTCCCGATCGTTCCGGATAATCGGTTCCCTACTGTACTTTTATTACTTTAGAATTTCGTAAAAATTAAATTAGTGAATAAATAATATTTAATAAACTAATTATTTTTATTGCTCTTTTGTTAATAGAATTATGTAGATTCATCATTGACTTTACCCTCTGATTCAATTGCTTCTACTTTGGGTGTTCACTGGTCAAATTACAAAGTTAGTATGATTTATTTATTTAATTATCTATTTTATGCAATTTATTTTAAATCTATCTAACTTTGCATAATGTATTCAAAAGTTATAATGCAAGTTTAGTAAGGTATATATTATATGTTGAAATTGCAGAGTTTCTCCTCTTCTTCAAAAAAGGAAAAAAGGCTTAAAAATCAATGTTTTAACAAAACACTTCTAAATAGTCCTAAAACAGTTTTTTCTTGAATATTTTTATAACTTTCAAATTCATTTTAATAACTCTAAAGTTTTCTCTTTACTTTGAAACATTTTACTTGATTAATTCAAAGCTTTAGTGTTAACTTGGCAAAATTCGATTAATATTGCCTCCTTTAAATATTTAAGTAAAATTAATTTTCATTTTCCTATCTTTTTCTTTCAGATGTGGGATCTTGTTAAATTAACCCAGAATTACTTAAAATTACTTGTGACGTATATCACAGAAGGTAAGTTCAATAATTTTTTTGAGTGAAATATTTGGTAGTATTTAATTTAACAGTTTGATGGTATTAAGCTGTATAAAATTTTTCTATTTTTCTTAAAATGCTTTTTAACCATTCTTTTAATTGTTCAAGTACCTTAAATTTTTTTTTGTATTTTTATTTATTATTACTATTAGATGTCATCTTAGAAAATTATTTACCTTTTAGTATAAAAATGCAAAAATAAAAGCAAAACTTTTCGCTACTTTGAACAAAGTCTCTTTTAGTTTTGTAAACAAGTAAGATCAGTGTTTAGACGCAGATTGAAGAGGAATTCACGACTCACACTTTTATGTTCTTCATTTTGTGTATAAACACAATAATTTTCATTCAGAGTTTAGAAATGCAACAAATACTAAATATTAGATTAAAACTACTATTAATTACTTGATATAACCAAAGAACTTTTTAAGATCAATCATTCAGTTGCACGACATTATTTTTGAGTTAATTAAGCATATTAAATAATTCAAAAGTGAAGTATAAAAGTAATTACATTTGAAAAAATATATTAATTATATTTATAAAGTTTCTTTTCTCTTCAATATTTCACTACCATTAAAGTTATTGAAAGATTGTTTTGATGGTTTTTAGTTTAGTCAAGGAAAATGCCATTCTTGATACCTATTTATAGTACTGAAATACTTGAAGTACTTATAAGAAGATTTTTTAGTACTGTCTTTTATTTATTTATTCCTACTTTTTTTTGGTTTGTCTAAAACTTTTTTATTTTTGCTTTTTAAATTTTATACAATATTATATTCCAGTACAAAGATAATTAATTTTCATATATATTTTATCAGTTGTAACTATATTTAGAGGACACTATACCACAGGAGAAATTTTTCATGATAAATTCTGCTTCAAATCAATTGGTATTTTAAAATGTAAAGATTAGAGGAAAATTTGTTCAAGGAAACCTAGAGTATACCATGAAATTTCAAATGCTGAAAAGAAGTTTTCAAGATACCAAAACGCACACCAATTATTGCTGAATTTTTTTTCTCCACTGTATAATTATGATAAATTCTTGCATAATTTGTTAGGATTTTGATGCTTAGAAACTTTTTTTTCAGTATTTGAAACTTCTGGTTTATCCTAGGTTTATCTGAACTCACCTTTTTTTAAAGTTTTAAATAATTTATGTCTGGGATAGAAAATTTGCCATAAAGAGCTTCTCCCACAGTCTAGTGTCCTGTTAATGTGCCACTGTGACAACTAATTCTTGAAAGGAAGAACTTTAAATTCTAAATATACAGCAAAAGGTTAATACAAGTTTAACATGTGTCCCAAAAATAATAATTTAAATATTCAGAGAAAAATAATTTCTTTAGCAATTTGTAAGAATCATGGTTGTGAAGTTTTTAATTACTTTATTTGTTGTAAATATATTTTCTTCTGTGTAAAATTTATGTTTCTCGTTAGAAGGGTTTATTATTCAAAAATTATTTTAATTATTAGGTACCTCAAGCATACTCATTCATTGTATATCTGGATGGGATCGTACACCCCTCTTCATTTCATTATTGCGCTTAACGTTGTGGGCTGATGGTCGTATTCACACAAGTCTTTCTCCTGTTGAAATGGCTTATTTAACTCTAGCTTACGATTGGTACTTGTTTGGGTATGTTTGCTTAATGTGCTTATTTATTATTGCTAAATAATTTGTTTTTTAATTTATTTGCTTTTCTNTTGTAAGCATCATGGTTGTGAAGTTTTTAATTAATTTATTTGTTTTAAATACATTTTCTTCTGTGTGAAATTTATAAATGTTTCTCATTAGAAGGGTTTATTATTCAAAAATTATTTTAATTATTAGGTACCTCAAGCATTCTTATTCATTGTATATCTGGATGGGATCGTACACCCCTCTTCATTTCATTATTGCGCTTAACGTTGTGGGCTGATGGTCGTATTCACACAAGTCTTTCTCCTGTTGAAATGGCTTATTTAACTCTAGCTTACGATTGGTACTTGTTTGGGTATGTTTGCTTAATGTGTTTATTTATTATTGATAAATAATTTGTTTTTTAATTTATTTGCTTTTCTGTCAATAGACATTTTTTTTTTTTGTACTATCAGAAATTCTGGCATTACTTTAAATAAAATTTATTCACTTTCATACACTCTATGCCTTTTTGTGCATATTGTTTCTATACGTTAGATTGAAGCATTGTTGTGTTGCTTAATTTTCAAAGCATTGTTGAATTGCTTAATTTTCAAAGCATTTTTTTTATGATACAGCAAATGCAGTTTCTCTAAAAACAAAAATATGTAGCACACTGCTGAAATCAGATTGAAAACTTATGCATTTTTTAATTAATGTTAGCGTTATTTAGTTAATATTGTTTATTTAATGCATTTAATGATTAGCTGTGTTTAACAGGTTTTGAGGCAATTAGAAATTTGTTTTAAGCAGTTTATATTGTAGGTATTTACCGTAGATCAGTGTGTAAGTTGACCCTTATTTTTGACTACAAGATTGCAAACTTCTAGTATGTCGGTAGTATAAGTCGACTACTGTTGGTAAGCCTATTATTTTTCCCATAAACGTTGTGTGTCAAAGTTTATGTGATAAATTATGCTAGACGAGTTGCAAAATATTATTTTTAAAAAATGTAAAAATTGGGGAATTTTGAGTCTTTTGGAGGGGGGACGGCTGAAGAAAAAAAANTTTTGAGTCTTTTGGAGGGGGGGGGGCTGAAGAAAAAAAAGGAGTATTTCTAGAGTATTATTTTGGACTATTTCTGAGGAGAAAGTCGAATCCATCACAGAGTGAGATCCATTTGACGACACTGCTAGTGTTAATGAATCTGGCACAAATAATGTTCTGAATCTTTAAATTTGTAACTTTATTGTATGTTTAAAAAGCTTTTATAGTGTTATATTTTTTGAAATACTCAAGAATAAATTAACTTTTCTTGTTCATAAATTTTTTTCTGAACGTAATATAAAATATAGTTTTTGAGAAACCTGAAGAAAATGCAGAATTAATTGTATATAACATATTAAAAATAGTTTTTGAAAGGGGTAATTTGTAATGGTAGACTGATAGTCACTCATATCTGTCTTATTGACTACGGTGCATCAATACTTCACTATCAATGAATTTCAAACTTTTTTTCTCCAGTGTATGAGTTGATACCCTGATTTTCGTAAAATTTTGAGGGTCTGAAAAGTAGACTTGTACTCTGTTGTATACGGTACATCAGTTTGAAATTTATTTTGAAGTTCTTTTATTTAAAATGATTTTGCTAGCAGGGTTAAAGTTAAACAACAATTTAATTTTATGAATATGTATTCATTTACTTTGAGCGTAGTTAGCTCTTAATTGAATTAATTAATTTTTGAGCTATTTTTCATTGTAAATCTTAGACCTGTTTCTAGGAATTGAAATGAGCTGTTAGTTATATAATTTTTGTTTATTTTGAAATCTCTTCATGAAACGCAGTGTGATAAAAAGTTGCGTTCTAAATTTCTTGATAGTTTGCTTTAACTATTAATGTGTTAAATAAAATTTAAATGTATTGTGTTAAATAAAATGTAAAAAATTAGACTAAATTTTTAATTTTCAAAATTGTTTATTGTAAATTATAAACATATTGTGCATCAGCTCAATATTGAATTGAATCATTAAAATTCTTTAAGATTTCCTTTGTTATATCATATTCTTTAAGTTAATTTTGCAATAGCTCCTAAAAATTGCAGAAAGCATATAAATGTTATTCCTTCTGTTTCTTAAATTGATATTTGGTTATTGATAGTCTGTTTATAAATACTTTTATTTTTGTTTAAATTTCTAATTTGGGTTTTACAGCCATGATCTTCCTTCAAGGCTCAAAGTTGGTGAAGAGGTTAGTATTTTTATTTCTAACCCTAGTTTGAAGTTATAATTTTATTCATATTTTTCTCTTTTCTTATAATTTAGAATGTGTTATTTATTGGACTTATTTTTTCTGCAGATTTTGTTCTTTTGCTTTGAGTTCTTGAAGTTCATTACATCAGAGGAGTTCTCTTCAAAGAAAAGGTGTGTTTATAAATTGAAGATAAATTTATAAATAACAGGAGAAATCTTTTAAATTTTATATTCATATTATTTTATTATTTTCATGCCTTATCCAGGGTGCATAGCATTTTTTAAAAGCCCTTAAAAGGGCTTTTTTTTAATTCAGTGTTTGTAAAAAGTGATTAGTTTACTATCTTTTAAAAAGAGATTTTTTCTTTGCCATATCAATTGTCGTTCTAAATTACAAAAAATGCAGGATTTTCACAATTTTCTCTGCAATATTTATCAGAAACTAGTTATTTTATCATGATTATGTAAACTGTTTGAAAATGTTTTTCAATTTTTATGAATTTTATATTTATAAATTAAGAACTTTAAACGGTAGACAAAAATAATTTTTATAACTGCACAGATCCTAATTATGAATTTTTTTTTGAAAATAGATTAAAATTATTTTTTGAGTGCTTAAAAAGTATTTAGAAGGTGCTTATTTTTTGTTAAAAAAATTTGGCTAAGTACCCAGTTATTTTAACTGACCGTATTGTAGTTTAGACTTAGAGGTTGGGCAGCTCCAACGAGCAGGGCACATCGACCAGAGGTCTATTGTACCCAAACCCTAAATCATGATTTGCACGAAAGCCCTTTAGCTGAAATAAAATTCAGCAAACACCTTACAGGAACATCTTGCAGTTCCCAAGCATTGACGCAATGCTGCCCTAAATGCTGAAATCTTTGAGTAGAATAGACCTCACAATCACAGAATATGTGTCGTGATGTCTCCTCTTCAGGATGACAACCTCGACAAAGTGAATTGGATTCTATTCCCATTATGTATAGGTGTCTCCTGAGGATGCAGTGTCCAGTAAGAAGACCAATGATCTTCCTTAAGCTGTTTCTATTAAGCTTTAAAAGCTCCTTTTGATGTACACTTGGACAGTCACGATGTATTGTAGTTTAAGTTCATTCTGAAACTGAACCAATTTTCAATTGTTATTTTAACATTAAAAAAAAATTATTTTTAGCATAATTACCAGATTATTTAGAAAAACTAAAACTTATTGTTTGAAATATCACATTGTTAATTTAAACATCACATTCATATTTTTTTATAGAGTTAACCTTAAGATTTATTTAATTGCTTTGTAAGAGTTTTGGATATCCAATTTAAAAATTGATTAGAAATTTCATTTTTGTTTCATATGTTTCTTTGTCCTTTTCTAATTTTTGTTTTTTATTTGGGCATAATTATCAACACTGTTTTAATGCAAATTATTTTCACAATGCAGCTGTATTTGGCTCTTTCTATATAAAATTGTAATTTTGTATTTCATGTGCCCTAGTTGTCCTTTTTTCTATTTTGCCCTTTTCCTTTGTTAGACTTAGTTTATAACGCCCTTTTATTCTAGTGATGCACAGAGATGGGAACAAGGAGGTAATGGCTTCAGGGTTGAGACTGAAGCCGGGCACCTAATCTAAGACTCGGAGAAATAAAACTTTAAATTTCATAACTGTTTTGATTATGAAATTAATTTTTTTGAAATAATAAATAGTTAGTTCAATAAAAATATTTTATGGGGAATATGTGATTTTAAAACATATTTAAGTATGAAGTTTAGAGTGGTTAAATTAAGTGAAATATCACCAATGAAATTTAATATTGTTTATGTTAAAGGAAAATTTTTTTTTTTGAAATAATACTTTTTCACTAAGTCAGGGTGCATAGTGCTTTTGAAAAGTGCTTAAAGGTGCTTATTTTCGATTTTTGTTTTTAAAAGCCCTTAAAGGTGCTTTTTTCTTTGGGTGTTTTTAAAATGTGCTTAATTTTCCCTTTTTCAAAATTAAAATTTTCCTTTACCATGTTGATTTTCACTGCGAATTATGCAAAAAGACACAGTTCATATTGTTCTATTCAATATTTTCACAATTAATTCAACCCCCATCTATTTCAGCTTATTGTCAGTCCGTAGCACATGAAAACTCCATTCGTTTTACATGATTTAAAATTTCATGATTTTTGACAATGCCAAAATAATTTTTTTTGACAACATAATAAAACTGTCAATTATCAAAAACTTTCCAACCCTGCCTAATTGTATTTTTTAAAGTGCTTAAAAATATTTTTGGAGTGCTTGAAAAGTGCTTAAAAGGTGCTTATTTTTTGTTGAATAATTTGGCTATGCACCCTGTAAATGTTTTTTCCCTCTTGTGTCTACATAAAATATGGTTTTAAATTATTATGAATTACATATTTTTTCAATGATTTTAGTATGCTTTAGTGAAATAGGATATTCCAGTGATATTACTCTTCACTAAGTACATTTGATTGAGGTGCTTCCTCTTTAATTTGCACATCGTTTGTGTCATTCAATTTCCCATTTAATAATTCATAAGACTTCATTTCTATTTCAATTTAAAGCAAATATTCCTCATTCAAGCCTTCATCCACAGTCTCAATACATTTTTAAAATACCAAGTTTAAAAAATTCCAAGTTAACTATTTATTTTTGTTTCAAAGTTTGTTTTAAAATTTTTTATTGAGATTGTGAGACTAAAGTAATAGTGGCATGAGTGTGATATGATCCTACCACCAAGAAATGTATTAAATTTCACAAATATGAAGCACTTGTAATCAAAAAGCTAGGTCCTACGTACATATACCTGACAGTTTAAAAAATATTTTTAAATATTCAATTTCAGATATCTGGTTCAGTTTTATTATTAAAGCATCTGTGAGAATAAATGTTCCATTAATTCAAATAATATCTCTTAAAAATTGTTTAATAGATTTTTCTATATGCTTAAGTGTTATTTTATAATTGATAATTAAGTAATTAATGCTTATATGTAGTTAATATTTTATTTTAGGAATCGTAAAATAAGTAGTAATTGTACAGATCCTCCTTTGGATATACTGATTGGTAAGACCCTTGATTATTTAAATTATGTCTGTTAATTAATGTCATAACAATTTTGATAAATTGTTTCTTATGTTTATGTTTTATTAGAAGAAGAACTGCCTGAGCAATCCTCATTAAAAACTTGTGGTAGTGATTCAAGCTTTCAGAAGTTTGAAAATGGAACTTCCAGTATTTTCTATACAAGTTTAGAGGGATATCCTAATTCATTGTTTTATTCCTCAGTTGATTCAGGTGATGAGTCATCTGACAGCTTCAAAAGTGTGTAAGTATTTATTTTACTTATTTGTTTTTTTAGACTGAAAAGTTGGTTCTTTTGGTGTAGTTTAATTCAAGATTGGAATAATTTCAATCACTTGGTTTAAATAAATTGCAGTTTTTTAAGAATAATATTGATTTAAACAAATTGATAATTTCAAAATAAATTATTAAATCGAAAATATTTTCTTTAAAATAATATTTATAAATATACTCTTTAGGTTGTGATTTTTGTAAGGTTTAATTTAATTGATAATGAAGGTTTTTATTCAATGTAATAATGAAAGGAGGATGTATGATGTATGTATTACTAATAAATAAATAAAAAAAAAGATTGACTAAAAGTTCTTAATGTGAATAAGAGTGGTGTGAAACTTTTGAATTATAGTTTTCCATTACCTGCATGTAAAATAAATAGCTACTAATAAGCATATTTCAATTTTACCCATTTTCTTTTATGTTTATTTAAATAAAAGAGATTTGATTTATTGTTGTTCATTTACATCGCACTAGAGCTGCACAATGGGCTATTGTCGACGGTCCGGGAAACATCTATGAGGATGATCCGAAGACATGCCATCACAATTTTGATCCTCTGCAGAGGGGATGGCACCCCCGCTTCGGTAGCCTGACGACCTGCACGCGAAGTAGAGTACTTTACGACAGAACAGTTTGACGAGGACCAATACCGCACACCCTCAGTCTCTACGCAGATTGACCCAAGTGGTCACTCCCCCCGCACACTGACCACAGCCAGTGATGCTTGGATTCGGTGATCTGCTGGGGTCTTATTGATCAGTCCACTGCGAGACAAAAAAAAGAGATTTGAAAACTTATTAAATGTGTTAGTATGTATCAATAATGAAGAAAGATTCATTCTTAATATTTTTTGGATGTTTGGCTTGAACAAAAATAACTATAATTTTATTTATTTTGAGATTACCTTGTTATAATTAAATAATAATTTTACACATTTTAGTTAGAAATATTAACTATTTTTGCTGTATTAATGTTTTTAAATAATATTAAGATTTATTAATACATTTTATCTGATGACTTGGGTGGTAAATATAAAAAAATCTAATTTAAACCAAATAAAAAATTTTATTTTATTTTTTTTCAATAAAAATCGTGACTTTTGCCAACCCTGGTCCTAAAATGTAATTAAGGAGCAACTTTATATCATCTTTGTACAATCTTATTGGTTTTTATTACAGTATAAATATTAAAAACTTAAATTTTAAAATCAGATATTTTAAGTATGATTCATTTTGTGCTGTACAATAAGGAAAAAATTGAATGATTTCAAAGTATTTTTGATATCAATGAATAAGAAACCTCATAATCTGACAAGTGATGTTTTGGGCATGCAGAATTTTTAGATTCAAATGTGCCTCTAAATTTGCCCAGGTTTACAGAAATTTTATTTTCTGAGATAGCATATTTAAACTTGGATAAAAACATATTCTCTTGTCTAAAAAAATTATGAAAGGAATTTTTTAATTGTACTGCTATCTTATTTTTCAGGAGATCAAATTCTCAAAATGATTCTTATTTGTCTGATAGTGAGATTACTATAATGGCTAATAGTACTGATAGTTCTGTTAATATTAATAATAGTCATGGTAATTTGGCTCCATCTAGTAGCCCAGTTCCTGTTCCTAATTCAAGGCCAAGAATGGATAGCACGTCAAGTCTTGGCAGGTAATTGCATTTTTAACTAATTTTAAATACAAAAATTAATAATAGTAATTGATAATTGTTAAGTATAAAAATATTAATTTTCTTTATAATATATTTATTTACCTAACAAATTGTTAATTTTTTTTTAATATTTTGTTACAGTTGCTCATCTTATATTGCATTTTTTTTAGCTGGCAGTATGTATCTGGTACTGGTAGTTTATTGGGCTCTGTGACTTCTAAAGGTTCATCAGCAGAAATGAATTCAAATAGCTCTAGTTCAGGCTCGTAAGTATGATCTTTATGTTTCAATGCATACTGTTAACCTAGGTTACATATTCAAGCTTTGAACTTCCTTTAAAAAATCGCTTTTACTTTTCCATCAGTCGGAAAAGGTTAAATAATTTCTAGACTTGATAGAGGGTTAACAGATTTGATGTATTATGTTAAAATTTATTTTCATTTTATATATTATTTTGAAAACCCAGTGCCCAGTAAGTCAAGTTACCTAGATACCCCGTAGCAGAATCATGGCGACATTGTCACAGAGCAGAGTTCCTGCAGAGAGATTTTTCCTTTGGTTCTTAATTTTGTTATTCTTTTCTACAGAAATTTTCTTAAAATTTTTTTTTTTTGAATTATATTCAAAACATTCCTTTCTTGCGCATCGGAGAGGAAAGAAATGCTCGTGGTTTTCTATTCTCATTTAGAATAATGAAAAATTAAAGAATAATGAAGAGCTAGTGTTTTAAATATTTCTTCATTGTATTTTCTTGCTTCAGTTTTATGTTTAAAAAATAAGTTTTAACTTTATTCTTTGCATTTTTCTCAGGCATGCAGAAAATGGTAATGTAGCTTCCACATCCAGTGGCATGTCAAGTGCTCAAGAGAGAAATGACAAACTCATCGCTGTAAGAACTTTAATTCATCGTGCTTATAGAAAAGCTATTGAACACAAAGATACTTCTGTTGGTGAAAGGTACTATTATTTCCCTTGGCGAAGGTGACAAGATAAAGGGGTTTTATGAAAAAAAATATTACCTTGATATATGACCTTGAAAAAATATTGAAAACTTTTATACCTACTCTTTTTTTTTTCTTTCTGTCCTATCAGCAAAATAATATTGTTTTGGCAATTTATTTTCACTTGTCTGTTTTATATAGTATATTTTGTACTATTGATCATTTTTTTTTTGGTTTTTAATTATTAACACTATTGTTCATTTTTTGTGCTATTTTTTTTATTATAAAATTACTGTTATTTATGCTTTGTGTGAGTGCTTATATTTTATTATTTATATTCACAATGTATATTATGTTTTATTTTCCAGAGATTTTAAAGTTGAGCAAAAATTTTAATTTATAATATAAGTGATCAAGCTTGAAACATACACATACTCATGTTTAAGTAAATTTTCTTTTCCATCAAACGGAAATTACAATCTAAATTTAAGTAGGAGGGTTTTTACCTTGTATACATAATATTTTATAATAAAATGCATTTTCATGGTACAAAGAAAGAAAGGGTTAATTTTGAGTGTCTCAAAAACCACCTGTGAAAAACGATAATGATTACACCTACAAATGGAACGAAATTGTGAAGAGTTTTAAATGAAGCTTTACTTATTCTTCTACCATTTGGTGTTTAGATATTGAAAAAGGTTCTTGTTTAAAGAACTGAAACTATATGTTCATTTTGTATTTTCATTTTTGTTTTATTCATTGTTTTTTTTATTTTACCTCCAGAACATTTCCTCTCTTTTTTTTTTTCGTCTTGGAAGCATTATATATATATATATGTCTAATTAAAAAAAATAGCATCAAATTTGTTGAATACATGTAAATATATTAAGCAATTATAGAATTATTATTATTTTAAGCAATTACTCTTTTCAGTTCTTTTATATTGAGGTAAAAACTGAATTAATGATTGACTTATTCCTGAGTATGTTATGACTGTATATAAAATGCATTATACTGCCAAAACAAATGTATTTGTAGCTATTATGTTTATTTACCAATTTAAATTAAGTGTGTTCATTTTAAGTTAATATCATAGATTTGTGTAAACTGAAATCTAGTCTTAAAGCTTAATTTTCAACATGTATTACTTTTTGTTGGGAAGTTTAACACAACTGTAATAATTTTGTTTTTTCGTTTATGACAAATAGTCTTATATAATGTTTTTTTTTTAAATAATTAATACTCTGCAAAGATTTAGAATAATTTTTCTTTTGAATTGAAGTGGACAGTTACAGAACATGGAAATGCTGACTAAATCTCTCCTTTACATTTCTCTTAACATGATAGTTATTACAACTTATTATAAGTATAGAAATGTATGCTGAAAATGTTAACTATTTATCTCAAAGTTATATATTACATTATAATTGTATTGTAAATAATTTGTTATGGATAGGGCTCTATAAAATATGTTGCATTATTTTCAAATTATGCTCCCATAATGTAGCATATTTAAAAAATTCTAAAGATAGCAAAACTATAAAAATAATGGTTAAATTAAAACAAATTCTTACCTGTTGCCACACTAATGCTTTAAACTTAGAAAATGTACTTTTGATAGACTATAAAAGAATACTTTTATGTTTATAGCAACTCAATATAATTTTTTTTAAAGATTCCAGCAATGTTATTCAGTATGAAAGTTCCTTTAATTTTTTTGTTTTGTAAATATTAAACTTTGGCATTGTATAATTATTAGAAAAACTGTGCCGGCATTATACAACCAATTAAAGTAATGGTTAAATAAAAACCAACTCATCTATGCTTTTTTTGCTCAGTGTTTTAAGAAACAAAAGTTAAACAAAAATTACTAATTATAGGAAGTTATCAAATTATTTAGTAGTTATTACATTGAAATAATTTTTTTAAAATACTATTTTAATCCAGTATTTGTGAAAGTCCTTTTAAATTTTTATTTGTAAATATTCAGCCTATAGAATTGAGACTCACAAAAAAAAATATTGGTCTTATGTAGGAAAATGTTAGTTTGGGCCACTATCTCAGTGTGTTTGGATTCTTCACATATTGAGCAAAGTGTTGAATATTTATAAACAGAACCTAAACCTGGAATTTTAAGCCATTAATTTATAACATACCTTTTATATGCTTATTTTAAGTACAAGGTACTAAATAACAGAATAGAGTTCAATGTCTTTTATAAAAACAACAATATTTAGGTGAGGAAATTCAATATTATACCAGTAAAAATTTTTTTTTTTAATACGACATTTAAATAGAATTTGTTGTTGTTGTTACTAATCTTATATGACCTAGCAACAGCTAGATCTGGTCCACGAGTCCATTGTATTCTAGCAAAGTCAATTACAAGAAGTGGAGATGATTTTAGGTCTTCCAAACCTAGACCCATGCAGTTCAGGGTATGCTCCGGAGAGGCTGGCTCTAAATGGCACTTATTGCAGGTTGGAAACATTTTGCAGTCGGAGCTAAAAGTCATTCCTTTAAGATGATCACTATTAAGTCTATAAATTGCTGTCATATCTGGTCGATCCCCCTCAAGCTCAAGAATGCAGCCGGGACGCTTTCTACAATACCAGTGGTGAGCAGGGGGAGTAGGCCTTATTTGTTTGCAGTTTCTGTTCCATACAGAAGAAATTTCGTGGAAAGTGAGGTGGAGAAGGGATGGAGCAGCTTCTTTTAATCTAAGAGACCGGAGCACCCGAAGGATTTGTTATTCAATTGTAGTGAACACCACGTTCAATGATTGTAAAACACCTCATATAATGATTATACAGCTTAAGTGGGGAGCTAGTTGCGAAAAAATCTGATTAAGTTCTTTGTCTCCCATTTGAAAAATGAAATTGCTTTCTGATCAACCTAATAATTTTTTTGCTAGGAACGAGATTATGTAGATTTTTTTTTACATATTTTCTAGAGCCCTAGTTTTAAGATTGTTCAATTTGGTCAATTTTTTAATAACAAAACAGTTATAATGCATTTCTAGCAATTGAAAGAATTTATGCAACTAAAACCTGTAACTTAGATGTTCTTTTTTGATTTAATAATTGATTTTTAGCACTTGTCTTATCAATATAAAATTTCTATAAATAATTAAATTGAATAATGTTTGCAATAACTCTAAAATATATTGCCTTTTTTTAAACTTTGCGGAACAATGCAAAATTAGTAAATCTCTGACTTAAAAGATTTTTTAAATTGTGTATTATATCATGTCAACATGCAAAAATTCTCTCATACGATTTTTCTTTTTCCTTTGATTTCTATTGTCTATAAAAGATTTTCAATTGTTTCAATGTGGATAGAAAAAAGTATTATGCATTATCTCATTTTCCAATATTACTTCCTTTTTATTCCATTATCTACCTCTTTGAGAATTTCCACTTTTTTTTCTCCTATAAGGTGTTATTCTGTCTCTTATTGTACACATTATATATTAAAGTTATAATTACCTAGTTATACATGATTAAAAAATTCTCTGCTCATAAATTATCCATAATTGATGATAATTGACTTAGGACAGGGCGCTATTAACTTATAAAAACATGTAAATAAAAGCAATTAATGCAGTGGAAATACGTCAAGGAATATAATTTGATTGCAACTCCTATGAAATGTCTTATTTATTAACAATAAAGTTATTATAATTTTTTTTGTTGCTATAAGTAGAGGAATGAGTTTTAAAGTAATACCATTCACACCCTTAAAACTTTTCTTCTATTTTTTAAAAATCTTTTTCCAAAACTTTTTTTTTTTTAAATTGGTCTTTAGAAATTTGGAAAGTTTTGTAATTTTCTTCTCACTAGACTTTAAAAAAAAAGAAATAATTTGAATTAGTTATAAAATTTTAACTTTGTTGTTTGTGGAAAATTCTAAGAAAACAATTCTTTTTTTTTAAAAATGATCAAATTTAATTGTTTAAAATATATTATACTTTTAGTGTAAACATTAATATATAGGACAAAAAAAAATGCAATTAATAAAAACCAAATTTTAAAGTTGTAATATTCAAAAATTAATTCCTGTTTTCCAAATCAGTTGGAAATGTCCATGCTCTAAAACATAATGCTTAGCTAGCAAAATTGATAATACAAATTATGCTTGTGATTTGCAATTCTCATTATTTCATATTTTTGTTCATTACTTCATTGTGTAGCAAATGCTTGAAATTGTATATTGTGTTTAACCAAAATTGTGTGGTTATGAAGTACTGGTGTAACGTACTTGCTTGTTTCTCTTTATAATAAAATTATTTTTATATGTTTTCAAAGTATATGTTAAGTTGAATATAGAATTGAATTAGAATAAATTATTTCAATATTGTAAATTCTTTCTTTAAATGCAATGCCTATGACATAATTGATACTATTATCAAGATAGGTATTGTTGATATATTTTTTTTTAATATTCACCTATCGACAGTTTGATGCTGTTTTAAGGTTTGAAAGTGATAAAGAATAATACTTAGTTGTTAACATTTTCAATAAAATCAAACTATAGTGTAACTTAAGAAATAACTGTTGAAAGCACAAGTTGTTTTCCTTTTAAAAGCATTGTAGTTTAAAGGTTTAATTTGAAAAATTGTTAGGAAAAATTTTAGTGGAGTGGTAGTAATTAAAGTATGAGTTATTTTCTAAAATTAAGTTGCTTTGCCAACATTTATAAGCTAAAACTGCTTTGTTATTAGATCTTATTGTCATTTGATTGAAATGTTAATTTGTTTTGATGGATTAAACAATTCTTTTCTGCTTTGAAAACAAAGGTTTATACTGGACATAGTCATATTTCAAGCTAAATAATGCATAGTTAAAACTACTAGTGGTTAAAAATGAATTCCAATGGAGCTTAAAACATCATGTTGCCTCAGTTCATAATTATTGAAAAACTAAGTTTTAATGGACGTCGTTAGGTTTCGTTTTAGCATAATTTATTGGCTTGGATGAAGTAGTTTAATAGACATTGCTTTGCCTATGATGACTTTTTTAACGCTTTTTTTGGAAGCTCTGTCGCCAAGGAAAATAAAAAAGCTGCAGTTTAAATACCTTACACTTGAAGCAATGCAATGATTTTAAACTATATGTATAATCTTCCCGTGAAGAATTACTTGGGCCTTAAAACAGACGAATAACTTAAATATTTTAAAAGTTATTAAACTTTTTTAAAAATCGCCAATTTGGCGAAATTTTCCCACCTAGATGAAAATATGAAAATCACTGCCATATTCTCAGTTTTTCCAAATTTTTATGAGTCCATTTTTATTTTGTCCTTGTAACTCTATATAGTTATCGCAGTTGTCGCTGAAATCCATGATGATGCAAATATGATATGAGGCAGGTAAAAAAAATTCTGTGTAGCCTTCATTTAATGTGTTCTATTGTCTATTTTGGTTATAGAAATTGCTCGGCATTGTTTACAAATTATTATTAGTCCCGCAGTGGACTGATCGTTAAGACACGGTTCCCAGCAGATTACCGAAGTCAAGCATCACTGGCTACGGTCAATGTGCGGGTGGGTGACCACTTGGATCAGTCTGCGTAGGGACAGAAAGTGTGCGGTATTGGTCCTCGTTAAACTGTTCTACCGTAAA